CCGGCCGGCGCGAAGGCGGAGCCCGGCGCTCCGTGGGAGGCGGGGACCCGCCGCGCCCTAGGCCTCTGCGGCCTGTGCTTCCCTGTGTGCTGGGTGACTGGAGGGGCCCCGGGGAGGCCGGGCGCCCCGGTGCTTGCGCAGGAGGACTCAGCGCCTCCAGGCCGGGTCCCCGTGCCGCACGGCGGGGTGTGTCCCGGGCCCTGCGGGTCCAGGTGCTGCCCCCTGCGTTGCTGGAGCAGCTGCAGTCGGCGTGACCGCGGGAGGAATTCTGGACTCAGTCCCGGGGGCGCAGGGACCCGGGAAGTCTCTCTCTGCCGCTGGGCCCTGCATGGCGACCAGTGGTGGGAGGACGCCTGGGCCCTTGGGTCCTAGAGCCCTCGGCAAGCCCCAGGCCTCTTCCTGCCTCAGTTTCCTCATCTGTGAAATGCGTCCTAGGGTGGTTGTCAGGAACAAATGAACAAACGCACGGGTGCCTAGAGGCATACAGCAGGCGCTCAATAAGTGGCGCGTTATCATTCCTGCTTAGAGTCAACACCCCGTCCCTGTCCGCTCATTTATTTGCTTGCTGGCCCCCTTGGCCGGCACATAACAGGCCCCAATAAATAATTGCCGGATGAGCCACAACATGCTTCGCAGGGGTGGGCGGTCTGGGGTCCCCATTTCGCAGGAGAAAAAACCGAGGCCCGGGTGAAGTGGCCCGCACAAGGTCACACGGAGCAGGCGGCACGGGTAGACCCTGAGTCATGTCGTGTGCCCCGCGGGCCAACAGGTAAGAACAATGGGGCCACCAAGGCCCTCTCGCAGAGGTGACCTCAAGGATCAGTCAGACGTGCGGGCCTCAGGGCCGCCTGTCTGCCCGGGCCCCGGAAGGAACGTGAGCCCGGACAGCTTTCTCCACACCGGAGGCTCACATTACAAGCGCACACGCGTCACAACGGGCCCCGGGGGCTGGCTTCTTCCGCAGCCGGCCATACAGCTCATATCACCAGCCAGCCGGGTCGCAGGCTCGGAAGGGGGCCTGCGCCTGTAAATTCAGAGTGCATCGGAAGTCCCGCCCCCAAGGGAGCGCGCAAACCGGGGAGGGGGCGTGGCCCTCCCACCATTGGCTGAGCTGCGCAGTATTTTGGAACGTGAGCGCGGGCCTCGAGCGCTCCGATTGGAGCTAGGGCCTGCTCGTCTGCGTGCCTCGGCGTCAGCGCCCGCCCCCGGGGCCTCGGAGTTCGGTTCCCGGGTCCTCCACGTTCCATTCCCAGGCAGGTCCGGGGTCCCGGGTCCGAGCAGGCCCGCTGCGTCCGCCGGTCGGTGCGCTGAAGCCGCGACGCAGGTACGGCCGGAGCGCGGCGGGGCGGCTCGGTCATCCAGCCGCGGGCGTGGCGCGTGCCCCGGACGCAGGTCGGGGGCGTGGCCTCCGCCGGGGCCCGCGGTCCCGGCCCGGGAAGGAGGGGAGGGCTCTGGGCCCCAGGCCTGAGTTGTGATCCGCCTCTGCCTCTTCCCGTCTTGGGTATGTCACTTCACTTCCCAGGGCCGCCGTGTCCCCCCGTGAAGGGGGCCCTGACATGCCCACGCAGGGCCGCTGCGCGGCTGCTCAGCCCCGGCCCTGGGTTTGGCGGAGGAGGGGAGGACAGGAGGCGTCCCAGGGCGCTGTGGGGCCCGGCTGCGCAGAGTCGGGTTATTTTTAACCCGCGCCCTCTCCCCCTTCCCAGCGTTGGAAGGCTGCGGGTTGGGGCCTGCACAACCCCGCCAGGGGTGGGCTGAGTCCCGAGTTAGACAGGTGGAGGTATTTAAAGCGCTTGACAGTTTGCGAAGTGGACTTCTGGTCCCGCTGGAGGCAGGTGGCAGTATTGATCATCGATGAGGAAACTGAAGCTGGTTGCAGGGTCATGCTGGGTCACCCGGCTAGCCTTTGACCAACCCAGGCCCTCTTGTCCTATTTTTAGTTTGGGTGAATGGGGGCGGGTGTTGGGGCTGAGACCTGCAGTGCTTCAGGCTTCAGCTGCTCCAGGCATCTGGTCACCTGGTACCTGAGCCCCGGGCATCCACAGCCGAGCAGGGAGGCCAGAAGTCCTCGGGGCCCTAGCTGGCTCTGAGCTCACGGTCATCTGCTCAGGCGTTCTCATGGAGACAGTTGTGCCTGGTATCTGACTGGTCCCTTGAGTGTGCCTCTTGGTCACACTTCCTCTGCTCTCAGGGCTTGAGGGTAGGGGTCCCCCTGGAAGAACCTGAGGCTGGGGCTTGGTGGACTGGGCCCCAGGACAGATCTCTGCTTCCACTGCCCCAGAGCTCGGCCCCACACAGCCCCACACTTCTGGGCTCCGCACTTGTAACCCTTCCTCACCGCAGCCTCTGCCATTTTACAGGTGAGCAAACAGCTGGGGCTTCGGGCCCTCAGCTTACCTTCTCTGTTGCTTGGTCTCTCAGCAGCTGAGGCCACGCCCCCACTCCCCTCACACTGTCCCAAGCCTCAGAGGCCCCCATCCGGGGTACTGTGCGGGTCCTCTGTTTGGAGTCTTGTCTTTAGTGGTACCTTGCTCGCTGCCCCCGCAGCGGGGACTTCAGCCTTGACTGACACATACTCTTGACAGGCAGCTCCTGGGCGCCCCCCCTGCCCCAGGTCATCGTGGGCTATCTGACTCATCCTGTCCTCTGACTTGGTAGCTCTGCCTCTGGGGGCTGCCCTTTCGAGATCTGGAGGATAGCTGTGGCTCCGTGAGCTTCACCAAGGTCCCCCCAAAGGTCTGAGAGGCCCTCCAGGGCAGGCTGTCTGGGACCCCCAGCTATGGTCTTCTCTGGGCCTTGGTTTCCTCCTCCTGTCCCCAGCCCTGGTTAAGAACCAGGAGGACACAGCCGCTAGGACCTGACCACAGGCCCAGGGGCCTGATCAGACTGGGGGTGGGTGAGAGTCTGGACGCTCTGAGACCCCACCACTCACCGTGTGGTTTGGGAACCTGTTTCTCTGTAAAAGGGGGTGGGGGTGACAAGACCCACCTCACGGTCTTTGGTGATGTTAAGGGTCCTTGAGGGTGGGATGGGGGGGATGGGCACCCTTCTCTGACCTGCCACAGGACCCAGGGCCTTTCTCTGCAAGACCCCCTTTCCAGGGGTGAGTGGGTTGTTTGCAGGTTTGGGTGAGGGGTCTTGGGCAGCTCCCCATTTCCTCCCAAGAAACCCTGGGAATGGCCCCTGTCTCCTGAGGAGTTCTGAGGAACCCCACTCGTGGGCGTAATTCAGCGACCCCAGCATGATGGCAGCCAGAGCGCCGCCCACACCTGCCGCGCTGCCAGCCTGGCCGTCCCCACTGAGCCATCTCCGTACCCTGGCTCTCTTACAGGCAGACACCATGGCAGAGTTTTCCCAGAAACGGGGGAAGCGGCGTGACGGCGAGGTGCTGGGCAGCGCTGTGGACTTCCTCTTGGCCAACGCCCGCCTGGTGCTGGGTGTGGGCGGGGCTGCCATGCTGGGCATTGCCACCCTGGCTGTGAAGCGGGTAAGGCCAGGCTGGGCCAGTTACACCTGGGGCTCCCAGAGGAAGACAACGGGGCTGGGGCCTGCAGCAGGGCCCTGGGGGGTGGGGGGTACTGCCCAGAGCTGGCACCTGCTTCTTTGCCCTTGCAGGGTGGTTTGCTCTGCCCCTACCTTTGCCATGACCGCCCAGGCTGTGGATGCTCTGATATGTGTCTCTCTGCTTGCAGCTCATCGACAGGGCCACCAGCCCACGGGACGAGGATGATGCCAAGGGGGACACCACATGCCTGGAGGACAGCTGGAAGGAACTGAGCCTGCTGAAGGCCACACCATGTCTGCAGCCCCGGCCCCCACCTGCTGCCCTCAGCCAGCCCGTGTCGCCCCTGCCTCCCTCCCCCTCTGCCCCAGGTGAGTAGTACCCCTTCCCCTCTGACCTGGGGGGGGTCCCCCTTTGGTGGTTACATGTGGGACAGGCAGCCCAGGCCCCGCCACTGACCAACCATGTGACTGATGCAGGTCCCTGCTCCTCCAGGGCCACGGGCTCCCTGTATGTTTAATGGCGGCATGTTTCTCTGCCCTCCTACCTCCTGGGTGGTGCTAAGGCTCCAACTACCAGAACATGTGGACTGGAAGGGTGGTACTGGAGCAAGGCGGCAGCATTATGACGGGGGGGTGGGGGGTGGGGGGTGGGGCTCAGCTGGGGAAACTGAGGCCTGGGACCTATCTCGCACTCTGCATGAAGCTGTTTTAGCCCCAGGGTGTTGGGCATCTGGGGCAATGAGAATTTGTCATCAAGCGGTCACTATACATGAGGACTTTGACTAAGTGCTTTCTCAGGTGGTCGCTTTATAGATGAAAAAAATGCAGCCCGGGGCGGCACACAGCCAGCAATCGGGTAGAGCTCTCTTGGCTCATTACAGCGCGTTCTGACTTATTCCCTGGCCCTTTCACTCTGCAGAGCGGCCTGCAGATGCCGGTCCTCAGATGCCGCCTCCACTTAGCTCCCCAGCACCGTTGTGCCTGACGTTCCAGGAGAAGCTGCTGGCATTTGAGCGGGACCACGTGACTATCCCAGCGGCCCATGTGGCTCTGGCCAAACAGCTGGCCGGTGACATTGCCCTTGAGCTGCAGGCCTACTTGCGGAGCAAGTTCCCAGAACTGCCCTTCGGGGCGCTTGTGCCCGGCGGGCCACTCTATGACGGGCTGCAGGCAGGGGCTGCCGACCACGTGCGTCTCCTGGTCCCCCTGGTGCTGGAGCCGGGCCTGTGGAGCCTGGTGCCTGGCGTGGACACTGTGGCCAGGGACCCTCGCTGCTGGGCTGTGCGGAGGACTCAGCTTGAGTTCCACTCCCGTGGGAACAGCCCCTGGGACCGCTTCCTGGTGGGCAGCTACCTCTCTTCCCGTGCCCTGCTGGAGCTGCTCCGCAAGGCACTGGCCATTTCTGTCAACTGGCCAGCTATTGGCAGTCTTCTTGGGTGCCTGATCCGGCCCAGCGTGGCCTCAGAGGAGTTGCTGCTTCAGGTGCAGCACGAGCACCTGGAACTCACGGTCGCGGTGCTCCTGGTGGTCACTGGTGCCGCCACCGAAGAGCGCCTTCTTTTGGCCTGGCCCCTGGAGGGGCTGGCTGGGAACCTCTGGCTGCAGGACTTGTACCCCGCAGAGGCCGCCAGATTGCGGGCCCTGGATGACCATGATGCTGGGACCCGCCGGCGACTGCTGCTGCTGCTGTGTGGTGTCTGCCGCAGCCACTCGGCCCTGGGACGGCTGGGACGGGGCCACCTGACCCAGGTGGTTCTGTGCCTTGGGGAGGAGAAAGTGGACTGGGCCGAGGAGGCCTTGGGGGAGCGCTTCCTGCAGGCCCTGGAGTTGCTTATCGGCAGCCTGGAGCGGGCCAGCCTGCCCTGCCACTTCAACCCCAGCGTGAACCTCTTCAGCAGCCTGAGCGAGGAGGAGATTGATGACATTGGCTACACGCTGTACAGCGGTCTGCAGGCCCCTGAGTGGCTGCTCTAGATGGGTGGGGATAGGGCCGCTGGCATGTGTTCTGATGCTGATGAGCTGTGAACTGTGAACGCCTCCCTTCCAGGAATTTGGAGAGCACTTTTTCTCTTGCTTTAGCCAGAATAAAGGAGAGTGTGTTACCTAAGCTCACGGGGTTAGCATGTATGTAGGCTACAGTCCTGCGTGCAGCCTGGAGTGCCTGCTGCTCACACCTGCCCCCTCAGCCCTCGGGGCCAGCCCCAGGACCTTCGGCTCGTCCATCATCACCAGCAGTGAATCACTGAAAAACCCAGCTTCTGCGGGCCTAGGTGGGGGTGAGGCCAGCTCCGTTTTCTGTTGAGAGGCTGAGTTAGCGCTTTCTTGGGTGCCAGCTCCAGGCATCTCGAGGCTTCTGGTGCTGGATGGTAAACACCATGTGTTTCATTCGTCCCCAAAGGGCCAGGGTCACCTGGTACCCCTGGAATACAGCTCTCTGGCTGATGTAAAGGCTGGTGTTTTCTGATGTCAGCTGTGTGCCTAGTTTGCTTGTTGAGCTTCCTTCTCTAGCCTGGAGTGGGAGCTCAGGCTGATGTGCTGCCCACCTCCTATCTCGGGGAAAATCCCTTTTCTCTCCAACTAGGTGAGTTTTCTCTTTGGGCAGCAGAGGCCCCTGGGAGAGCCCCTTCCCTGCCTGGGGAGCTGAGGTTCTCTGTGCTGCCCACCTTGCCCCAAGCCAGGGGTGTCCTTCAGCTGCTAGTGTGCCTCCCGGAGAGGCCTGGTCTGCAGGCCCGGCCTCCACAGTGCCAACATGGACTGCTCAGCCGCCACCTGTGTTCACTGAAGCCTGGCAAAGGTGGGGGCTGAGGGAGGGAGGGTTCGCCTCCCCGCCCAGGCATCCCTCCTGTCTTTGGTAGCCTTCCTGCTGAAGCAAAGCTATGCCTCAAAGAATGTGAACAAGAATAAAAGGAAAAATTCAAATGTCCTTGTGACTCGTGCTGGGCTCATATGCAGCTGTTGGGAGTTCTGGAAGCTTGGCCAGAGGGGCTTGGGATCAACCTGGAGGTGGTAGGATTTAACTGGAAAAGCAGGTATGTGGAGGGAGAAGATTACAAGATTCTTGGTGTGATGTCTCTTTTGTAATGGGAACCAGCTAGTTAGGGTTTTGTTTCTTCCCAAAAGCCTGCTCTTGAGCCCCCCTGTGCTTTCTGGATGGATGGGCCTTCCCCAAAGGCCTTTAGCCAGCACTGACAGTTTTCAGAGAAACATGATTTCTCCACCTCCCCTGCCTCTCCTTGTGGCCCCACAAGTGGGGGGCAAACTGTCCCCCTTGCATGGACAGGGCAGCAAGTGCGTCTCAGCATCCCCACAGGAGCCAGAGCTGGGGCTCGCTTTGTCACCACAGGACAGGTGAGGCCTGAGGAGAGCTTTGGGCCACGTGGGCTTGGGGTGCAGCCACCACAGCTGTGCCATCCCCACTGTGCTTCTCTTCTTCCCAACCCATCGTATTTCCTGAGGGGCCCCCCACCCCTTCAAACTGTCTACAGGACACGGAGGGGGACGGGATCGGAGTCCTCCCTTGTCCAAGGGGCCGTGTCACAGGGGACAGATGAGATGGTAGCAGGACCATGGGCTGCCTCTGGAGGTCACAAGAGATCTGCCTCGGTGATGTTCAGATGGGCTTGATGGCTCCGCACAAAGAGGCGATGGCAAGGGTCAAAGGGCAGGAGATGGGCTTAGCCAAGGGCTGCTCAGATCCCTTGGTTCAGGAGCTGCACCTGGGCCTGAACGTGCTCGGTGCATGGAGAGCACTGAGCAGCTGTGATGGCAGCAAGGCAGCAGGCTGGCGGTCGAGGCTGTGCCTTGGTATTCTCATCAGTGAACTGGGGAATTATGCAATACCTACTTCACAGTGCACCTGTAGAGTGACTGCTGGCTGGCAGTGAGCAGTGGTAACCCAGTGCCTGGCACAAAGAAGGCTGTCCCCGAAGCAGAGATCCTTGGGCCTGCCTCCCTGACCAATGTCACAGAGCCCAAGCTCTGCTGCCAGGCCTCCGTCTGACCAAGGCCATGCTCCTTGGGACCACTGGTTATGAAGCATCTTGGCTCTGGTGAGGGGCTGACCTGGGTGCAGCTGGGCAGCAGTCGGGAAGCGAGCTGGGTCCAGAGCCCCTCTTCTTACTAGACAACCAGACCCCAACATGTGGTCCCTTCTGTGGAGGTCTCCTGCTTCAGGTATCTCCGAATTTCCCCACACCATGATTTCAGTAAGAAAAAAACAGGATGAACTAAAAGAGAGAGAAAGGAGGTGTTCGTGGCTACATCACTTATGCAAGGTTAACGTCCGGGACTTCAGTTTCTAGCCAGAGAACTGGACACGAACCACCGTTCTGCTAGAAGCCTTTGCGGGAGCTCGCGCGGGGCTGGCTTGGTCCCGGGCTGTGCCAGCTGCATGGGAAGCTGCTGCCCAGTTTCACTCACTCCCCTCTGACACAAGGACGATTCCAACTCCCAGGGTCTCAACGTCTTAATACTGAGACCCTTTGGCTGTGGTGGCAAAACCTGGCAATCCAAGTCCTTGGTTTGGCTTTACCAAGTGACCCAAGCCTGGAGTTCCGATGACTGTGGTAGAGCAGTGATGCCACCTGCTCAGAATGAAAGGACTGCCTGTGCAGATTAAAAAATACCACAAAAATGGCAAATAGAAACTTAGTAATTTAGGGCCGGCCCCGTGGCTTAGCAGTTAAGTGTGCACGCTCCACTGCTGGTGGCCCGGGTTCGGATCCCAGGCGTGCACCGACGCACCGCTTCTCCGGCCATGCTGAGGCTGCGTCCCACATACAGCAACTAGAAGGATGTGCAGCTATGACACAACTATCTACTGGGGCTTTCGGGGAAAAATAAATAAATAAAATTATAAAAAAAAAAAACTTAGTCATTCAAAATGTGACCCATATTACTGCTACCCTACCCTAACTCTAGAATAAGTCTCCCCATGTATAAAGCATATCCTTTTGTAAATTCACTCGAAAGCATGTCTCCTCAGGAACACTTAGCAGCAGAATAGCTACCAGGTGAGGTTACCATTCATCCCCCTAGAGCCGACCTGTCCAGTTGTTTCGATCTTTGCCATTATTTTAAAAAAAAAAAAGCCCTGAAGAAAGTCTTTGTGCACACAAGCCTTCTCATCAGGAAATTCCTGGGAGTGGAAAGTGTTCAAACATTGTTCAGATGCTGAAGGATCTTGCCAAACTGCATTCTGAAAGGACTGCAGTCAGCAGGCCAGAAAACCAGCCCCGAAGCATGAGCCGAGACTGGCGGGGCTGGAGCCGAAAGGGAAGAGCGGCTGCGTGTGGGAGCTGGAAGCGCGTGGCGCCCTTGACACCCACCACCAACCTGCACTGCCACATCGCTGCCTTCTCCTGAGCTCCTCTCGTAAGGTTTCATCACTTGAGTGGACAATGGAAGTGCGATTCACACTTCACCAGTGACACTGTGTGTGGCTCGCCATACCTGCCTGGTGTGTGCTGAGGAAAAGCGCAGTCAGTTCAGTGTCGGCTGAGGAGCCTCCCGGTTCTGAGACCTTAACGGGCCAGAACCTAGCTCGAGAACAACTGCCCCTGAGCTAGCGTACGAGGCACACAAGGAAAGCACCTCCTGACTTTTGGTCCCAAACAGGCCCTTTCCCTTCAGACAGGAACTCAGCTGTGAGGCTGAGCTTCGGAGCCCCCAGGAACAGACACCGAGCTTGCAGGGGCTCTAGAGAGGGGTGCGCCTCGTCTGGGGACAGGAAGGGACTGGGCCCAGGGTCAGGGGCTGGAACAGCTCACACCGCAGCCCGTAATCCAGGGCCACTGCTCCACCTCTGCCCTGTTCTCTCTAAAACGAGGGGCCTCCAACCTGGTACGTAGTATATGTCTGTGACACTTTGCATTTTTCATAAGGACATTTTTCTTTTGTAATCAGAAAAATAAAGATACAGTCTTTAAAAAAATTATAACACTACAGTTTGGTTGCACTTAATTCATTGAGGAAGCTGTGGCTGTAGCGGACGGAACTCGAGAGCGTATTCCAAAGGCCAACGCACATGACTCGGGGGACCCTGTTTTGGGTCATCCTTGCACTGTTGCCAATCTCCTGAGACAACACAGTTCAGCTGGCTGGGGCTCAGGCTGGCAGGAAGGCCTGACTGTCGGCTCATTCGCTCGTGTGATTTTACAATGAACTTTCCAGGCCGACAGCGAGCACCCCCTCCCAGCATGAACACTGGTGGTCTCAGGCGGAGATGGGACACACACATCAGTCCCTCACAGGGACAGGCATTGGGAGTGAGCAGCACCACCCCAGCCCGTGAGCTGAACCCGAGCCACCTGTGCATTCTAGCTCAGGGAACTCGGACACTGCGTGACGCCCGAGTCTGACATCCGAAGTTCTGGGCTGCAACAGGCCCTGCAAGGAAAGGTGGCTGTGACTTCAGCCAAAGGGCAATGGAGTCTCTGCCCAGCGTCCCGACAGCTAGCTAGTGCCCGATGCCGGCACAGCACTGCCAGACACACGGAGGCTGGCGCTCCCAGAGTGACTGGCTGCCCGCAGGCAAGGCTTATTTTTAGCTTCCAGCTGCTCCAAGACCAGTAAGCATCAGAGACAGATCCCCTCAACCACCAGCAGCTGTGTAGGGCAGCCGCTCTCGCTGTTCTCTAGATCAGGACAGGCAGTGCCACCCGGAGGAAGCGTGTGGGTTGAGGCAGCTGGGCTTCCTCCTCTCCGAGGCACGGCAGGGAGCTGTCACCCACCACAGGGGGCTCTTCATCTTGGCACCGAACATGGTGTGGATTCTCCAAGAACTCTGAGGTGTAGACAGCGTCAGAGGTTTGGTTTCAATTCCAGCTTAGCTGCTTGTGGGGGAAAGCATGTGCCTGTCAGAGACGTTTCCATCAAATGGGCAGCAGGCACTGGCTCGCAGGGGAGCTGGGAGGCTGAGAAACATGGTGTGTGAACCATGTGGCCTGGGGCCCAGTTGCAGCCAGGGCTCAGTAAGCAGGGGCTGTTTTCTCCTCAGTCCTGCACTGCACAAGCTGTAGATGGGGTTCCAACCTTCCCAATCACCGTCAGTGGGGAAGGACCAATTTCTCATTGCACTGACTGCTGCCAGCCTCAGTGAGCCATCAGGAGACACGGAAAACGCCCTCCGAGGTTCTACTGGGCAAGTTCTCACTGCAGTTGGGCCTGACTGTAACCCTGTGCCAAAGGGCCTCCGGCTGACTGGCACCTCCCTGTCACAGACAAGGCTGCTCAGGCCCAGCAGTGACGGCACCAGCCAGGAAAGCACGTGGTCAGTGGAGGCAGGACCCGAGCCAGCTCTGACCTTGAGACAGCCTGGTCCAGCAGTTCTCAGTCTTGGCACACACAAGAGTCACCTGTGGAAAAATTAAAATCCACAAAGGCATCTGGTATCCAGAATCGATAAAGAACTCCTACAACTCAACAACCAAAAGGCAGACAACCCAACTGAAAAATGAGCAAAAGGTTTGAAAAGACGCTTCTCCAATGATACACAAAATGACCAATAAGCACGGGAAAAGTTGCTCAACATCAATGGTCATTAGAAAAATGCGTATCAGGGGCCAGCCTCATGGCATAGTGGTTAAGTGCGCGCGCTCCACTGCTGGCAGCCCGGGTTTGGATCCCGGGCACGCACCGAGGCACTGCTTGTCAGGCCATGCTGTGGTGGCGTCCCATATAAAGTGGAGGAAGATGGGCACAGATGTTAGCCCAGGGCCAGTCTTCCTCAGCAAAAAGAGGAGGATTGGCATGGATGTTAGCTCAGGGCTGATCTTCCTCACAGGAAAACAAAACAAAAAAAAGAACAAAAATGCAAATCAAATCCACAATGAGATACCACTTCACACCCACTAGGATGGCCATAAAAAAAAAAAAAAAAAAAAAAGAAGCATTGGCCAGGATGTGGAGACACAGGAACCCTTGTGCATTGCTAGTGGGAATGTAAAATGGTGCAGCTGCTGTGGAAAAGAGTTTAGCGGTTAAACACAGAATTACTATATGACCCAGCAACTCCACTCCTAGGTGTATGCCCAAAAGAACTGAAAACAAGTATTCATGAATGTTTATAGCAGCATTATTCGTAGTAGCCAAAAGGTAGAAACAACCCAATAGTCCATCAACTAATGGATAAACATAATGTGGTCCATCCACATAAGAGAATCCAGTCATAAAAAGGACTGAGGTACCAACACATGCTACAATGTGGATGACCCTTGCAAACACTATGCTGAGTGAAAGAAGCCAGGCACAGAGGACCAGATACTGTCTGATTCCCTTTATGTGAAGTGTCCAGAATAGGTAAAACCATAGAGACAGAAAGCAGACTGGTGGTTGCCAAGGGCTAGAGGGAAGGGAAAACCCCAAACATGCAGGGCCGTGACCCACACCCACTGACCAGCTGCTCCAGGAGCAATTCCAGGCATCCTGATACCCAGCCAGGGCACAGGGCTACTGGTATAACTGAAGACACGGGGCCAGGAGTCCCAAGACCTGAGGACAGTTCATTTCTTCACCATTAGCAATGTGACTGGGCAATTCACACCCCGTTTCTGCTTATTTTCTAAACCATAAAATTATGCCACCATGGTTATGTATCATTAACAAGGTTTTTGTGAAGGCAAATAAAAAATGTGGCAACCTCTGGGAAGTGTGGAAGATGAACAGTATTCTGAATCTGGCATCAGCAGTCTTCTCTGCTCTGCAAGACCAACCGTGGGGTCTTGTGAGGGTCCCCCTTGTGGGGCCGGGAGAAGCTGGGCTTACTGCCTGCCCTGGGGACAGGGAGGCGGGGCGGGGCTGGGAGGGAAGGCCATGAGAGCCAGTGGGTGGCAAGACGTCCCTTGGGAACAGGCTGGTGTTTGTACCCGCTGTTCCTGCCAACCTTCACCAGACACTGCACCGTACCCACCAGAGTAAAGGGGTAGAATTCTTTATTAAGGCACATGAACACGTGTCCCGGCTGCAGCAGCTTCTGGATGAAGAGGAATCAACTTGTATAGACGCAATTTTAGAACAAGAGCCACGTCCTTGCATTAGACCCTCCTTTATCCGGGTGTGTGTGGAGGGAAGCCCCTTCCAGGCCAGAGCCTATGCTGGGAGTGCCGGCCTCTCACTCAGAAGACTTTCAGGAGGCGAAGGAAGTCTTGGAGCCACAGCTACAGAACGCACCAACCCCGCTGCTAAATGGTCTAGCTACCAGCCTCTCTGCCATGCTAACAGCAACAATCCCTCCAGGATCACAGGGAGCAGCTCCCGTGACTTCTCAGCAGTGGCATGATCATTCCTGAGCCCTGCGCAAAGGGCCACTGTCCAACAGAGGTGGACTTCTAGAGAGAGCAGTCTGGATCTTGACCCCTTCACATGGGCAGGCCAGACTCCAAAAGCCGCCACTTTGATCCTCAAAGCCTCCTGGGCAGTGAAGGGCCAGCCGGTCCTAGTGAAAACAACTTGTTTCCGAGACAAAAGGGGTGGGGAGAGGAAGTGGCCCTCTCTACCCTACCCTGCTCTCATCTGTTCTGAGGACATGAGGGACGGGTGTGGCCAGGCTGATGGCAAAGGCTGCACGTCCGGGGTTTCTTGGTCATGGACCCGGTGTCTGAAGAATTTGCTCGGGCTCTTTTGCTTCTGGCCTCAGGCCCCTGGGTTCTTCCTCTGCCTCCTGGCCAGGGTGGGGCTCCAAAAGTCCCTGTGGGAAGAGTCAGGGGAAGGCTGAATTTAGAACGGACACACTGAAGTGACATACAGGTTGGTGGAGGGCGTCCTCCCAACCTTTATGGAGTCACATCCACCCTACAGGCCAGGCTTCCTTCACTCCAGGTCAACACACGACGTGTCACCACCTTACGTTGCCCTGATGCCTCTCCCTAAAAAGCCCTGAGCTCCTGAAGGCCTCGGCCCGCTCCCACTGTCCTGGTAAGGAGGTCACTGCTGTGACTTCATACACGCCCTTTTTACAGAAGCAGAAACCAAGCAACTGGCCTGCAGTTTAGGAGGGGAGGCAGCACAGACAAGCAGGCCTGTGACCAACGACCTGCTCCCCATCTTCTATGCAAGGAAACCCAAGTTTCGGATCCTTCCAGTCCTTAGGCAGGCCTCTTAGAACTGACTGCACTGCTACCCAGGACAACTAATTAGCTGGCCTGCAGGTCAGACACCACTTCCTTCCAATGAGGGGACGAGTGGCCCTTGCAAGTATGAAGTGTGTGCGAGGCCGACTACCTCTCACACACTTCAAATGGGGGTCTGTCACGGCAATGGCCGTCTCTGGGCCCCTCTGGCACTGATAGCCAGCCCTATGCATTTACCAAGTGTTCTAGGTTCTTCCTGTATGTGCAGTGCTGGTGATGTGTGTGTTAGAATCACAGTCTGAAACTAACCAAACTCCTTTATAAAACAGGAACCCTAAGAAAGGTAGGCAGGTGCCCATCTTATTGTGGAAACTGAGGCTGAGGCCGAGTCATTTGTTGAAGGTTAGATGGCTGGGCTTTGGAACCAGCTCTGTCCAACAACAAAGCTCCCACCAGGCCTTGTGGTCATTCTCAGATGTTTAATTAAGCTTCTGCTGTGTACTGGAGTGGGCAGGGACCATTTCAAAGAGACTTCAGGTACATTATCGACCTTGATCCAATGTCTGGGTACCAGTTCTCACCATCTCCATTTCTGAGACACTGGCCTCAAGCTGTGTAACCTTGGGCAGGGTCCTAGACTTCATCAGGGCCAGTTTTCTCATCCGAGGAAATGAGGCTGATGATAACAACCTTGCAAAGTTTACAAAGGCTAGAGGAGCCCAGGGCTGTGGGACCAGGCCGACCTACGTTCAAATCTTGGGCTGTGTTGCTGTGTGACCCTGAGCAAAGTCACTGCATCTGTCAGGGCCCCACCTTCCTCATCTGTAAATTGTGATCACATGCTTACTTGATGAAGATGAAACAAGATGCATATAAAGTATACTCAGCGTAGTGCCGGCCACACAGCAAGCTATTCAATTAACGGTAGCCACCCTGTACATTGGAACGAAGACTGGGCCGTTCATTACCTTGCTGAAAGTGACCAAGTGAGGAGATAGAGGAGCAAGGCCGCCCATGCCTCTCCCAGTCCCAGCACCTCCCGCCCTGCCTTCCCTCTGCTGCCTTTGGTCTCTGAGGTAGAGACCACCATGCAAACCTCAGGCAGGGACCTGCACGCCCCCACCCACCCAGCCCAGCTCAGGAGCTGCTCCCCTGCAGTGCTGCTGCAGGGATGGCCTGTGCCCTCCTCACCTGGGGCCGCGTTCTCGTCCACCCACTGAAAGAAGCCGCACTGCTGCTCTCTTGGCTTGGCGCATGTGTGGAACTGGCGCCCCTTGTTGGGCCCATCCTTCTGCACAGTCCGTGTGACGACAGGCTGGCTGCACAGGCAGGACGTGCCACCACCACTGTCATCACCAAGGCTGCCAAACCTACCCGGGTGGTTCCTGGAGCCTGGTGGGTGTCCTAGCGAGCTGCCTGGGGGTTTCAGTGCAGAGGAAGAAGGCCCTCCTGCCCCTAGATGGCTGCTGTCGGCCCACAGGAAGAAGTTGCAACTGCCACTGTTGCATTTATAGAACTGCCGGCCCTGGTTGGGACCCTCCTTCCGGACAGTGAGCAGCAGCGCCTCCTGGCCACAGTTGCAGGTCACAGAGTTGCTTTCACCATTGGCAGTGGGTGGTGGTAGAGTCTGGGCCAGAGCCTTTGAGGGCCTGGTCTGCCTGGTGTTAGGAGGCTGGGGGTGGCTATGCTGGCCACTGTCCATTCTGTTCAAGGACTGGCTAGCCTGCAGGTAGCCAGAGGGCTGGTTGCCCGGCTGGTAAGCTCTGGGGGGGCCCTGTGAAAATCTCAGGTCTAAGATCTCCCTCAGGGTCTCATCACATCCGCCGATGCAGCCAACAAACTCCAGAGGCATGGTCGGGGGAAGGCTACCACGTTTAAACTTGAACTTCAACCTAGTGAGGGCAGAAGATGGGAAAAAACATTACCAGGTGCCAGAGTCCTCTCCTTGGTCCATAGAGGGCTGTGTGCACCCTAGGACTCCCCTCACCATCCCCACACCCTGGGAAGTCCATGCAAGGCACCAGCCAATCACCAGTCCCCTCCAGTCGTCACAAGAGCGCAGAGTGGGAGGCAGATGAAATCTAAGACTCCAATGAATCACCAAAATACAGAAGCCTCTGAAAGGTTCATTTCCCTGTACCAGTGGTTCTCAAAGTGTGGTTCAGGGGCCTCTGGGGGCTCCTGGGCCCTTTCAAGGTGAGGTCAAAACTATTTTGTAACAACACTACGAAGTTACAACTGTTTTGCTCTCCTTCCACGTGTGTGCACTAGAGTTTTCTAGAGGCTACCACACATGCCATAAACTCAGCCGACCGACTGTGGAAGCAGATAGGAGAACCCAAATGTCTCCTATTAATCCAGCCATTAGGCTTGCAAAAAGGGGAAACAATGAATCCTTATTATTTTTTTGCTTTGGAAAATAGGTATTTTATTCTAAAAACATGTTATTTACCTTAGTATGCAATGCATCTGTTATAAACAAATTAACAAATATTTTAAGATAGCTCCACCTTACCTTAGAATATGGTAAATGTTGATAAACATAACCTACAATGAAAGCTCTTTGGGTTCCTCAATGATTTTTAAGAGTGTAAGGGGTCCTGTGACCAAAAGGTCTGAGGACCAGTTCTACAAGGGCTTTTGGGAGAAGCTTGGAAATGATACTGGAAACACAAATACTTGCCCAAGCCCTGCAGAGCAGCAATCTAGGTGGAGAGGTCAGGGAAAGGGTGCTTTGGGATTCTTCACCAGGGCTCCTCCTGAGCCAGCCCACGCACCCGCCCCCAGGGACAGCTTCCACACATCGAAAAGCAGCAATGGGACACAAACCAACTTAGGACTGCTGACCTGGCTGCTGCTGAGCACAGCGAACCTCCTCACTCCAAGTGCCTAGGAATTAAAGTCTCTGGAGAGTCCCACCTGTGCTCTGTCTTGCAGCTGACTCAAGTGCCCAGCTCACCTGTAAACAGGGTGTGGCTGACAAACTGGACAGACACTCCCATCCCTGCTGGCTTCCAGCACAGAGTCGGGGAACCACATGGCCGATCGACACTCTGGAAAACCCACGCAGCTGAGGTAGAACCTGGGGAGCATGGGAGCAGGGTCAGGCAGGAACCACCAGACCACGGGAAATATGAGAACCGTTCCTAGGCTATCGCCCACCTGGCAAGGAAACTTTTCTTCAGCTGATTAAAGAAGACATTCATTTTACTGGAGAACACTTAAATAAGACACACAGTCACTGATAACGAACGACTCAGAAAAACTAGCCTGCATTTATTTCCCACCTCCCTAAAAAAATGAAACAGCTATTGCTGACTCAGCTTTCTACTTAACCAACCCACCTGCTAACACCTGGACCAGCACAAGGCCAAGTACGGAAGGCTCTGCTCAGGCTCTGTGCTGAGCGCCCTCACACCCTCCCTAACTTCCTCCTCACAACGATCCCGAGGGGGACCATCAGCACCCTCAGTTTACACTGGAGCAAACTGAGGCATGGAGCGGTCTGGAAACCTGCCCAGGGATGCACATGCCGTGAGTCCTGGAGCTCGGACTAGACCCCACCTGTCTGAGCAAAGAGCCCTACTCTGAACACCTACACCACGCCTTTCTTGGCCAACATCCCGACATCCTCCAGTCACGAAACTTTAGGGCTGGACTAACCAACACGCACGTGATTGACAATGTCCTTTGAGCGTGCCTGGGTACGACTCAACCAGGGAAAACAAACAAACCCTAAACCCCAATTGGTTAAATAGTAAATCCACAAACTCAGAAATGGAATTATCAGATAAACATCGGGATGGTAAATTCCAGAAGACAATCTCCAGACTTCCCTGAGTGACTTAAATACTTGGAGAATTCAGAGTAACACAAAAGCAAGCATTCTTTCCCCTTATGTTTCAATGATTACTAATCCATTTACGCAATGGTGGCAAAGAAAAAAACCATCAACAGCATTTATTAAGTGTTTACATGTGGCTACCAGGTACTGGACTACGCCTACAGTGGCATTGGCGTATATAATGTTTGCAGGCAACACAAGCCCTGCCACCTGCTGCCAGGTCAGGCCCACTAAGCTGTGGTTTCTGACAGCTGGGATGGCCTTCTCTTCACCCAGGTCAGGCCAGTGATGGCTAGGTGACGAGTTGGGGAAACCACCTCTTCATGTGGCAGCATGGTGGTAACACAATGCTGCAGCCCAAGGGGGCCAACAGAATGGAGAAGGGCCCTGAAGACCTGGGTTCAAATTCTGCCATTCCTGCTCCCCAGGGCTGCCTGGCTGTGGATAAGCCACCCCAGTCCACTAAGCCTTGGTCTGCACTTCTTAGAAAACTAGGGTAAAAACACCTGCCTTGTGGGGTGGTTATGGTGAAGAACGAGATGATGACTGTAGAGCACCTCGCATCATGCCAGCCACCAGGCTGGGCAACCTGAACCTCAGGGTAAACTGCCCACTCTGACCTACTGCACTGAAAACGAAAAGGGAATTGAGATGTTCAGACCCAACTCAGAACCAAAAGTAGGAGAAAAGGAGAGCAGTGTGGTTGAGTATCTCTAATGTATCATGCTCTGTGCTAGACTCTTGACCCTTTTCACTGAGTCCTCACCCTTCCCACAGCTTTGTGAGCTAGATGCCAGTGCCCTGAGTTTATGGAAGAGGAAACTGGGGCTCAGAGTAGTTAAGTAACCTGCTTCGGGGCACAAAGCTTATATGTGGCAGAAGTGGGATTTGAACCCAGACTCATGTGGGTCTGAAGCTCATGCCTCTTCACCGTTCTCCACACTCTGGGTGAGCAACGTCCTAGTCACAGGGGACATAAACCCTGCCATCACCCAGTACCTCCTCCTCTAAATTCCCACAGCACTTCACCCTTTCAAGGCCAGGTGCCAGTCTGCTACATTATGTCTCCAACACCTAGTCGAGGGGCTGGCGACAGCAGGCCTGCCTTTAAATAATGACACACAAATGAAACAGCTTTACAGAGCTGTCCAGTCAACCCGGCAGGTGCTGGGCAAGCAGAGGTGGGGCACAAGCTGGGGACTGACCCGCCGCTCTTCTTGGTCTTGAGGACCATGTCCTTGTTGCACTGTGGACACTTCCTGACGGGCTCTGGCATGGTCGGGTAGATGGCTTCTTGCTGGGGCACCTCTGCCCCTTCCCCAAAGTACTGGGACAAGGCCTCGTCCAATCTGAAGAAACAGCAAAGCATTTACAACATTCTTATGTGCAAACAACATGAGTGTGACCTAGGGAACCAGCTGGCTGGTCAGCCACAGGCCTGATGCAGAGAACGGAGGCAGACAGGGAACTGTGCGGGCCACGTGGCACTGGCTCCTCTCTGACTCCTGGCTCTTGGTCGCTCCCAGGAGTGATCCAGCTACAGGCAGGATTTCCACCTTGTCACTGGCCCCACGTCAAACAAAGAAAACCACACAGGGTCCATGTACACACTGCAGAAGTATCTGTGTGGGTTTAAGTTTAAACTAGCTCATGAAGGGCCGGCCCTGTGGCTTGGTGGTTAAGTGCGCGCACTGCAATGCTGGTGGCCCGGGGTTCGGATCCCGGGTGCGCATCGAGGCACCACTTCTCCGTCCATCCTGAGGCTGAGTCCCACATACAGCAACTAGAAGGATGTGCAGCTATGACATACAACTATCTACTGGGGCTTTGGGGGGAAAAAATAAAATAAATAAAATCTTTAAAAAAAAAAAAATAAATAAATAAACTAGCTCATGCATTTCTTTTCAACATTGGCACGGAGTAGAAAACATGTTATTTCTATCAAAATGCACACACGCTGCCTGCCAAATGGCCACCTCAAAATACTCCAGAGAACAAACGGGTCAGATGCCAGCACTTGGGTTTACTGTTACATAAGATTGTGCTGCCTACTAATTCAGGACAGAACTAAAATCAAGAGAATGGCGTTTCTAAAGCTAACAGCCCAGAATAACTGGACCAGATCTCTCTGATTATTGTTTCTATACCGACAAAGCTCTATGGAAAGAAACAAACAAAACTCAGGAGGAAAACCTGAAGGGGGAGGAGCTGTATGTGGACAGCTCTGCCAAGTAATAAGGCCACTGGTGAAGATAAACTGACCGGGCAGGAACTGAGCAACTCAAAGGGCCTGGGCTACAAGGAATCACATCACCTGGTTTCTGCTGAATCACCCCCACAAACTCCCACTTCTTAGGGAAATGTGATGGCTAAGGCAGCAGAGATAAGCGAGCTCCTGCACAGCAGAGCGGGCTCTGGCACTCACTTCTTAGCTTTAGCCACTGCTTCAATGAAAACCTGCTTGTATTTCTGGACCTGCTGCCTTAGAACCACAAATTTGTCCTTCTTCCCCTCACAGATCAGCTTCAGATCGGCTTCCAGCTCAGCCCGGAGGTCAGGCTTGGACATCTCATAGCCCATGGAGTCATACCCTGCAGGGAAAAGAGCAGTGTTTAATGGCCCTGAACGACACCTCAAGGACGTTAGTGACACAGCCTCCCCAGCTACCACTGCAAGCTCCCCCCTCCTTACCTTCCACAAGTCCCATGCCCAGGTGCCCAGGGAGAAACCGCTTGTCTGGGGTGAGTCCGACATACATCCGGGCTTTGATCGTCTCGATGTGCTCCGCGTGAGTGGCATCAGTACCTGAAAGCCACTCCCGGTTACTCAGGTTAATCCAGACACTCCCTCAGGTGTCCCATGGGCACCTTCTTCTGCCTGGACTTCCTGTTCTAGGTGAGACCCCTCCAATCACATCTGGCCCACGTAGACATCATAATGGCAAACTCAGCTCTCCCTCACATCTGCTTACTCACTAAAGCTGTCAATTCCAGCTTTGAAATTCCTTCTTTCAGTCTTTCCCTTCTGCTCCATGTGTCAGAGCCACGGCCAGAGCCCACACCATCTCATCTGCACAATTACAACATCTTCAGTCTCCTCGTTTCTGGTCTCTTCCTCCACCCACCCCATTCTTTATGCTGGCCAAAGGGATCTTTTAAAATGTAGCTCTGCCATCAGGGAAATGCAAATAAAACTACAAAGAAAGGGGCCGGCCCTGTGGCTTAGCAGTTAAGTGTGCGCGCTCTGCTACTAGCAGCCCGGGTTCAGATCCCAGGCACGCACCGATGCACCGATTCTCCGGCCATGCTGAGGCGGCGTCCCATGTACAGCAACTAGAAGGATGTGTAACTATGACATACAACTATCTACTGGGGCTTTGGGGAAAAAGAAAAAAAGGAGGAGGATTGGCAATAGATGTTAGCTCAGAGCCAGTCTTCCTCAGCAAAAAGAGGAGGATTAGCACGGATGTTGGCTCAGGGCTGAACTCCCTCACCAAAAAAAAAAAAAAAAAAAAACTACAAAGAAATATCATTTCAGGGCCGGCCCCGTGGCTTAGCGGTTGAGTGCGCGCGCTCCGCTGCTGGCGGCCCGGGTACGGATCCCGGGCGCGCACTGATGCACCGCTTCTACGGCCATGCTGAGGCCGCGTCCCACATGCAGCAACTAGAAGGATGTGCAGCTATGGCATGCAGCAATCTGCTGGGGCTTTGGGGGGAAAAAATAAATAAAAAAAATCTTTAAAAAAAAAAAAAAAAAGAAATATCATTTCACACTCACTTGGATGGGTATAACCAAAAATAGTAACAAATGTTGGTGAGGATGTAGAGAAACAGCCCTCTTACACTACTGGAGAATTAAAAAATGGTGTAGCCACTGTGAAAAACAGTCTGGAGGTTCCTCAAAAGGTTAAACGTAGAGTTACCATATGACCTAGCAATTCTACTCCTAGGAATATACCCAAGAGACCTGAAACATGTCCACACAAAAACTAGTATACAAATGTTCATTGCAGCATTATCCATAATAGCCAAAAAATGGAAACAACCCAAATGTTTACCAAGTGGTGAATGGATAAACAAAATATACCTCCATTCAATGTATATCAGGTATACACATGCAATCAGACGGTGTGTGCTAACGAAAAGGAATGAAGTACTGAGACACACTACAACATGGATGAACCCTGAAAACATGCTAAGTGAAAGAAGCCAGTTACAAAAGGCCACATATTGTCTAGTTTCTTTTATAAGAAATGCAGAAACATCAGTGGCTGCCTAGGGCTGGGAAGACGGGAGGGAAGGGGGAATGGGGAGTGACTGCTAATGGGCATGGAGTTTCTTTCTGAGGTGATGAAAATGTTCTAAAATTGATTGCAGTGATGGTTACACAATTTTATAAATATACTAAACACTGAATTGTACATCTCAAATCAATGAATTGTATGGTACATGAATTATAGCTCAATAAAGCTATTAGCATTGTTTAAAAATACAGCTCAATTCTGCTCCTTTCCTTAGAAATCTTAGATGGCTCTCTGCTGACCACGGGCCAACGTCCAAGCCCCTCAGCCTGGCGCACCAGGCGCTGCCTCACCTTCTATGACACAACCTCCCTCACCTCATCCCCCTGCCACAGTGGCTTGTGCCTTCCTGTCCCTGAGTCCTTCCTCAGGCCCTGCCTGTGCTGGGCTTGACTTCACTCATTAGGAATTCCTACCATGAGGTGTTAAGGTCTCTGCCTGTTCCTGGCAGAACCCATCACACTGTATTTAGTGTGCTGGTTTGGTTTCTTTCTCCTGCTCAATAAACCCTTGAAGGGAAGGATTCTTTGTGTCCTCAGGGCCTAGACCAAGCTCTAGCTCTCGTAGGCCTCAAATTTCTCATGAATAAATCACGATGGGGGAACTAGCTCTGATTCTACCTAAACCGACAGGCTTCCTGGAGAGTACAGTAACAGCCAGTGGACTGTGGGTGGGAGCACTTCTTCCTAAGTCAGACAAAGCTCACTTTGTAGTGAGGCGGCCGTGCCCCTGAGGGAATGGCTTGCTTCCTAGCACACCCAGGGAGTCCCACTTCCCCTCCAACCACTTCTTCCTCTACCCACTTCCCTCTCCTTTGTGCCACAGGCCCTTCTGGACTAGCTCTGCCAGAGACAATCCTTAGAGCTGTGACGAAAACTGACAAGGGGGCAGATTTGTTACAAGGGACCCACTTGTAAACATTAGGTCTCAGGACTTACTGGGAAAAAACAATTCTGGCCCAGTTTTTTCTTTTTTAAACCTAATTTCTGATTCTTAAACAATTATGGGAAATATTTTAATAAAAGCTAAGAATATAGCCACCCATGGCTAACAGCAGGGTGGCAAACTCATACCCCTCAGGGGCCTGGCATGTAACAAGTAGGTGAGTGAAGCCAAGTGTTAGCAATGGAGAATGCACAACTAGAGGAGAAGGGCTGCCACTCAGATCCAACTGACTACTTCCACGTGGGAGCCAGGCTGCCAGACTTCCTCTGATACTTCCAAAGATGAAGATACAGATTTTTATGCTGAATCTCTCAAGTTTTAAATGTTGGTACCTTCTTAAAAATAAAACAAAAACAACAACAAGTCCTTGTGTAGGCCAGAAACAAAGTCTATGAACAGAACCTGGTCAGGGTGCTCCCAGTGGAGACCTCTGAGTTACGAGAAACATCTGCGTCCTTACATGGGTGGTGCAGAGCTGTGGTGAAGAACATCGATTGCAGAGTTATTCAAACCCAGGTCTTAATAATACATTCTGTGACTTTAGGCAAGTTCTTAACTTCTCTAAGCCTCACTTCAGCTATAAAGTGGGGGGAGAATATAACACCCACATTAGAGTTGTCATGAAGATCAGAACAGATACAGTGGCACATGAGGAGTGCTCAAGAGCCGCTAGTTACCATGACGACGCGCTACTGACCAATGCCATGCTTTTCCATGAGAGCAATGAGGTCGGCTTCAGTGAGCAGCTGGGGTGGACTGGTCTCCCCATCCACCATCTCTACAGTGCTGGGCTGAAAGCGGCAGCCTCTCTCATAGGCAGGGAGGGTCTACAGAGAGCAGAGGCAGTGTCAGTCAAATCAGTCTGCCAGGGCACTCAGGCAAGACAACTTGCATTTCAAAGAACATGGCCCTGCTCCATCAGACAGCACTAGGGTTGGGAACATGACTGTCTTTCCCTCTCCCTGAGGCCCACAGGGTGAGGTATGGATTCTGACCTCTGACTGGACCTACGATTTATCACCTTGTCACTCCAGTGATCATATGGGTACACATCCAGATAGTTTCGGGCCAGAATCACGAGGCCGTGGGCCATGAAGCGTTCCTGAGCGATGTCTATCTCCACGGTGGTCTCCTGCCCCTGAGCATCCTGGGAGCAGCAAGCTAGGAAATGGCGAATGATAAACTCATATATTCGCTGTTCATCTCCCTATGAAGAAAAGAAAAGAGCCTGAAACTCCCTGCAGGATACTACCTCTCAAGGATCTCAGCATCATTGGTAGTTTAACCTAGTTAATGTCACCTTTCAGGCTAAAGTTCTACACAGAACAAAGCAAACCGCTCCTGTAGCCTCCTGCACTAACACGGAGGGCCAGGCAAATCCTCTGTGTGCTTACAGGTTTAGGCTAATAACCTTCACACCTCTAATCAGGCAAAGATAAGCAAGGGAGTCATCTTGCCCTCAAGACTGGGAAGTGATTCTTTTGACATAAACCCTACCTAAGCAGAAAACAAGGAGAAAGCATAAGAAGGTAAGAAGATACTGCTTGTCGGGGCCAGCCCCCGTGGCTTAGCGGTTAAGTGCGTGCGCTCCGCTACTGGCAGCCCCGGGTTCAGATCCCAGGTGTGCACCGCTGCACTGCTTGTCCGGCCATGCTGAGGTGGCGTCCCACATACAGCAGCTAGCAGGATGTGCAACTACAACATACAACTATCTACTGGGGCTTTGGGGAGAAAAAGAGAAACAAAGGAGGAGGATTGGCAATAGATGTTAGCTCCGGGCCAGTCTTCCTCAGCAAAAAGAGGACTGGCGTGGATGTTAGCTCAGGGCTGATCTTCCTCACAAAATACATAAATAAATAAAAATTAAAAAAAAAAAAGAAGACACTGCTTGTATATAAGACACATAAACATGCACCTGGTGGTCTTAGACCAATTTGATGAACACAGGGGTCATGGTGATTTCCTACCAATTGAGTAGTCAAGGATTTAGCGAGGCTGAATCTATCAAAAGCCCATAAGATGTTCATAATCATATCCGATAATTCTCCTTCTAAGAACGTATTCAAAGGAAATAATGAGAGATCTGCACAAATATTTATCTATACAGATGTTAACTATAGTATATCATGTATCAAAAAGCTGGAAACAGGAGTGACATCAGCATTGTAGTGGAGGTGAATTGTTCCCTTTGTCTCTCCCCTCTAAGTTACAACCAAATGGACATCCGTTATCCAACAGAGGATTCCCTATACAACACAACAGACGCCTGCGAGATCCAGGCAGCTACACATCTGAAGCAGGTGGAATCTGTGACCAGAAGCATCAGGAACCACAGAAAGACCAGTGACCCAGCCCCCAGTGGTGGCAACCCCGACACCAGCTCCACCAGTGGGTGGGCCACACACAAGTGCCTGGGTCCCCAGGCCCCTGCCAGTGACAGTGACACCTGTGAACCCAGTACCCTGGCAGTGGTGCAACCAGCACCCCAAGACAACCTGGGAACAGCAGCGCAGGTGGTACACAGGACAGCAGTGTCCGAGCCTGTGGAGAGCCAGTGGAGGAACACTGGTGATCAGAACCAAAGTAACCAAAGCCTTACCCAAATAAGAAAAGGTGATTACTATCACAAATGTGCCAGTAGAGGATCAATTCATCAAACACCATGAAGAACTACAGTAACATGGCAGAACAGAAGGAAAAAGGAAAATGACAACTCTCTAGAAACCAAACCTGCAGTCAGAGAAGATTACAATCTAACTCACAGAGAATTAAAAATAGCTGTCATAAAGAAACTCAACGAGTTACAAGAAAACTCAGAAAGACAGTTCAGGGCTGGCCCCATGGCCTAGTGGTTAAAGTTCCATGAGCACAGCTTCAGCAGCTGGGGTTCACAGGTTTGGATCCCGGGCATGGACCTACACCACTTATCAGCCATGCTGTGGTGGCGATCCACATACAAAATAAAGGAAATGTTTACAAAATTCAAATTGTTAGCTCAGGGCAAATCTTCCTCAGCAAAACAACAAAAAGAAAGACAGTTCAATGAGCTCAGGAATAAAATTAATGAACAGAAGGAATACTTCACCAAAGAAATTGAAGCTCTAAAAAAAAAACACCAAACAGAAATTCTGTATATGAAAAACACAATTAATGAAATAAAAAATAATGTAGAAAGCATAAAAAATAGAGCAGACCTTATGGAGGAATTAGTGAGCTTGAAGGTAGAAACCTAGAAATACTTTAGGTAGAGGAAGAGAGAGAACTCAGAAAAAAAAAAAATGAATTTTTCAAGAAATATCTGACTCGATTAGGAAAAGTCACACAACAATTATACGTATCCCAGAGGGAGACAAGAGGGAGAAAAGAGCAGAGAGCTTGTTCAAAGAAATAGTAGCTGAGAACTTCCCAAACCTGAGGAAGGAACTGGACATGCAAGTACATGAAGCTAACAGAACTCCTAACTACATCAATGCAAAAAGACCCTCTCCAAAGCATATTAAAACTGTCAAAAGTCAATGACAAAGAAAAAATATTAAGGGCAGCCAAAGAGAAGAAAATAACCTACAAAGGAACCCCTATCAGGCTTTCAGCAGATTTCTCAGGAGAAACCTTCCAGGCTAGGAGAGAGTGGAATGATATATTCAAAACTAACAGCCAAGAATACTCTATCCAGCAAAATTATCCTTCAGATATGATGGAGAAATAAAAGCTTTCCCAGATAAACAAAAGTTGAGGGAGTTCACCACCACTAGATCTCCCTTACAAGAACTGTTGAAGGGAGACCTCCTACCTGAAACAAAAAGGTGAAGATTTACAAAGCTTTGAGCAAGGAGGTAAATAGATAGACAAAATCAGAAAATTGCAGCTCTATATCAAAATAGGTTAGCAAACACTAAAATATAACATAAAGGATTAAGGGAAAGAAACCATCGAAAATAAGTATAAACACTTCAATTTGGTCACAAACTCACAACACAGTGACAACAAAAATATAGAAGGAGAAGTGAAAAGGGATGGAACCTGCATAGGCTAATGGAGATAAGAGGCTATCAGAAAATGGACTATCTCATGCACAAGATCTTTCATACAAACCTCATGGTAACCACAAAACAAAAAATAAGAGTGGAGTCACAAATCATAAATAAAGAGAAAACCATCACAGAAAACCACCAAACTGAAACGGCAGTCAGAAATACAAGAGAAAAGAAACAATGGGAATACAGAACAACTGGAAAACAAAAGAAAATGGCAGTTTTAGCCCTCATATATCACTAATCACTCTACATGTAAATGGATTGGATTCACCAATCAAAAGACACAGAATGGTGGGATGGATTAAAAAAATGACACCCAACAATATGCTGCCTCCAGGAAAGACATCTTAGCTCTCAAGACAAACATAGGCTCAAAGTGAAGGGATGGAAGATGGTACTCCAAGAAAATGGCAAGCAAAAGAAAGGGAGTGTAGCCATACTTAAACAAAGCAGTCTTCAAGATAAAAAAGATAATAAGAAACAAAGATGGGCATTATATGATAAAAGGGACATTCCACCAAGAAGACATAACACTTATTAAAATATATGCACCTAACACAGGAGCACCAAAGTATATAAAGCAAATATTAACAGACCTAAAGACAGAAACTGACAGCAACACAATAATATAGTAGAGGACCTCAATACCCCACTTACTTAAATGGAGAGATTATCCAGACACAAAGTCAGCAAGAAAATAGTGGCCTTAAATGAAACACTAGATCAGATAGACTTAATAGATATACATAGAACATTCCATCCCAAAATAGCAGAATACACATTCTTCTCAAGTACACATGGAACATTCTCAAAGATAGACTATATGTTGGAAAACAAAGCAAGCCTCAATAAATTTAAGAAGATTTAAATCATACCAAGTATCTCTTCCAACCACAATGCTATGAAACTAGAAATCAATTATAAGAAAAAAGCTAGGAAAGTCACAAATATGTGGAAACTAAACAACATGCTACTGAACAACCATTGGATCAATGAAGAAATCAAAGGAGAAATAAAAAAATACCTACAGCAAATGAAAATGAAAACACAACATACCATCTCTTATGGGATGCAGCAAAAGCAGTACTAAGAGGGAAATTTATAGCAATACAGGCCTCCTTCAACAAACAAGAAAAATCTCAAATAAACAAGCTTACCTTATACCTAAAAGAACTATAAAAAGAACAAAGCCCAAAGTAAGTAGAAGGAAGGAAATAATAAAAATCAGAGCAGAAATAAATGAAATAGAGACTAAAAAAACAACAGAAAGGATCAATGAAACTACAAGCTGATTCTTTAAGAAGATAAACAAAATTGACAAATCTTTAGCCAGATTCACTAACAAAAAAAGAGAGATGACTCAAATAAATAAAATCAGGAATGAAAGAGAAGAAATTATAATGGACACCACAGAAATATAAAGGATTATAAGAGAATACTATGAAAAGCTATTTGCCAACAAATTGAATAACCTAGAGGAAACATATAAATTCTTAGAATCATACAACCTCCCAAAACTAAATCAAGAAGAAATAGAGAATCTGAATAGATCAATCACAAGCAAAAAGACTGAAACAGTAATCAAAAACCACTCAAAAAAAACAAGTCTAGGACCTGACGGCTTCCCCAATGAATTCTACTAAACATTCAAAGAAGATTTAACACCTATCCTTCTGAAACTCTTCCAAAAAAGTGAAGAGAAGGATAAGCTTCCTAATTCATTTTACGAGGCCAACATTACCCTGCTACCAAAACCAGACAAGGACAACACAAAAAAAGAAAATTATAGGCCAATATCGCTGATGAATATAGATGCCAAAGTCTTCAACACAATATTAGCAAATTGAATACAACAATATATTAAAAGGATCATACACCACAATCAAGAGGGATTTATTCCAGGGATGCAGGGATGGTTCAACATTGGCAAATCAATGTGATACACCACATGAACAAAATGAAGAATAAAAATCACGTGATCATTTCAATAGATGCAGAGAAAGCATCTAACAAGATCCAACATCCATTTATGATAAAAACTCTGAATAAAATGGGTATAGAAGGAAAGTACCTCAACATAATAAAGGCCATATATGACAAACCCACAGCCAACATCATGCTCAATGAAGAAAAACTGAAAGGCATTCCTCTGAGAACAGGAAGAAGACAAAGATGCCCACTCTTGCCACTCTTATTCAACACAGTACTGGCAGTTTTAGCTAGAGCAATTAGGCAAGAAAAAGAAATAAAAGGGATCCAAATTAGAAAGGAAGAAGTGAAATTCTCACTATTTGCAGATGACATGATTCTATATATAGAAAACCCTAAAGAATCCACCGAAAACTACTAGAAATAATCAACAAATACAGTAAAGTTGCAGGATATAAAATCAACATATAAAAATCAGTTGCATTTCGGGGCCCGCCCAGTGGTACAGTGGTTTAAATTTGCACGCTCTGGGCCGGCCCTGTGGCTTGGTGGTTAAGTGCACGCGCTGCAATGCTGGCGGCCCGGGTTCGGATCCCGGGTGCGCATCGAGGCACCACTTCTCCGTCCATCCTGAGGCCGAGTCCCACATACAGCAACTAGAAGGATGTGCAGCTATGACATACAACTATCTGCTGGGGCTTTGGGGGGAAAAAAAAAAAAAAAAAAATTTAAAAAAAAAAAAAATTTGCACGCTCTGCTTCGGCAGCCTGAGGTTCACGGGTTCAGATCCTTGGTGTGGACCCACGCACCACTCATCAAGCCACACTGTGGTGGCATCCCACATACAAAAAAAAAAATAGAGGAAGATTGGCACAGAAGTTAGCTCAAGCCAATCTTCCTCAGCAAAAAGAAGAGGATTGGCAACAGATGTTAGCTCAGGGCCAATCTTCCCGACAAAAAAAAATCAGTTGCATTTCTATACACTATAACGAATTAGCCGACAGTGAAGTCAAGAATACAATCCCATTTTCAATCGCAACAAAGAGAATAAAATACCTAGGAATAAATTTAACTAAGGAGATGAAAGACCTATACACTGAAAACTATAAGACATTATTGAAAGAAATCAAAGTAGAGATAAAGAAATGGAAAGATATTCCATGCACTTGGATTGGAAGAATAAACACAGTTAAAGAGTCCATACTACCTAAAGCAATCTACAGATTCAATGCAATCCCAATCAGAATCCCAATGACATTCTTCATGGAAATAGAAGAAAGAATCCTAAAATTTATATGGAACAACAAAAGACCCCAGATAGCCAAAACAATCCTGAGAAAAAAGAACAAAGTTGGAGGTATCACACTTCCTGAATTCAAATTATACTACAAAGCTACAGTAATCACAACAGCATGGTACTAGCACCAAAAGAGAGACAGATCAATGGAACAGAACTGAAAGCCCAGAAAAAAACCATACATCTATGGACAGCTAATCTTTGACAAAGGAGCCAAGAACGTACAATGGAGAAAGGAAAGTCTCTTCAATAAGTGGTGTTGAGAAAACTAGACAGCCACATGCAAAAGAACGAAAGTAGACCATTATCTTACACCATACACAAAAATTAACTCAAAATGGATTAAAGACTTGAATGTAAGACCTGAGACCATAAAATTCTTACAAGAAAATATAGGCAGTACACTCTTTGACATCAGTCTTAGCAGCATTTTTTTGAATACCTTGTCTACTCAGGCAAGGGAAACAAAAGAAAAAATAACAAATGGGACTACATCAGATTAAAAAGCTTCTGCACAGCAAAGGAAATCATCAACAAAAGGAAAAGACAATCCACTAACTGGGAGAAAATATTTGCAAATCATATATCCGACAACGGGTTAATTTCCAAAATATATAAAGAACTCATGTAACTCAACAACAAAAAAATAAACAACTCAAAGCAGAAAATGGGCAGAGGATATGAACAGACATTTTTCCAAAGAAGATACACAGATGGGCAACAGGCATATGAAAAGATGTTCAACACCAATAATTATTAGGGAAATGCAAATCAAAACTACAATGAGATATCACCTCACACCTGTCAGAATAGCTATAATTATCAAGAAATAACAAGTGTTGGAGAGGATGTGGAGAAAAGGAAACCCTCATACACTGCTGGTGGGAATGCAAAACTGGTGCAGCCACTATAAAAAACAATATGGACACTTAAAAAATTAAAAATAGAAATATTATACGACCCAGCTATCCCACTACTGGGTATTTATCCAAAGAACATGAAATCAACAATTCAAATAGATTTATGCATCCCTATGTTCATCACAGCATTATTCACAATAGCCAAGACATGGAAGCAATCCAGGTGCCCATCAACAGATGATTAGATAAAGATGCTGTATATATATACAATGGAATACTACCCAGCCATAAAAAAAAGACAAAATCGTGCCATTTGCAACAACATGGATGGACCTTGAGGGTATTCTATTAAGCGAAGTAAGTCAGAGAAACACAAACACCGTATGATTTCACTCATACGTGGAAGATAAACACATAGATACGGTGAACAGACTAGTGGTTCCCAAAGGAGGAGAGGTGGGAGGAGGGCCAAAGGGATAAAGGGGCACACATGTATGGTGACAGATAAAAACTAAGGCTATTGGTGGTGAACACAATGCAGTATATACAGAAACCAAAATATAATAATGTATACTCAAAATTTACACAATGTTATAAGCCAATATGATCTCAATTAAAAAAAAAAGTTGGAAACAACCTAATCTGTCAAAAACAGACTTGGCAAAATAAATTATGGTAGGGGCCAGCCCGGTGGCATAGCAGTTAAGTTCACACGCTCTGCTTCAGCAGCCCAGGGTTAGCAGGTTCAGATCCTGGTTGTGGACCTACACACCACTTATCAAGCCATGCTGTGGCAGGCATCCCACATATAAAGCAGAGGAAGATGGGCACGGATGTTAGCCCAGGGCCAATCTTCCTCAGCAAAAAGAGGAGGATTGGCAACAGACATTAACTCAGGGCTAATCTTCCTCACAAAAAAAAAAGAAAAAAAGAAAAAACTAATATGCGTTATTAAAAGAAGAAGGAAAAAGACACTTACTTAGCTTTGCGATAAGCCTGCAGGTGTCAAACAAGCCTGACTAGCTCCAGCCCTCATGGAGCTCATTCCTCAACTGAGAAAATGACTGCAACATGTGACACATTCAAGCACAGCTGAGTGTGCAAACTCTGCAGTTCCTGGGGTAGGACAGGAGGGGGGTGGTAAAGTTTCGAGGAGGCGATGGAAACCGATCCGGTCTCGGGAGGATGGATAGGATACTTCCAGTTAACAAGGGACCAAGGAGGCCAAGCAGTTCCGTGTGGGTGTGGGAACTGAGGAGGTACAGGAAAGGTGACCTGCCTAGTATGTGTGTGGAGGGATCAGCGAAGCAGCAGAGGGAGTTGACAGAGCAGGGAAGTGGGGCTGGATAGAGAACAGAGCCCACCATGGGGGTCTTTCATGAAAGCCAGGCAGAAGATGACGATATAAGAGAATTTTGACACTAACATCTCTTTTCCGAAACAGAAGGGACAGCTCAAAATCACTTAGTTCTTACAATAAAAGCCCACAGAGTAAATTCAAATCCTACTACTGACCCCTCACCTCCCTCTGGGTTCCGGCAAACAGTACGGTCAGAGACACCAACCTGCAAGTTGCTCGTGTATTTGGTGGGGTGGATGGGAGGGTGAGCTTGGTCAGACTTGTTCCCGTTGCGTGGGGTAGGGCCACCCCGCTCTAGAATGTTCTGGGCAAAGGCCCCCCAGCGTGGATCCACGGTCTGCTGCTCCACCAGCGCTGTTAGGTTTAAGTCTTTGGGGAAAATGTTTGTTTCAGTTCGTGGATAGCTGATGTACCTAAAACGAAGGCAAACAAATGGAACAAGAAATTGCTACAACTGGTCTATAAACAAACAAATGAGATTTAAAACACCTGGTGACACCTGCATTAACCCATCCAATCCAGCCAACTCAACTAAAGGCAACCTAGGTTACCTACGCTGAGAAAATTCTGAGATGTGACCCCCTAAAGGGCTAAGGAGCAGTAGGCTCTCTTGCTAGCACATTCAAAGAAGCCAAAGGATCAATGAAAGGGGCAGCACAGTGTAGGGCATGCTCCCTACAGCTCAGCTCTGCCAGCAGCTGTTCGCCTGGGCATATCCTTGGCCGTCTCTAGTGCCAGTCTGACAGAGCAACCCCAGGATGAGCCCCACGGCACTCACAGTTCCAACAGTGTGTGCTTCTACAACTTTCCTTAAAGTATAGAAAGAACAATGCTGCCCAGTAAACTATAATGTGCAGCCTACATGTAATTTCAAATTTTCTATTAGCCACTTAAACATTATTGAGATCATTTACATTCCTTTTTTCATAAAAGTCTTAGAAACGCAGTATATATTTTATACTTACAGCACTTCCCAATTTGGACAACCCAAATTTCAAGTGCTCAATAGTTACCTACGGCAAGTGGCTGCCACACTGGCCAACGTGGACCACACTGTCACGGGACGGCACCAGGGTGCTCATGACCCCGAGACAGGATGATTTACAACAGGCAAACAACTCCTGAAGGGGCTGCTTGCCACCTGCCAGGGCTCCAGGGGAGGTGCTGAGTGCTCAAGAGTGGGATTTGAATTCACTCTATGGGCTCTTAATTTAGGAAATAAATGATTTTGAAATGTCTTTTCCCTATCAGAAAAGAGAAGTCAATGTCAAAATTCTTCTACTTCAGAGCTCAGCCCTCGAGACAGTTTGTGTTTCCCCATAAGCTGTATTTCTAAAATATTTCACCCGGACAAAGATGCATCAAATTCTATTCCCAAATGTAGAATACTGACCCTTGAGTGTAGAGCTTTTCGGCAATCCTCATGGTTTCTTTAGCATTTATTCTCAACTTTCGAGAAGCCAGCTTTTCAAGCTCCTGTTAATGTGTCAACAGGCATGTTAGGGTATAGTGCGTGAGTCAGAGGGCACGACACAACCACACAACTCATCTTCAGAACTGTCTGGCCCCGTCACTCCAGCTGCTGTCACACAGAGGGAGGAAGACTGTGCTGAACAAAAAAGTTCTGGACCTGCTAGGCAGAGCCAGATCTCAGCCCAGCAGTTCTCAGACTCTGAAGTGCAGAAGCAAGAATCACCTGGAAGCAAGCAGATTCCGGGCCCTGAGCATTAGGGATTCTGACAGAAGAGGGCTGGGATAAAGGCCAGAAATCCGCATTTTTTAACAAGCATCTAATTTATTGATTTTAACACAGGCAGTCTGAGAGCCACACTTTGAGAACACTATCTGAGCCCCAGGAAATTCCCCTGGATGATGAATACCATTCTTTTAGGCCTCCTGGGAGAAAATCAGCTGTCCTTTCCCCATGGTGACACTCCAACAATGCTGTTGGCTACATGTCAAAGCATATTTAAGCAGTGAGCAATGAAACACTTATGCCTACTATATGAAATCAATTCATAACTCTCCCCTCGTCATCCCTCCACACACACACACACACACACACACACAGTGCCACACCTGAGATAAAGAACGCACTGCCCACCAGTCTCTGCGTGTTTCTTAGCCCGCACATTCTGTATGTTCAACCTCCAGAGTTAACCCAGACAGTAATTATCCCCTGAACTTTCCTGCCAAGTGGTGACTGGGAAGGGGCACCCTAATGTGTTTTACTCAGACTTATGTCCCATGAGGGTGGCTCTTCTGGCTCAAAAAATTGAGAAACCCTATTCTAGAGTAGGCTTATTCTTTTTTTTTTTTTTTTAAGATTTTAAAGATTTTATTTATTTATTTTTTCCCCCAAAGCCCCAGTAGATAGTTGTGTGTCATAGTTCCACGTCCTTCTAGTTGCTGTATGTGGGACGCGGCCTCAGCATGGCCGGAGAAGCAGCGCGTCAGTGCGAGCCCGGGATCCGAACCCGGGTCGCCAGCAGCGGAGCGCGCTCGCTTAACCACTAAGCCACGGGGCCGGCCCTAGAGTAGGCTTATAAAGCAGATATTTAAAATGATGTTTACAGACTGTGCAGAAACATAAAAAAAAAAAATGCTCAGATGGAAAAAACAAGCTATTCCAATTACACTGCTGTAAAAAATAAGCATATAAAAAAACAGGAAGAGGGTCTGGCCCGTGGCACAAGCAGTTAAGTGCACGCGTTCTGCTGTGGCGGCCCGGAGTTTGCTGGTTCAGATCCCGGGCATGCAGTGACGCACCACTTGGCAAGCCATGCTGTGGCGGTGTCCCATATAAAGTGGAGGAAGATGGGCACGGATGTTAGCCCAGGGCCCATCTTCCTCAGCAAAAAAAGAGGAGGATTGGCAGATGTTAGCACAGGGCTGATCTCCTCACAAAAAAAAAAACAACAAAAAAATAGGAAGAAAAGACATCAAGATTATATCAGTGATCACATAAGGATGATGAGAAGATGGGTGATTTATTTTCCTCTTTTTGTTTTCCAAACCCCACTTAAAGTAGTTATATTGCATTTATTCACTTAAAAAAAGCCATTAAGAGGCCAACCAGGCCTGTGTTTGGGGGTTTCTGTTTGTCCCAAGCGCTTTCCTAATGTGCCCCTGGAAGGGTGACGCTTTCTGCCACTGGGCCACCGTTGGAGGCAGAACCCCGGTCCCAACAACAGGAAGTCAGAGCTCCTCAGGGGCTGGTGCAGGCCCTCCAGAACATACCACAGTGTCCAAAGCTTGAGGCCTCCACTTGCTCTTTGCCTTAGACCTGACCTCCACCACGGTCGCCCTGGGATCCTAGAAAGCCAGGAAAAGCAGAGGCCACTTTAAGCTACTGGTGAATCTTTCCCAGCTTTCCTATGACAACCCCTGCTCACCATTCCAGATCACACTCACCGCCAGCAGAGGCCCCTACTCTAGCCCGTGAGAGTGCCCCACATAATGCGGGTTTATACTGCTCAGTGTGATGGATGCCATCCCCACTTTCCTGCTCAAACCAAAACTTGGAGGGGCAATTTCACAAGCCCTAAGGTGCCTCCTCCACAGCCTATGAAATACAACAGCCTATGCATCTCCTAAGCACAGTTTCCTATCTACACATGCACGGCGTTATTATTTTTTAAATTCATGATAATACAGAGTTAGAAATAGGGGAAATTACATAATACAAGCTGGAGAAATCTAATCTTAAGATCAACTTCATAATTTTCAGAGACTGCAAATGGACAAAGAACTCAGTTTAAGTGATTTGTTAATGAGGATATTTGTATATCAAAATCTAAACTTCTCTCTCCAAAAAGACTGAGGACTGGGTGCTCTTGACAATAAGCTCAAAGTATCCCACGTGTCATGTTTTCCTGCACCACATCCTAGTAAAATAGAAAAAGGGCAGGTCTTTTTAATTGAACAGATAAACGTGCAGTGTCACAGACACACCAGGTGGTGCCATGACCTTCAGGGTCAAAGGGGGGAGTAGTGGACAGACAGGGTGACCCTGGGAGGCAGCTGGTCTGCAGGAGCTCAGGAGTCAGACAAACTGGGATCCAGTCCATGCTCTGCCCCTTACTAGCTCCAGTGTGTCTGTGCACGAGTTACTTAACTTTCTCTAGCTTCCTCCTCTGTAAAATGGGAAGAGTTTCACCACCCTCACAGGCACCATTAGGACTAAGTAAAATAACATGCACCACATAGTGTGTCTGGCACATAGCAGGTGCTCAGTAGTTTCGACTCCTCCTTACCAAATCTATAATAAACTCTCCAGTGGGCTATAGCCAAGAAGCATACCTGACTCATCAGACCTGGAGACCTGAGTTTTATTTAGGTACCACTGTGTGCAGCCCCTGGGTTAAAACAGGCTATTACATGCTGATCGACAGGAAGCAACATCACAACATGGACGATCAGTCTGAGGGTTGCAACTCAGCCACTGATGGCCTACGGCCTGAGCTGGTCATGGTCCTTCGCATGTGCTGCTCTCTCTATTGACATATGCTTCCCTCAGGTCCTCTCATGGCTGCCTCCTGCTAATCCCTCCAGCCCTCACTTACACGTCACCGCTGAGACACCTTTCATGGCCACCACACCTGGAATAGCCCCTCTATTCCTTTACTCCCCAGGCCATGCTCTACTCCTTTACTCTACTTTTATTTCCAGGCATGTTTTGCTGTATGAGGTTAACTTGTTCACCTGTTTGTGACTTGCACCTCTCTAGATTTCATCACCTGACCAATGGAAGAGGGAGTTGGACCAGATGCTTCCCAAACTCCTTCCAGCTCTAGAAGTCTATGATCCAGACTGGTCGAGCTGATCCTTATTCATCTCTGGTGACAGTATCCTGCTTTGGGGGAGGGATTTCAGCTATACATTTCTTAAAATATCTGACTTTACCTAAAAGTTCTACAGATCCTTTCCTTCTACATTTTTTTAGTGCTGTTTTCATGGGATGCTAGTCTCACTGATCCCCAGAAAGTGATGGCCTGAGATGCAAACTGAAAGCTACAGTTCACTGGGAAAACGGGACAGGATTCCCTCTGCCAACAGACATGGGGCGGCTTTGAAAATTGTAGAATGGTTTTCCAGGATCATTAAGATTTCAAAGTATTTTTTACCTCCATACACAGCTGATAGAGGACAAGACAGGCTGTGTGGTTAAAGAGACGATGCCTTTTCCAGTTGAATTCTACAATTCCATCTTTGTGGTCATGAGTTACTAAATTGGGGAAAGACAAACAGGAAAGCAGTGACTCAGAGAAGCCACATGCTATGACAGATAGGAAAATGTATTACAGTGAAAGTCAAAGGAATATGAAGTAGAGAAGCTCGCTAAACTTTAAGTGGATTCTGAATATTCTAATGGGGTAGGGTGGAGGGCAGCAAGACTAAAAAATAAATCACACATTTAATTAGTGCCATTGATACTCCATGGTGCCCCTGGTTACTCCTTGGCCCTTAGGTTCCATACCATAAACAACTCCCCCAGACTTACCTTTAATTTTGTGAAAGATTTCTGGCACAAAAGCCTGAATGGCTTTGAACCTCTCCACCACAAACCCCAGTGTTGGGAACTGGCAGCTGCCGTAACTGATCAGCTGCTCTGCCAACACCTCGGGGAAAATCTTTTGAAGCCTCAGGGTCTGGAACCTAGTGAAGGCAGCTCCTGGAAAGTGAGGATGGAAAGAAGGAATGAGAAAATGATGGACTGCAAGGTCAAAGGTAGGTGCACATATTTACATACAAACCTCACGTCTGGTTCCATAACCCAATAACCAGTGACCCATGTGGGCCATCAAAAGTAGTTTGTCCAGCTCCTCACCAATCCTCAGATCCAGCTCCTGCCTCACGTCCACAGCATCGCTCACTCTCTGATCAGGCTCGGTCAGGTTTTCACAGGCCATCCTGACAGCTCGGGGAGTGATCTCAGAGAAGCGGGCTCTCAACACCTGCAGATTGGGCTTCACTGTGGAACAGAGAGTCACCAAGGTTAAAGTCCAATCACACTGGGCTCATCACAAACGGCTTGCTTTTCTTAACCTCCTTGAACGAAAGGTAAACCAGTTCAAGAAGCTGCGAGGTGTCCAATTTTCATCACTAGGTTAAATTAACAGTACACTGTATATGAGGGAAACTTTACTATAACTGCTAAACTGAGTATTGTCAGAAATAACGGTGGAGCAAATTTTAGCTACTAACTCAAGCTCTCCAGTGAGCCTTTTGAGACTTTAACCTCACTTGCTCTCTTAGACCTACAGGGAAAAGAAAAATGTTGTTAATTAAAAGGTCCTTGGGGCCGGCCCCATGGCCTAGTGGTTAAGTTCAGCACGCTCCGCTTTGGCGGCCGGGGTTCAGTTCCCCAGATGTGGACCTACACCGCTTGTCAGCAGCCATGCTGTGGTGGCAACCCACATATAAAACAGAGGAAGACTGGCACAAATGTTAGCTCAGGGCAAATCTTCCTCAAGCAAAAAGAGGAAGATTGGCAACAGATGTTGGCTCAGGGCCAACTGTCCTCAGCAACAATGATGACAACAACAAAAGGTCCTATGTCTTGTCATAGAAATAATGTAAGACATATACATTGCTCCTGAAAGTCAACGTATTTAAATCCCAGGAGTCATTATAGCTTCAAAAACAGGGAAAACAGCAACCCCCTAACTCTTCGAAGCCCAAGAATGGCCTTCCTCTAAGTTACCTGAAATCATTAACCCTGTTAGAGCCATTTAAGTTCATTTCAACATTTATTAATATTCAGGCACTATACAAAGAATATAGGAGATAAAACATTGGGGCCAGCACAGTGGCATAGTGGTTAAGTTCGTGCACTCTGCTTTGCCGGCCCAGGATTCACAGGTTTGAATTTTGGGCATGGACCTATGCACTGCTTATCAAGCCATGCTGTGGTGGCATCCCATATACAAAACAGAGGAAGATGGCTACGGATGTTAGCTCAGGGCTAATCTTCCTCAGCAAAAAAGAGGAAGATTGGCAAGGGATGTTAGCTCAGGGCCAATCTTCCTAAGGAAAAAAAATAAAATAAAAAGGAGATAAAACAAATAGAATATTCTAGAATTATTCTTCATACTTTACATATGGTATATAATTCTTTTGTAAATATTCTATATACAACTGTAAAAAACAGAATATAAAGTCCCTGCTCTCGAGGAGCTGGCAATCTACTTGGACCTAAAATATAACAAGCCCTGGACTACAGGGTCTACACCACTTATAAACTCAGTTAGTACTCACGCAACCCTAGGAACTGTGTCAGACTGCCTGACTTTCCAGAGAAGGAAGCCAAGGTTCCCAAGGGTTCAGTGACTTGCTCTAGGACACAAAGCCAGTGAGACTCACAGAGGGATTCAGGAGGGAGAGTATATGGGAGGAGCTCAGCCACAGCCCACTCGCACATATATACAGGAGAACCATCTATTTACATGGTCCCAAAGTACAGAAACTCTGAAGGGGCGTCACTTACCAGCCTTGCATACATGGATAATCTCAAACCCGATATTTTCACCTTCTCTATCACAGTCGGTCCAGATCACCAGGGCCTGGCACTGTCGAGTTTCTCGTTCCAGAGTTTTCTGAAGTTCCCAGTGGGAAAAGAGCAGTGAGAGCACAATCGGCAGAGCACTTACTTTACACCTCTACACCAAACACGTCTGACTGAACGCTAACGATGTTCTCCGAGTGTGCCAACTTGGTGAGAAAAAGAGACCAGAGAAAACTGTTCTTACCAGTTCTAAGGATGGTGAGGTCCTAGTACAATCCTCCAGCTTAGTCACAGACTCACTAAGGAGCTTCCTGAAGACTGAGGGTTTAATACAACTATACAGCATAATGAAACCCAAAACTCAGCTCTAACACACACTTCTAACTCTAGTGGTTCTGATTATGTTCTGGTTAAAAAAAAATTAACCTCTAATTGAGTTTCACCCCAAGGTTTCCCAGTTAGCAGTGAACTAACTATAGGTGCCCTGATTCTTGAGAACTCACAACTTACTGTCAAATGACCATTTATACTTTGTAGTTTCTTCATGCCAACTAGGGGTAGGATGGGAGCTAGAATTAATAACAGTACTTCTTCCTAGTGTTTACCTCAACAACTACTATTCATAAAAAGGCTTACTTCAATTCCTTGGCCACTTACTTTGAACGGTCTCATTTATACAATGGGTGGGAATAATTTTTTAAATCATGGTACTTAGTTTGGTGGAAAACCCAATCTCTAAATTCTAACGCATTCAAAATACAGAAATCACTCAGTTCCATTATTCTGTGGTTGTTCAACTCCAGTGCCATATGTCTTCCAAAAGATCCTACCTTGATGTCTACAAAATTCTCTGGGCAGTACTTTTCAATTTCTGCTTCAAAGAGGACAAGGGGATTGCAGCTCTGCCTACAAAAGAAATAAAAACACAAAAAATCCTACCTCAGCACATTACAGAAAGTCCTCCATTTTAATGAGAAAAAATTGCTCCAGTGCACTCATGGATGGATCCCCAACAGAAAAAGTCCCACATGAGATGCCAGAGGATTAAAAGCAAGGCTATGACTCTCTGCACAATGCACTGTCCACTTCCCATGACGACTAACAGGAGCTGCTAAGAAGAACTTCTGGAATCCTTTCATACACATCTGCAGCAAGAGGATACATGCAACCCAGAGACTGCATGAAAAAGCTCTAGCTATCTGGGGGAACACACCTAAAAGTGGCTGTTTATTCTAAATATATGGTAAAAAGTCACAGCAAATCAGTTAATCCTAGGTCACTGCTATGGTCTCTATGGTTTGTGTCCTCTCCCAAAATTCACATGTTGGAATCTAAAGCCAATGTGATGGTACCAGAAGGTGGGCCTTTGGGAGGTGATTAGGTTATGAGGGTGGAGCCTCATGAATGGGATTAGTGCACTTACAAAAGAGACCCCACAGAGCTCCCTAGAGCCCTCCACCACGTGAGGACACAAGGAGAGGTCAGCAGCCTGCAACCAGAAGAAAGCCCTCACTTGACCACGCTGGCACTTTGATCTCCTACTTCCAGCCTCCATAACTGGGAGAAACAAATTTCTGTTGTTTATAAGCCACCCAGTCTGTGGCATTTTGTTACAGAAGCCCAAATGGATTCAGTCAGTCATCTTGGTATAGTCATAAGCCACATAACAATGTTTTTGGTCAACAATGGACTGCATATACAATAACGGTCCCATACGATTAGTACCACACAGCCTAGTATACAGTATATAGTAGGCTATACCATCTAGTTTTGTGTGCGTACACTCTATGATGTTTGCACGATGATGAAATCGCCAAACAATGCACTTCTCAGAATGTAGCCTCATCATTAAATGATGCATGACTATATTACGTTTAAGTTACACAGTAAGATCAACATGCCTCAAAATTCCTGTAGTATTTCACAACTTACTATAATAATCAAAAAGTTCTTCCCCCCCAGGAATTGTACTGACCATTTGCGAAACTGCATCCGGAAATCATGAGCCAGCAAATGTCCAGAAACTGAAGTCATTATCATGGTAACACTCTGAATGATAACAAAATTTGAGTTAGTCTTTTAGCAATTACATTTTGCCAAATCATTCAAATAAAAAAGAGGAACTTCTATTAAAGGAAAAAAAAGTGGTTGCCAGGTAGTGGGGGGATGAATTGGCGGAGCACAGACAATTTTTAGAGCACTGAAAATACTCTGTGTGATATTATAATGGTGGATATATGTCATTATACTTTTGTCCAAACCCACAGAATGTACACTACCAAGAATGGACCCTAATGTAAACTGGTCTCTTGGTAATTATGTGTCAATGTAGGTTCATCAATTACAACAAATGTACCTCTCCGGTGACGATGTTATTAATGGGGAAGACTGCAAATGTGTAGGGGCTGGGGGTATGTGGGAACTCTCTGTACTTTCCTCTCAATTTTGCTGTGAACCTAAAATTGCTCAAAAATAATGTCTATAAAACAAAAACCAGTTGACTAGGAAGAAACAAACATAAATATAGCTCTTCAAGCCAAAAGCCATAGTAATACAATCACCATTCTAATTCTAGTACCATGATGCCTTTTGTAGCATTTAAAATTTCCTCAAACTATTGTCTATTAGCTTCCTTCCTCTTTTATAATTTTATTTATTTATTTATTTTTCCCCCAAAGCCCCAGTAGACAGTTGTGTGTCATAGGTGCACTTTCTTCTAGTTGCTGTATGTGGGACACGGCCTCAGCGTGGCTGGAGAAGCAGTGCGTCTGTGCGCGCCTGGGATCCGAACCCAGGCCACCTGCATCAGAGCGCACACACTTAACCGCTAAGCCACGGGGCCGGCCCTGCTTCCTTCCTCTTATAAAGAGCTGAGATGGAACTATATTTTATTAAAAAGAGACTTCCTTATAAATTATAAAATGATCACCTGTAACCAGGGATCTTTAGGTCATAACAATAGTTATACTTAAAAGACAGTGACGTATTCTACAATGGCCAGGGTAATTCTTCTTGATTACATAACTTTAAAATACAAGCAATTTAGGGAAGACTTGTAGTAAACAGCTGTTCTTTTTGGCTGTAACAAAAAACCCAAGAAATGTACACTAAAATGACACATGGATCCAAAAGCACACTTCAGCTGTATGATAGAAACCTTGTAGCACCTACCTGGCCATACAGATGATAATCAAATTCATAGATCTTGTTGAATTTAGAAAGTCCATCCCTCTATAAAACAAAACAAAAATTAAAAACACATGTAAATTACATAAAAAACAAATGATTCCAGCGGTTAAGTGCGCACGCTCCACTGTGGCGGCCCAGGGTTCACATGTTTGGATCCTGGGCGCGCACCGACGCACTGCTTATCAAAGCCATGCTGTGGTGGCGTCCCATACAAAGTAGAGGAAGATGGGCACAGATGTTAGCCCAGGACCAATCTTCCTCACCAAAAAAAAAAAAAAAAAAGTAAGAAAAAAAGAAAAAAAAGTAAAGATAAAAAAGAGGAGGATTGGCATCGGATGTTAGCTCAGGGCTGATCTTCCTCACCCCCCAAAAAAAAAAAAAAAGATTCCATAGCATAAAAATCAAGCAAAATCCTGATAAGTGGGAATATTAAAAATACAACAGTATTTCCTATACATAAAAACTAGACTAAATTACTAAGACCATTTATTAAGTGGTCACTCAAAACACAGTTACAAGCATGTACTTGATAGAGTCCATGGAGTTTTTATGCTGGAAGGTAACCTTGAGATCAGCTATTATAACAACTTTTTACACACAAGAATGGACTTGTCCAAGGTCACATGACAAATTAATGGCAGAGAAAGGATTAGGATATAAATCTTGTAACGATTTTCTCCTTCCTCCCCACACATTACTACTATTTCCTGGCCACACAATTGCACCAGCAAACTGGTGACCATGGGCAAGTCATTCACCTTTCCGAACCTTTATTCTTGAATAAAATTATCTCTAAGCTCCCTCTGGCTCTGAAATCCAATATCACCATGAGCCCCAGTCAGGACCGGAATCCTGTCTACAAAGCACTTCTTCAGCTGCACTGTGGATGAACAAGGCGTCCCACTTTCTTCCACAAAGGTGTTAAAAGTAGTTATGCATGTGAGTTTCACACCAACACTGCCCAGAAGACAACAGAAAGGCAAAACAGGAACTGGGGATACGTTCAAGGGCCAAGAAGAATCAGTGTCGAGAGGATACTCCCTCAGCCTCACAAAGACAATTTTTCTGTGTAGATGAGGTTCTCTTTGAGGCATAATGGCAAATTTAAAGAGAGAATTTATTAGAGTATCTGATACTTAAGAGTTCACTGGATTAATGTTGCAAAGAAAAGAAACTCCCTTCTACAAATTCCAATTGCTAGTTAAGCCCTTTACTAACAGAGAATAGAAATTGCCTAACCAATGGTTTCTACTTCTTTTTAAGAAAGCATTGAAGCTTTCCCAAACAAAACCTTATACGGACCCTACGATATAATGAAGTTGAGGTACTCTGGCTGCAACAAGGCTGAGTCTTGCTTAACTCAGCCTCTCCCCAGTCTAGCCCCAAGTGGCTCCCTAGGTGCACATTCATGGTCCACTGGGTCTCTTGGGAACATAGTCTGAAACCCACTGTTCTAATCCTCTCCAGGTAAACGACTTGTCTAATAACATGTGTGCGACCCCAGGTCCAGGGCTCTCCCAGGCAGCCTCCTCCACCAATGGATAGTCTTGAGGATGTACTTGCCTCCCTGTAATTCCCATTTGAAGATAGTACACAATTATGTGCAATTCCATCTCTTGGAGGAGGTGTTCAGGGGAATAGGCTGCTTCTAAACTACAGTGGAGTTCTGGAGCCTAGAGAGAGAAAAAAGGATAGATCAACAAATGTAGCTTCTGTGACCTCTTTTCTCTCTTTTGTAGTGCTATCCACTCTATTAAAAAAAAAAGAGTCCAAATCCCATCTTCTCTAAGCACTCTGTAGGAACTGATCACACTGCTGCCCCTAAATCTATAGCAGGATTCTTTTTTTAAAATTTCTCCTTCTGAATATAAAAATAAAACCATGAAAAAACTGTACACACACAGAAAAGTCCCAAAAAATCTTTTAGTTATTAACAACAGTTACTGAGGTGGTGGGGATGGTTTATTTGACACACATCTGTATTCTCTGAATTGTTTGCAATAATTACCACTGACAAAGAAAAAAGAAACAGAAACATTCTATCTCTTGTTAATGTTTTGGTGAGTTTCTTTCAAAGACACATACATATTTGTTTAAAAGTCTTTTCAGGGCCAGCCTGGTGGCACAGTGGTTGGGTCTGCACGCTCCGCTTTGGCAGTCTGGGGTTCAGGGGTTTGGATCCCTAAACCTACTCACTGCTCATCAAGCCATGCTTTGGCAGTGTCCTACATGCAAAAATAGAGGAAGACTGGCACAGATGTTAGCTCAGGGCCCATCTTCCTCACCAAAAAAATAAATAAATAAAAATAAAAAGTCTTTTTCATAATAGATGTCTAATAACCTATCATAAGGAAGTAAAATTTATTTTACCATTCTATTTCCATTACTAGTTCTTGTTATTTCAATTCTTTGTTATTATAAAGCTGCAATGACCATCATTTGATTCTGAGTTGTGTGTGTCTGAGCTCCTCTATCAAAATTTAATTTAACTCCTCTATCAGAATTTAAGGTAGGGATAATGTCATTCAATGTGATTTTCATGTAGCAGGTTCTGTTTGAGGGATGAATAAATGAACAGGACCTGTCAGTGTTCTTAGGGAGGTGGCACTCCATGGGAGAGATGGATAAACAGCTAGATAACTCGACCAATGCTGACTGCTATCATCAAGAGAGATGAAAATGCATCCAGAAACAGAGAATGAAATGGATGGACAGGATGCTTAGGAAAGACTTCACAAAAGAGGTTACATTTAGGTTGTCTATTATTTTTTCTTTAGGTCATCAAAAAGATGAAGAGTTCATCAGGAGAGAAGAAGGAAAATATTATTCCAGGAAGAAGGACCAAAATTTGTAAAAGCACGGTAAACTTGTATCACTTAAACTCTGATTGCTTCTATCATTCCCTTCCTCTCCATTCCCTCTGCTCCTACCTAAACCATTCCAAGGGTCTCCAGAGTTCAGGCCTCTGAACGCTCACATGGAGAACTCCAACAGCTGTCTCCCTACCTCTAGCCTTTCGCTCTTCAAATCCTCTGCTGCCAAAGTGACTTTATAAAACACAAATATTACCCCAATACACCCCTACTTAAAACCTACATTGCTCATTTCAATTGAAGCAGAAAAAGCATTTGATAGAAATTCAACACCCTTCATGATAAAAGGCATTTACAAAAAACCCACAGCTAACATCACACTCAACGGTGAAAGACTGAAAGCTCTTCCTCTAAGGTAAGGAACAAGACAAGGATGCTCATTTTTGCCATTGCTATACAAGATTACTATAAGTTCTAGCCAGAGTTATTAGGCGAGAAAAAGAAATAAAAGACATCCAAATTGGAAAGGAAGAAGTAGAGTTATCTCTATTCACAGACAACATGATCTTATAGATAAAAATCCTAAAGAAGCCACATACATACAAAAAACTATTAGTGCTAATAAATCCAGCAAAGTTGCAGGATACAAGATCTACACAAGATTGTTCAGATCTGAACAATCTGAAAGGGAAATTAAGAAAACAATTCTATTTACAACAGCATCCAAAAGCATGATGAAAACTACAACACATTGCTGAAAGAAATTAAAGAAGACCTAAATAAATGGAAAGACTATCTGTGCGCATAGATTGGAAGACTTAATATTAAGAAAGCAATACTCCCCAAAGATCTACAGATTCAGTGCAATTCAAAATCCCAATAGTCTTTTTTGCAGAAATGGAAAAGCTGATCCTAAAATTCATATGGAATTGGAAAAGGCCCCAAATAGCCAAAATAATCTTGAAAGAGAAGAGCAATGTTGGAGGACTCACACTGCCCAATTTCAAAACTTACTACCAAGCTGCAGTAAGTCAAAACAGTGTGGTACTAGCAAGAGGACACACATACAGAACAACAGAATAGAACTGAGACTCCAGAAATAAACCCAAACATCTATGGTCAATTGATTTTTGACAAAGGTGCAAAGACCATCAAATGGGAAAAGGACAGTCTTTTCAACAAACGGTGCTAGGAAAAACTGGATATCCACATGCAAGAGAATGAAGTTGGATTCTTACTTTATACCAGACAGAAAAATTAACTCACAATGGATCAATGACCTAAATATAAGAGCTAAAACTCTTAGAAGAAAACTTGAGGCAAAGCTTCATGACCTTGGATTTGGCAATGGTTTCTTAGATTTAATACAAAAAGCGTAATAAACAAAAGAAGAAAAACTAGATAAATTGGACTTCATCAATATTAAAACCTTTTGTACATCAAAGATCACTATGAAGAAAATGAAAAGACAACTGATAGACGGGGAGAAAATATCTGCAAATCATATAACTAACAAGGATCTAGTATCCTAAATATACAAAGAACTCTTACAACTCAACAACAAAAAAGACAAACAACCCAATTAAAAAATGGGCAAAAGACATGGATAGACAACAAAACCACAATGAGATATTTCATACCCACTAGGATGGTGATAATCAAGAAAATGAAAAATAACAAGTGTTGGTGAGGATGTGGAGAAACTGGAACATTGCTGGTAAGGATGTAAAATATTTTAGCTACTATGGAAAACAGTTTGGCAGTTCCTCAAAAAGCTAAACACAGAGCTAACTTATGACCCAGCAATTCTACTCTTAGGAATTTACACAAAAGAACTGAAAACAGGTATTCAAACAAAAACTCGTACATGAATGTTTACAGCAGCTCTAGTCACAATAGCCAAAAGGTGGAACCAACCCAAATGTCCACCAACTGACGAATGGATAAACAAAATGCGATTTGAAATGGAATATTATTCAGCCATAAAAAGGAACAAAGTACTAATACATGCTACAACATGGATGGATTTCAAAGACATCATGCTAAGTGAAAGAAGCCTGACACAAAAGGCTGTGTGTTATATGATTCTTTTTATATGGAATATTCAGAAGAGGCAAATCTCTGGGGACAGAAAGCAGATTAGTGGTTGCCAGGTGCTGGGAGGAGTGGGGAATGAGGAGTGACTGCTTGATAGCTATGGGGTTTCCTTTTGGTGTGATAAAAATCTGGAACTATGGGCCGGCTCCGTGGCTTAGCGGTTAAGTGCGCGCGCTCTGATGCTGGCGGCCCGGGTTCGGATCCCGGGTGCGCCCCGAGGCACCACTTCTCCGTCCAGCCAGGGGCCGGGTCCCGCGTACGGCAACTAGAAGGATGTGAACCTCAACATACAACTATCTACTGGGGCTTTGGGGGGAAAAAATGAATAAATAAAATCTTTAAGAAAAAAAAAAAAAATCTGGAACTAGACAGACATGATGGTTACACATCACTGTGCATGTACTAAATGCTGCTGTACTGTATACCCCAAAATGGTTAAAATGGTTAAGTTTTACGTGTACTTTAACACTTGCACATAAAATACACAGCTCTGGAATACCTTCCTGATCTGCCTTCAACTGCCTCTCTTGCTTAACTCACTGGCTCCTCCTCCCACCACCCCACACTCCTCATTTCTGTTTTTGATCAGGCCAGCTGTTTCAAGACACTGGGTTGTTCTTTACAGTGTTTCCACCACCTGGTAAAACTTTCAGGACTCAGCTCAAACATTCATCCAACAAACATCTACTGAGAGGCTCCTGTATTCCACACACGGTATCAGGCACTAGGATTACAGCAAAGAACAAAACAGACACAGCCCCTTTCCTCTGGAGCTTAAGAGTCCAGGAGGGGTGGTGAGGGACATCCAATGAATAATTGCACAGTGCATCATTTAACTGTATTGGTAGGTGCCTTCCAGGTAGAACAGGGTACCATGACATATCACAAAGTGTCCCTCACCCAGTTGGGGGGAGAATGTGAGGAAAAGGTTCCTCGAAGAAGAGACATTTCAACAGAGCCCTGAAGGACACATAAGTTAGGTCAGATGGGCCATTCTCAAGAGGCCGAGAGCCCGAGAAGCAAGCCGACCTTGGGCTGGTCACCAGGACTCCTGGCACTGGAAAGAGGTGAAGCTCTCAGCTAACACTCACACAGCCTCAGCTCCTGCTCCCACTATCCACACGCTGGAAACAGAGCTCTAAGAATCCTGGGATTTGAAAGAAAAAGAAGCAGAGAACTTCCACCCATGCTCTTAGAAACGTTCTCCAGAAAACCATTGCAGGATCCACTTCTGTTATCTGAAAGATTTTCCTGACCAGCTCTTAAGGCTGCTGTGTCACCTTCTTCACCAAACCCTTTCTTACCTTCCCCTTCCTTCGCGCCTCCAGTGCGTCTAGAATACATCTTACCCCGTACCTGCCTGTCTCGCGCAATTCGTTTGTAGGAGTAGGCACAGGGCTACCTCGCCCCTAAGCCCCAGACCTTACACCCTGTTGCCCTGCCGCCAGCACTTACAGACTGTCAAGTCAGCGGGGCTGCAGGGCGCGGGGAGGGCGGCAGAAGGCGGGGAGGGCTAGGTCGGCTGGGAATGAGCCGGCAGGGCTTGAATGCCGAGTTAAAGGAGTTTGCGCAGCGGTTCCCAGCTTCAGAGTTTCAGAACCACCAGCGCAGACTGTTAAGATACAGGCTTCCCCGGTCTCATCCCAGACCCACAGAACAGCCAGCGCTCCACGTGGTTCCGAAGATCAGACACGTTCGGCAACCGCTGCAGCGGACAAGGAGGAGCCAAGGTTTTCAAGCAAATCAACGAAACGTTTTAACTACACTTTCAAACATCCATCAGTCCGAAGAGAAGACAGGAGACCACTGCAATGGGCCAGGGAGATGATGAGCACCAGGGCGGGAGGAGTCGCCCTCACCCCAACCCGGCGCCACCACCCCGTCCCGCTCGGCAGGCCTCCCTCACAGCGGCTGATCGAAAACGCGCCCCTTACCCGCCTCATGCGACCGTTGGACAGCAGGTCGGCGATCCCCTTGGCCGCGTCGTTTTTCTCGGCCACACAGAGGATTTTCCGCACGCCTCGGAAGGCCACCTCCATGGCGGCGCGGGACAAGGGCCGGCCTCCGGGCCGTTGCAGCCACCGGAGCGCGCAGCGGCCAACCGGGAAGATCATCCCTAGGCCCCGCGGCCGCTCCCCGGGAGCCCGCGCATGCTGGGGAAGCCGGAGGTGAGGGCCGCCCTAAGGGAACTAGAGCCTCCGGAGGCCGCCAGCACCGCCGCCCGCGTTCCGGGCACCCCCCCCACCAGCCTGCGGGGTTCAGGGCGCCAGCCACTTCCCTTTCTCCTCACCGCTGCCGCCTCCGCACCGAACCCCGCAACTTGGCGACGCGCTTCCGCCCGCCTAGTAGGGCCGCTTCCGCCCGCCTAGTCGGGCCACTTCCGCCCGGCGCGAGTGCCACAGGACTGCGAACTACAACTCCCAGACTGCTCCGCGCTCCGGTAACCCTCGCCCCTGCACGTTTCCGCTCCTCCGTCTCACTTCCTTTCCTTTCAGACAGGGGTTGGCTAATCGCTTCGTCCTTGGGAGAGGCCGCTCGACGGTCCCGCCCAAGCCTCTCTTACTCAGGATGTTTTCCTCTCCTACTCGGAACTCTACGCGGACGCTTCCGGGTCACGCGACGCCGATGTTCCGAGTCATGTGATACGAAGATGGCGGCGCCGCGGTAGCTGGCTTTGGGTTGTGGCGTCCAAGGAGTCGCGACGGTTTCTGCGGTCGGGCCGTGGGGACGGCAACGCGTGGCTGGTCCCTGCGGCTGCCCGTAGCCCCTCGTTAGGCACTCGTTCAGGGCTGGGGCTGTTTCTGTCGCGGTGGGTTCGAGGGAGTGCTGGTGACCTCGCTGCAGGTGCCCTGCGCTGCCCGCGTTCCGCGGAGGAGGAGGAAGACAACTGGCTTCCCGGTCTTCCAGACCTGCGGAGTTCATGAGGCCTCCGAGGGCCCTGGAGGAGCTACACTTCTGAGGGGGCTGAGGGAGTTCGAGTCCTGGGTGTGTGAGAGGCAGCCTAGTACCCCCGGGGGCGCAAAGAATACCGCAACGACTTTGCTTCCTCCTCCAGAGGCCTGGCTTCCCCGCGTGGATTACCCCCATATTCTTTCCCACTTCCTCTCAATGTTCTCTCCATATATTTGGAAATATGATCAGCGCCCCTGACGTGGTCGCCTTCACCAAAGAAGACGAGTACGAGGAGGAGCCTTACAATGAGCCGGCCCTGCCCGAGGAGTACTCGGTGCCTCTCTTCCCCTTTGCCAGCCAAGGAGCTAACCCATGGTCCAAACTGTCTGGGGCCAAGTTCTCTCGAGATTTCATCCTTATTTCCGAGTTCTCCGAGCAGGTGGGACCCCAACCCTTGCTGACCATCCCCAATGACACCAAAGTTTTCGGTACTTTTGATCTCAATTACTTCTCCTTGCGGATCATGTCTGTGGATTACCAGGCCTCCTTTGTGGGCCATCCCCCTGGGTCTGCCTACCCCAAACTGAACTTCGTGGAGGACTCCAAGGTGGTGCTGGGAGACTCCAAGGAAGGAGCCTTTGCATATGTGCACCACCTTACCCTGTATGACCTGGAGGCCCGTGGCTTCGTGAGGCCATTTTGCATGGCTTATATCTCGGCAGATCAGCACAAAATCATGCAGCAGTTCCAGGAGCTTTCAGCTGAATTTTCTAAAGCTTCTGAGTGCTTGAAGACAGGCAACAGGAAGGCATTTGCTGGGGAACTTGAAAAAAAACTGAAAGACTTGGATTACACCAGGACAGTGCTGCACACCGAAACAGAGATCCAGAAGAAAGCCAATGACAAAGGCTTTTACTCATCTCAGGCAATTGAGAAAGCCAATGAACTGGCCAGTGTAGAGAAGTCCATCATTGAACATCAAGACCTGCTGAAGCAGATCCGCTCATACCCTCATCGGAAGTTGAAGGGGTCTAACTTGTGTTCTGGGGAGATGGAGCATATTCAGGATCAGCGGGACCAGGCAGCCACTACCTCTAACCCTGATGAGTCTGCTGACACAGACCTTTACACCTGCAGACCTGCCTACACCCCAAAACTCATCAAAGCAAAGTCCACCAAATGTTTCGACAAGAAGTTGAAGACCTTGGAAGAGCTCTGTGACACTGAGTATTTCACCCAGACCCTGGCTCAACTCAGCCACATTGAGCACATGTTCAGAGGAGACCTGTGCTACCTCCTGACCAGCCAGATTGACAGAGCACTACTAAAGCAACAGCATATAGCAAACTTCCTCTTTGAAGATTTTGTGGAGCTCAATGACAGGGTGGTAGAGAAACAAGAGAGCGCACCCTCTAAGGCCAGTCAAGACAGGCCACCTTCCAGGTCTCTAGAAGAATGTCCGATTCCTCAAGTGTTAATCAGCATTGGCTCTTACAAGTCCAGTGTGGAGTCTGTGCTGATCAAGATGGAGCAGGAAGTTGGAGATGAGGAGTACAAGGAAGTGGAGGTGACAGAACCGAGCAGTTTTGACCCCCAGGAAAGCTTGGACTACCTGGATATGGATATGAAAGGGAGTATCAGCAGTGGTGAAAGCATTGAGGTTTTAGGCACAGAGAAGTCCACCTCTGTGCTGTCTAAGTCTGACAGCCAGGCCAGCCTCACGGTGCCATTAAGCCCGCAGGTGGTCCGGAGCAAAGCCGTCAGCCACAGGACCATCAGTGAGGACAGTATTGAAGTCCTCAGCACCTGCCCCTCTGAGGCCCTCATCCCTGATGACTTTAAGGCCAGTTACCCAAGTGCCATTAATGAAGAAGAATCATATGCAGGTGAAGGTGAGGGAGCCATCCGCTTCCAGGCAAGCCTCAGCCCGCCAGAGCCGGGTGAGGCAGAGGAGGGCAGCTTGGAAAACACCCCGTCACAGACAGACTCCTGCTGCATTGGGAAGGAGAGTGACAGTCTGCGAGGGCAGCTCTCCACTCCAATCCACACACACTCTGACGAGGACGGAGTAGTGAGCAGCCCCCCGCAGCGCTACAGGCAGAAGGACCAGGGGTTCCATGTGGACTTTGCAGCAGAAAACGCCAGCCCTTCTTCCCGAGACATCAGTTCCGAAGGCTTCCCTGCTTATGAGCTCGACCCAAGCTGCCTGCTGGCTAGCCGGGATGTTAGTAAGACCAGCCTAGACAACTACTCAGACACTACCAGCTACGTGAGCAGTGTAGCCTCTACCAGCTTGGACAGGACTCCCTCCTCTGCTCATCCTGCCAGTCCCTCTTCTGAGAGGCATAAAAAGAGAGCTGGCCAGAACGCCTTAAAATTCATCCGTCAGTACCCCTTTGCCCACCCAGCCATCTACTCCCTGCTTAGTGGGAGGACGCTCGTGGTCCTCGGGGAGGACGAGGCCAAAGTCAGGAAGCTTGTGACAGCATTGTCCATCTTTGTCCCCAACTACAGTGGCTCTGTGAAACCCGTGAGGCATTGGGTCTCCTCTCCTTTGCACATTATGGATTTTCAGAAGTGGAAGCTTATTGGCCTGCAGAGGTAATTGGTTACAGGTGGTGGGGAAGGGCCCTGTCCAATTACAGGTGAGCGTTCAAATGCATATCCTTCTGGGTGAGGTTAACAAGTTGGTGTGGTGGACCTCAGATCAGGAGCCCTGGCTTCCAGACTGGGGCCAACACCAACTCACTGTGTTACTTTTGGCAAATCATTCCCCTTCCCTGGCCTTCTGTTTCCCCGTCTGTCACATGAGGGGGTTGCAGTTCTTAAGTGGTTGCCAACCCTGGTCTGCACCTGCTGTGTCACAGTTATTTGGGAGAATTTTTAAAGTCGTGAGTTCCTGGGCCCTACCCCTAGATATTCTGATTCAGTTGGTCTGGGGTAAGATATGGAATTTATCTGGTGTACAGCAAAGTTTGAGAACGACTGAACTTATAGATCTCAGGTCCTTGCTGATTCTCAAATTCATGCTAAGGTATAAATGATTGAGGAGAGATATGAAAAATAGCTTTCGTAGTAATAGGAGAGGGCAGCCATCACTGGTGAGAGGACATCAGAGGGCTCCAGTGGCTTTCTCTCCACTGTCCTGTTTGCCCTGGAAGACTGTCCTAATAAGGAAATGCAAGAGCCAATTCCTTCTCTCTCTTTGAATGCTTTCTATTTCATTTCCCTATGCTACTCAACTTATGTTTTAGTAGATTCTTTGTTTTTCCAAATACTCCTTGACAAGTTGTCTGGCTCTGAGGACTCTCTCTCAGCATATGCACTGTGTTCTGTTTCCTCATTCCCTTCTCTGCACCCCACATTGCTCACCTGTGAAATACAGGTGTTGAGCTAGGTGATCATTGGAGTCCCTGCTGACACTCTCTGCTTCCCATGCTGCAAAGAAAGGGCAAAAAGAATTTCTTCCACACTGTAGTCAGCCATTTGTTCTAATTTTCCGACTTTCCCTTTACATGGGTCACTGACGTCATTGAGGCCACCATCCCGAGTCTCACTTGTTAAGAATCTACGCCAGGCCATGCTTGCGGGGGCTGGGGTACCTGGAGCAAGGCCACTCCTCTGGAAGAATTCGTAGTCCAGGAGAGGGGACAGGCAAGTGACTAGAGCCTTGCCATACAGGGAGATGAGAGTTCTAACAGTGAGTGCTGCTTGTGTTCTAAGAAAACGAAAGGAGCAATTTAGTGACCTGTGAGGAGTGAGGCAGATGGTGTCTGGAGAAGGTCTGGAGTTTTTGGCTTGAGTGATGGGGAGGGTGGGGTTGCCATTGTGGGGGAAGAGTGATGACGTGGGGACTTGGGTGACATGCCTGAGACACCTGGACAAGTGCGTTCCTTGGGCATCATAGGAAGCCATCGAGTCCTTGCTTACAGATGCAGGCTCTGAGGCTCAGTGGGTTAGATGACTACGCCAAGGGCCTTCGCAGGCTCTATCCTTCCTCCCAGGGTCCCGGCCCTCTGCTGGTGCCATCTCTGTGCTCTGTGGTTTAACCAGGCTGTCCCAGGAAGGGGAGGGCTTTTCAGGGATTATGATTTGCTACCGTTCTTGCTGGAATGATAAGTTGGTATTCCTTACAAACACACATCTTCTGTTCTCCAGCTCACTCCCTTCACCCCAGTGCTGATCTTTGACTTTTTTGCCTCAAAAAGTGGAGAATCTAAAACATACATCAGTCTATTGACATCAGCTGGCTTATATGGGACCAAGCTCTGGACAGTCTTGCCCTTTCCAGAGGCTTTTCCTGCACTTCCCTCCTTGGAATGTGCCAGAATGGCAAAGAGGTTCATCTCTTATGCCAGCTCCATTCTACTGGGTAGCTGACTGGAGTGATGTGTTGAGGAGGATTCTGAGGCCTAGGTTGGGGTGCATTGGAAAGCCTGCTGTGATCAATTAACAGTGTCTCGGTGGGTAAAGGAGAGGGTAGCTGGCAGTTGGGCAGTGTATTTGGCATCCTGGAGTGGAAGAGGAGGTGTGAGGTGGTCTGAGTCCCGGGCTGGCCCTACCACTGTTCATCCACACTGGGCACCGGGGCAAGTCCCTCCTCCACTCGAGGCTTTGTTCCCTACTGAGAAAATAAGTGGGTTTGATCACTGAATGATCATTTGCCAAATATTTATGGAGGGCTTTTAAGTGCCAGCCACTGTGCCCGGTGCCAGAATTATAAAGTGAGTCAGTTGGGGTGCGACCCAGGGCAAGGCAAGCGTGGCCTTCGTGATCAGCCCTCACTCTAGCCCCAGCTCTGTCACCATTCTGTCAGCTTAACCTCTCTGAGGCTGCTGCCGTCTGCAGATGGAGCTGACAAGACCTACCTTGTGATAGCGGCTGTCGGAGGGCCCGTCGCATCTGATCTGTGCCTGATCAGCGTGTGCGCTCCTCTCATGTCCTAGCTGGGGTGCAGACAGACTGCAGGCAAGGCGGGGCAGCAGGAGCTGAGTGTGGCCTCACCGCCAGACTGCAGAGCCTTGAAGCATCTCTCCGGGAATGCGAGAGGCCTGTCAGAAGTGACAGTTGAGATCTTTCCAAAAACTCCCAAATGGGAAAGTGATTACCTCTCCCATTAAGCTTTCCTTCTCAGACCTCCTGAGCATGCACAAATGTTGGGAATTGGGAGCATCTGCCTCCAGAGGGTCCTGCTCAGGCAGGGGTTGGAGGCCTTGTTCCCTAGGGGACGTGTCACTGGGGTGTCAGCTGAGGGGCCAGAAGTGAAGTGGGGACTGGATTTGCTACAGCTCACCCAAAGAAATCCTGGGAGGTGAGCAGTAGACACGATAGGAAAGTATTATGAGATGAAAATCTGTGGAGTCGTGGTCCGTGGCTGTTAAAGAGAGAAGTGGGGGGCGTCTTGAGTTCAGGTCCTGGTGCTGCCACTACTCGCTATGTGGATTTGGACCAGTCATCTCCTGTCATTCGCTCATTCAACAAAGCTTGTCGAACACATCTGTGATTGGGGCTTATAGTCGCCCCTGTGCGGAGCTGTCGGGAGGGTCGACCCCTGGGATGTATATGAAGCCCGAGTGCAGTGCCTGGCCCTCAGAGGTGCTCAGAGCTGTGGACAGATGGGGGTCACCCCAGTGGGCAGAACCAGTACTGAAACAGGGAGGCAGATTGGGGCCCCTGTGAGGACTAGCGTTCAAGAGTACGTGTAGGAGGGGTGCCTTTGTGTGGTTGTGAACGTCCTGTCCATGGGGTGCTCAGCTGTAGAGGGGTTGGTCCCGTGTGCTGGGTTAATCTGGAATCAGTGCTATGACCCACGACAGTCTCTGTCCCCTCAGGTGCTTTGACTCCAGCTAAAACCAGTTCTGATGATGAACTGTTTTTAAGGACTCACCCTAGAACCACCAGTGTCATTGGCCCTTGTTTTTTTTTTTCCACTAAAGTAGGTCCTCTGCCTGGAAATGCTTGTCAATCAAATAAGCCACTTGTGGGTATGAAATCAACTTCGTCTTCTATTATTTTAAATCAAAACCAGAGGTAATTGGGGCCGGCCCTGTGGCTTGGCGGTTGGGTGCGCGCGCTCTGCTGCTGGCGGCCTGGGTTCGGATCCCGGGCGCGCACCGCTTCTCTGGGCATGCTGAGGCTGCGTCCCACATACAGCAACTAGAAGGACGTGCAGCTATGACATACAACTATCTACTGGGGCTTTGCGGGGAAAAAATAAACAAATAAAATCTTTATAAACTGAGAATTCTCTTTAAAAAAAAACAAAAACCCAGAGGTAATTGTATTGCTTACTAAACAGCAGTAATAAGCCCTGGACTGTTTGAAAAATGGCTCAGTTCTGGTGGGAAACAGTGCTAGTGTGGGTCAGAGGCCCTGGGTTGAGTCCTGGCTCAGCCACTTCCTAGCTGGGTGATCTTGGACAAGCCACAGTCCCTCTCTGGGCCTCCTGTACAGAGGTTGCCTTCCTGGCTTTGGGATGAGCCGTAATGAATTTAAGACAGGTGTGGGAGGTGACGTGGGAGGCTCTCAGGCGCCCGTGCTGTGCAGGGAAGGGTCCCATGTCATCTGGCCTCCTGATGAGGAGCTTTGAGAGAAACAGAAATGGAGTAAGAGTTAGAAGGAGCAGCATCTTCTAAAAGGAGTAAGTGAGGGCGGTGTCAGAGCTGCCCTGGGAGAAGCTAGGCCTGAGGCCAGGCGGATGGGTGGCTGAGATGGAGGGGCAGGAAGATGAGGTAAGGCCTGGCTATGCTGCTGTGGCAGAGCCTTGGTGGGCTGGGCATGCCAGGCTCCAGGAGGCATTTGGCTCGTGGCCCAGCCCCCTTAGGGGAGGTAAGGGTGCCTCAGGAGTGGACTGAGCACACTAGGAGCGTGCAGGAAAAGGCCCTCCTCCCCGAGAAGCCAGTGTGCTGCCTGCAAGCTCCATTCCTCATCGCCTGTGGGATACGGGCCACAGCCCACTGCTCTCCTTCCAGTTCTCAGAACAAGTGGCTCTTTGCTTTCCCATCTCTGTGACCTTGCTCTTGCCATGGTCTAGAATGCTTTCCGCAGTTCCCAGAGCCCACCTTTCTTTCAAGGCCCAGCTCCAGGGCCACTCCTCCAGGATCTTCCTGGCCCTAGGCCTCTTGCGTGGAGACTGAGACCACGTCTCCTTCACTTGTGTATTTGTGTGCGTGTCTTTTCTTCCCAATCAAACCAGGATCGTTCTTCACTGCCTGCTCAGCCCCCAGGTCACTAACTGGAATATAGTTGATGCTCAGTAAATGACTGTTAACTCTACAAGATAACACCCAGGAAGGAAAAAGATGAGATCTTGGTCCCAAGTGACTGTGAGTCCTTTTTACGTATTACCTTAGATCTTACACAAGCCCTAAATTCTAGAGGTATGTCAGTCTGAAATCTCTGGTCAGCCAGCCATTTGCCAGATTCTGCAGGTAATCCCAGCTCCTCTGGGAAAACTGATCTAGAGGAGGGTTTTAAGGAGCTGCTTACTAAGGCTGACCACTCCGACCTCCTTCCCTCACTAAACAGACCCTGCCCACCTGCCTCTGATGTGCTGGGCACAGTACCAGGCAGTGGGAGCAGGAGGCCAAGTCAGGTCCAATCCTGGATCTGCAGAAGCTGTTGTCCAGTGGGCAAGATGAGAAAACAAACAGCAGTCACCACACTGGTCAGTACCAGGCTGATGATACTGAGGGCCAGGTGCTATCCTAAGCACAACTTATCTTGTCTCTGCAATAACCCCATGAGGTAGGAACTATTGTCTCTGACTTACAAATGAGCTTCAGAGAGGTGAAGGAACTTGACCAAGGTCACATAGCAAGAAAGCAGAGGAGGGGATCAAGGAAGGCTGGATAAGGTTTAAATTGGCATAAGCCAGGCACAAAAGGTAGGGAAGGTTATTTGAGGCAGAGCAAATAGGCCTGTGATTTTGAGGGTCCACCAAAAGCTTGGCATGGGGGTGGCCTGGTGGCATAGTGATTAAGTTCACACACTCTACTTCAGCAGCCTGGGGTTCACGGGTTCAGATCCTGGGCACAGACCTACACGCCACTTGTCAAGCCATGCTGTGGCGGTGTCCCCTATACAAAATAGAGGAAGACTGGCACAGATGTTAGCTCAGGGACAATCTTCCTCAAGCAAAAAGAGGGAGATTGGCAACAGATGTTAGCTCAAGGACAATCTTCCTCACCAAAAAAAAAACAAAAAACCTTGGCATGGCCAAAAGGGAGTCATTGGGGAAGTAATAGAAGAGGCATCAGAGGCCAGCAGGAAGCAGGTCGTGCAGGGCCTTTTGGGCCATGCCAAGGCACTTGACTTAGTCATGAGGGTGGTGAGGAGCTTCAAAGATCATCATGATCAAGATTTGTCTTCAGGGCCGGCCCCGTGGCTTAGCGGTTAAGTGTGCGCACTGCGATACCGGCGGCCCGGGTTCAGATCCCGGGCACGCACGGACGCACCGCTTCTCCAGCCTTGCTGAGGCTGCGTCCCACATACAGCAACTAGAAGGATGTGCAACTATGACGTACAACTATCTGCTGGGGCTTTGGGGCAAAAAAAAAAGGAGGATTGGCAATAGATGTTAGCTCAGAGCTGATCTTCCTCAGCAAAAAGAGGAGGATTAGCACGGATGTTAGCTCAGGGCTGATCTTCCTCACACACACACAAAAAGAAAGATTTGTCTTCAGAAAAGAGCTAGTGAGTGTTGGCCGGGTGGGAGCAGGCCTAGAGACAGGAAGCCCCACTCCCAAGATTCTGCCTCCATCTTCCTGGTCCTTGCCCTTCCTCCTGACCTTGGCCTGTGTGTTTCAGAGTGGCATCCCCTGCTAATGCTGGCACCCTCCACGCCCTGAGCCGCTACAGCCGCTACACAAGCATCCTGGACCTAGACAACAAAACCCTGCGCTGCCCCCTCTACAGAGGTGCCCTTGTGCCCCGGCTGGCCGACCACCGCACTCAGATCAAGCGGGGCAGCACCTACTACCTGCATGTCCAGAGCATGCTCACCCAGCTCTGCTCCAAGGCCTTCCTCTACACCTTCTGCCACCACCTCCATCTGCCTGCCCATGACAAGGAGACAGAGGAAATGGTTGCCAGCCGCCAGGCAAGCTTCTTGAAGCTGACCCTGGGTCTGGTGAATGAAGACGTCAAGGTGGTCCAGTACCTGGCTGAGCTGTTGAAGCTGCACTATATGCAGGAGTCTCCTGGGACCAGCCACCCCACGCTCAGGTTTGACTATGTCCCCAGCTTTTTGTACAAAATCTGAGGTCAGTCCCAGCCACTGTGACCAAGACCTGTGACTCAGGGTTTGGGGAGGGGAGGGATTGGCATGACCAAGCAGTCCTCTGAGCTGTTGAGACTTCTGGTGTCATCAGTGGGAAGGATACCAAGGTGGCAGCCTTGGTTCCAGGCAGCTTGTGAGTTGGACTTGGGCAGAGGAGGGAGCCTGGCTCTCTCTGAAGGCTTCTGGAAGGACAGTAACAGCTCTCTCGGCTCCCTGGTGAGGAGTGGCCCTGGGGTGGGGAGGGGGCTCTTGGCTTCCAGAGGACTGGTAGCCAGAGCAGGAGACAGCCACAGATAGGGTGGGATGAGGGGCAGGAAGGCAAAGCCTGATGGAAGGAGCACCATGGCCTCACTCAGCTCCGCTGAACACTCGAGCAGCAAAATCGAGGGAAGCAGCCCGCTAACTGGAATGATTGGTGGAAAAACAGGACGGCGGACCATCCATTGCCTCATTCAGACCCCAGCTGGGACCCTTTACTTGGCCTCCTAGAGCCCATCATCTCAGGAGAGGCCCTGGAGCGAGTGACGTGGAGAGGAGAAAGCTTGGCCCCAGCTGGCTCGTGGAAAATGCATAACCTTTTGGGCCCCAAGACACACCTGTTCCCATCCTCACTTCTGCCTGTAGGTGGGCCTTGGAAATCACTCCCCTGGTCAGCAGGAGTGACCAGAGCGGTCACTAGTCCCCAGTTGTGAGGAGGAGAGCCCAGGAGAGAGGCAGGGCCAAGGTGTCATGAGGCCGTCACCACTGTGCAAGCGATGAGGAGCCAGCAGCTCTGGGGCCCACCAGCTTTTCTGGCCAGAGTGCGTCAGTACTGTCCTCTTGGGGAAGGTCTGCAGACATGTTGGAACTCCGCAGAGATCACATCCCAGTCCTCTCACCCATAGCAGACCTTTGCAACCACTTCACTACCTCTCACAGGCTCTCGTGGGCACGGTGACAGCAGAGTTCTGTTCAGCGGGCTGGTCTGGGTGGGTAGCCCAGCTCATGGTAGATAACTCATGGCAGGGATTTCCTCCAGGAAGGAGGAAAGCCTCCTTGTGTGGTTCTTTGTGGATCTGCTTCTGGGAGGCCACACAGGCCTGGAGTATGCGCACCTCACAGCAGCTCACTCCCACCCCCACGTGCCCCCCAAGTACACACACCTCACCGCAGCTCACCCCCACTCTCACGTGAGTCTCCCCATTTGTGGAAGGAGCCACTCCCTGGTTCACCCACCTCGACCTCCCTGAGGCTTCTTGCACAGTTGCCACTGGTATATAGATGGTTTCTGGCAACCTTGAAAATTTTGTACCTTTTATTTTAAGCTGTGTTTTTCCCTAATAAGGGAGAACTCTTGGTGTTACTGCTTTTTAATTTGTTCCCAGAAAATTGTGATAAAATAGACCTACCAGCCACAAGTGGTTGCTCCTGGGCACGCATGTGCACATCTAGTGGGCCATGTTCCGTGTAGTTGGGGTCCTGCTGTTGAGACGTGGCACCATCAGCTTTGTGGCACACCACTGAGGTCAGAGGGGAGGCAGAAACCCCTGGTGACCAAGGAGGGTTGTGTCACGACTCCAGCAGTCCCTTCCTTGCCCAGGTCTTCTGCACAAGGATACGGTTGTTGGCTCTTGGCCATCAGCTCTGCTCGGTCCCTATTCCTGTCAGAGGTTGTGTGTGATTTTGCTTCTGAGGCTGTGCCCGAGAACCTTGTGGCAGATGGTGCTGCGTACATCTCATTGGTTTTCTTTATACCTGTTCCCATTGCATATGTTCACAGGAGTCGCCAGGACTGTCTTGGCAGCTTTAAAATGTGAAGTGTGTGTTTGCACGTGGGGAAGGCTGCATAGGAAAGCTGTTTCTCTTCATGGGCTCCTCTGTTACCACCTCCTCTCCCTCATGTTCTAGATGCTGCTTTGTCTTCTAACTGGTTGGCTAATTGCTGTCTAGTTAGGGCTCCAGGGACATGATCTTGTGACATTTTATCTCCAAGAGAAGCAAGGTCTGTGGGGTCCACATGACAAAATGGAAAGTGATCATTGGCACCACCATTGCTATTTCTTTCCTATGTTTCACCCCAACATGGACTCTACAGTTAACACTGTTCTCAGCTGGGAAACTGATAAAGGCAGAAGGTCAGTCTTACTTGGCCTTCCAGAAGCAAAAGCCACGCACTACTATGGCTGAAGTAGAAGGCCCCTTTGGAGAGTGTTTGCTTGGAAGCTCCGCCTCAAGGAAGGCCCTGAGGACTGCAAGGCGAGACCAGTTGGGTGTGAACAGAAGACACTGTCCTGTGGGGCCAGCCACAGAGAGAGCAAACGGGGAGCGCCTCACTGAGTTGTTTCTTCATTAAGAAACAAAGTTGGCTTCGCGGACCGACTAGTGGTTAAACTGCAGGATTTAAATTTCGTTTGAAATCTAACTTTTCGATGTGGCAGTTTCAAAGGACTGCTTGATGCCAAGTATGTTTCTTCTCAAAGGGATCTTGAAGTGGAACTGGGACTGAGCCAGTCTGGGCAGAGACAGGTGAGACCATGCAGCTGCCCCTCCAGTGCCCTCCACTTGGGAGAACTGGAACCTACTAGAAGCCTTAGATGCATCTATAAACCTTAATGGTGAGACTAATCTCTTCAAGAATTCTCATTTGAGGCTTTCCTCTAGTAATAGGTCAGTAAGTGTTAATAAAACATTTAAAAACACTTCCCAGAAAACAGAGGACATCACTGCCCCTTTGCACTTCTTCAGTCCCGTCACTTTGAAGGCCCAGGCACCGAAACTTTGAGGTGCATGTCAATCTTACTTCCAATCCATTACCTGCCCCCTCCCTTTTTTGAAAGCAGTCCAGGTTAAGAAAAACCTGATCAGGCTAGCAGTTATGCAGTAGTGGTTTCCAGAAGCTCCATTTTAGAGAAGCCTTTTTCAGCTGGAGCCTTTTATAGCACCTGTGGCACTGGGGACACTCCAGCCTGAGCTACTCACACCTCCCTGTTTCCCTAGGGACCTTGCTCCATTAGTGGAATCTTTGGATTTTAGAAGCTGTGACGGAATTTTCCATAATTTACTGCAATGGCTAAATTATACACATTGCACCAGAATTTGGAAATGGGCCATGATGGCTCACCTGTCATTTCCCACCTAGCTTTTAACTTCTTTCAGATCAGGTACTATATTCAAAGTATAGTAGACTTCAACCGCAAATGAATAACAAATCCCATTTCAAAATCCTAGGAAGGCCAATAGATTCTACCCCAAGTGCCAGGGCTGCTGCAATTAAGTGACATGTTTCTGGAGGCCCAGAGCAGTCTTGAAAATCGCACATGCACACACACCACCACTTCTGCCAGTGCTGGACGCACACTCTGCCTCCCCAGGTGTTGCATGGCAGGCCAGCTTCTTGTGCTGCTGCCATGTCATCTCTGCGTGGGTAGTAGCACTCCTCAGCTGGTGGGGGTCCACTGGTAGGTGAACAGCCTTCAGAGGCACTGATCCCCCAAACCAGCAATCCGATTTTACCTCCCATCTCCTCAGTCAGAAGGAAGTGCCTTGGTTCGTGCTTCCAAGCAAACCAGCCAGCTTTCTGGCTTTTCCCCAGTACTGTGATAGAAAGTGATAAAACTGGAATCTAAGAAAGAGATAGGGTATTAGATTGCAAAAAGGAAAAAGCATCAAATTTCTACTTCTGGCTGGAAGCAAAACCAATCTCAGCTGATAAGGTTTGAGCACACCAAGTTCTCCTGAGCCTTTTCTCCCTTGAGCACTGACCTAATCTGGCCTTAGCTGTCAAGGTTTGGTTTGGGCCATGGGAGGGAGGAAGCAGGAGTGGAGAGGGGATGCAACAAGCACTTTCCAGTGAATTAAGCTGCTGGTATGGGACCCTGGCTTCCTGGGAGTGACTCCTGAGCTTCAAAGTGGAGGCTACCGGGCTCTTGGAGATGTCTCTTTGTCTTCAGTTGGAGAAGAGTCAAGCCCTGAATATAAGACTGTTTTGGCAGCATAACGGCTCCCAAATTGAACACAGAGATGTGGGACTGGTGTGTCCCCCACGTCCCATGGAGACTGCAGCAACGGTCCCACCTGTGCTGGAGTAAATGCCACAGGGGCGCCTGCCAGGCAGGACCACAGGGTGCCTCACCCACCGACTGCCCAACATCAGCTGGCTGGCTACACAGGTTGGGTTGAGATAAATGCCGCCTTTACGGTTATAGTGGAAAGCATAGTCTGTGAGGAAGTTGTATTTGTTATTTTTTGGAAAGCTATTTTATTACTGCATGTTCCTCTGTCCGTGCGTGTGAATGTGAGTTCAGCCACTCGTGAGCCGCTGTCGTCGTCATGGTGGCTAAGGACAAAAGTGTGACAGACACTTGTGAGCCAGGCAGCTCCTAAGTAAGGCTGCACCAGAGTTTAACCAGAGTAAATGCCAAACAAACAATATGAGAAGTGTACTTTTTAAGAAATTAATTTATTTGAGTTGAGATATTTTTGAAATATAAAAACTGGTTGTATTTTTTAAAGCTATAATTCTTGTAGACATTCTGTGGTTAAAAACTTGATTGTGCTTATTAAAAATGGTCATCTATGTTTTGCACTTCAGCTTTGTGAAAAATAAAGTTTCTCTGGAAGGTGACATTTGGTTTCCTGATCACAGGAGGGAGCTGGTTATCTCGGGCAGACGAGGTGCCCCAGGCTCCCCTAGCTGCCCAGGGCGGGAGGTGAAGAGACCATTACCATCACGTATTGAGCTGCTGACAGGGAAACTCCCACCATGCTGAGTGGCCCCTGGTGTGGACTTAGGACTGATTTAAAATTCTGACTGAAAGGACACAGCAGAAGCTTCAGGAGAACTTCCTTCTTCAATTGTAACCGTCGTAATTCAGTTCTCATTTGGCATATTATGAATGGGCAGCTTTTACGAGCCATGAACTTGCGTATTTCTTATTTGTTGCAGCAAGTCAGGAGGAAGCCCAGTAACTAAGAGAAGGGTGAGTAAAATTACTGGAATCTTTCCAATAGCTCTGTCCTACTCAATTGTCTAAATGAATTAAGGCTAAATAGCTACATAGTATTTCATCTTTCTAGAATAATTCTCTTTATAGCTGTGAGAAAGTGAGGTTCAAATTTAAATTCCTTAATAACTTGTCCCAGAATTACTAACAATGAGCCTTAAACAAATTTTGATTTGTGAAGAAGATAATGTGAGAAAAGTCCAAAAAGAAATTTCCTCAGAGGGGACAAAGAAGTTGATCAGGTCCTGTGTGGGGCAGCTTTTCTGTCTCTCTTCAGAAGGGCACTGGGTCTTTGAGCAGGTGGCTCCTGGGCAGTCCCCATGCTCCCGTGCTGGGCAGGTGTGGCCACCAGCTCCTCTAGAAGTCAGGCAGGCCAGGCAAGGGGAAGAGAGACGCGAAGCTCTCTACCTCCTCCCTCAGAGCCCTGACAGCCCCTTGGTGCTTCTCATCCCCTGCTAGTTTCTCCTTGAATTCCTTCAGGGTGGCCTTGACACCGACATCGTTCTGAATCTGCAGAGTCAGTTCTATCCCTGTGCCGGCAAAAGACAAATGAGTCCTCTCGGGGCCGTGAGACACCCGAGGCCCAGCTGCCCAAATGCCCTCAGCAGCTGGGGCTGCGACAGCTGTGGGTGTCAATATTCACCCCAGAAATGATTCTGGTATGCACCCTTCCCTGGGCAGGACAAGTGTGCAAACCTCTCAGACCAGATGGTTTAGTAAGTGACTTTTGCTGTCTCCTGTCCCCAGCACTCAGCCTCGACACAGAAATGTTGTTCAGCGGCTGGGTCTCAACTGCTCAGTCACAGAGACTCCACACACACACAACACAACGTGGCAGACCTCCAAACCTTTATCCTTACCTCTGTGAATAAACTGGGCTACTATTTGGAACTCTTTTTCCAAAAGCCCTCGGGACGTCAGTGCTGGGGTCCCCAGTCGCAGTCCGCTGGGCCGCAGTGCGCTTTTGTCACCTTCAAGATAAACAGGCTCTGTCCCTGGGCCCACCCAACTCACCACAGACCACTTGCATTACAAAGGACACTGGAGCAAAAAGAATAGGCCTGCGGATGCTGGCTCGATCCCGAGAGAAGGGCACAGCTGGTTCCAACACTAGAGGTAGAAGCGAAGGCACAGGCTGCAGGGGCACATTTTGGCCGCGCTGTTTTAAGTAGTAAGAAAGTCACCTCCTGTGACGTGGCCCTGCTCCTGAAGGTGAGGCCAGCGTCTGTCTGGGTTTGGGATGCATCACCCACATCTTACTAATAACCCACTGAGAAATCCAGCCTGTTTTCGAGGCCCCTGCCTCCCTCATCGAAATGCCTTCCCACCTCTGAGCACTCCACCCCAGTCTCCCTTCTCTGTCCCTGGCAGGGTTAGAGCCGCGTCAGAAAGAGTGGGCAGGAGAGCCACAACTTAGCTCCCATCTAGCGTGGGGCATCTATCCCCCCAGATCATTTGATGTCTGTCCCCAGAGCCAAATTATCATCACCTATAACTCTGGCTATAAGAAATGGAGACAGGAGAGATATAGAAGAGAAGACCAAGGAGGATTCTCACCTGGGCAGGTGTTCTTGTTGCAGGCAATAGAACAGGCTTCTAGCACCTTCTCAGCCCTGCCTCCATCCGTGCCTTTGGAACGGAGATCCACGAGGATCAAATGGTTGTCAGAACCACCTGGAAACCAAGTTAGACATGGAGGAATGCAGAAGGCTGATTCCATGCCAAGTGAAGGAACCTCTCTCTCCTAAGAAATGAAGATGGAAGCTGCGGGGGCTAACGCAGACGAGGTCAGGAGGTGCACACCCTACCACGTGTCCTGAAGGCTTTAGTCACCTGCCAAAGAAAAGATGCCTGGGGCCTAAGAGTTTGAAACAGAGGACAGAGTAGTTTAAGAAGGGTACCTGATGATGCAGAGAGGGGCTGTGAGGCTGAGGGGAAAATGGCCAGCGGCTTCCACAGCCTAGACTACCACTGCCATGACCCAAAGCACCAGGTGCCGGGGAAAGGCCTGGAAGCTTGTCTGGGGAGTGACAGCGTGTTCAGTGCCATTCGTGGCTTCTGTTTTCTCTGACAGATCACTTGGGAATTTCTCACGTGTCTCTGAAATCCATCTTCAAGGCTCCCTCTAACTGGCATCAGAGTAGCAGGTAGTGGTTCAATTTATGGTAATGGTGGGTAACCCTACATTCACTGAGCACATTTTAGGCACCAGACACTGCTACTCTGTCGTATATTTTATCCCTAATCCTGCGAGGGTGACAGTATTACCAAAGTAGTACAGGTGAGGATATCAAAGCTATAAGAACTTTCTGGAACTGGCCCAAGGCCACCCAGGAGTCCAAGCACCTGGATCTTTCCACTTTGAACTCTCGCTAATCCCAGGTCATTGACTTTGGTAACAGCAACGACTTCAAAGATTCAGGCAACCTAGGTGACAGCCATCCACTTACTAGCCAAGTGGCTTTAGTCAGGCAGCTCAACATTTTGGAACCTCAGATGCCTACTTGTAAAATAAGACCAATAATTCACAAGGCTGTCAGGAGCTTTAAAAAAAAGGTACTGTATATAGTGCTTGGCCAGCACCAGGCTCAAAGCAGGTGTCCACAAATGCAGGCTGCTCTTGTGGTCACATGACCTGCATCAGCTGTCCGCATCGTGTCCTCAGAGCAGAGTGAATGAGGGGTAAGGGCAGGCGCAGGAGCTCAGTGAGGTGGGGAAGACTCACGGGGAGGCTTCGAGCAGTGCCAGGCTGTCAGGGCTGCCATGTGATGCCTTATAGTGGGAGGAGTTTGGCCTAAATCCTTGCAATGCCAAGGCTGGTTCCTGGACCAGCGTCACCGGGCAGCTGGTAAGAAACACAGACCCCACCGCAGACCTGTGGAGTCAGAACCTGCATTTTTACAGGGTGCCCGGGAGATTCGTGTGCACATCCAAGTTTGAGAAACAGTGACCTAAAGGACCTTGACGGTCACAGTCCACACTGAGATTTCTGGGGCTTTCTTACTGAAAGATGTGGAGAATGAAGAAGAAAGGAAGGGAAGTAGCACAGGAAAGAGGGATCCTACCCAGCTCTGCCACTCACGAACACAAGGTTTAGTGGGGAGCCCACTCCTCAGACCGGGGCCTGTAAGCCCTGTAACGGGCAGTGGGCAGGGAGTGGGCACCCAAGTCTACAGGATACCAGGACCCATCTACCCGGACCGCTCCACTGCTAGCATACACGGCAGCCTTATAAGCAGAAGAATAAAGCTGCCCATTCTCCAGACAACAAAGCACGCTGTCTGCCAGAAAAATGCCATCCTAACTGGAAGCCTGCAGTGACAGGCGGACGGCACCCCTGGAAAGTCCATCTCACTCTGTCACTCGGTGCCACTGTCTTTTGTATGAAAGCAAACATGGACATAACAAATTCCCCTGAGCTCCCAGCAGGAGGGCCTGTTGTGCCCTGACCCTCAGGGGTGAGTGGGGACACTCCTGTGGGACAGCGCGAGGCAGTGCTGTTGAGAAGGCCCTGGGTCCTGCCCTCTTCAGGTCCTGGCTCTGCCGCCCGTCAGGTGTGTAACAGCTGGTACCTCACCTCTCAGGTGAGCCGCAGATACTCCTTTCAGAAAGCTGTTCTGAGGAGGTGTGGTCTCAAACGCCAGGTGACAAACGGCAGCTACGCTACCATCATTTAGGGTCCAGCCGAGAAGGCAGCTGGCATTGCGTAAGGAAGGAGGAGGCCACGAGGGGCACGCCGACTCCTCTGGAAGAGCCCAGGGCCACCGCCCCACAGCCACACCCTGACTGGACGAACCAGGGTGCAAGTCTGAATGCAACCACAAGGAGCAGGGGCGCCTCCCCAGGGTCAGTGGGTCCCGCCCGCCAGATCTGTCGGTACCTGTTACGACTTTGTAGCCCAGCCCCATCAAGGTCTCAGCCAGAGCCCTGCAGTTGGCCACCACCTGGCGCTGGTAGAGCCTGAATTCCGGAGTCAGGGCTTGCTTCAGGGCCACAGCCACCCCTGGCAGGAAGGGATCAAAAGACAGACCGAGAGTCAAAGAAACACCCTTGTTTCCACTCAGGCTTCCCCACTTCTCAATGTCACCGAAGGGGGTGGGTTACATTGCCCCCCAAAATGACATCTATTTCTAACCCTACAGTTACCTGGCTAGCCAGACCTCTAGACCTCTTCTCTCTAAGGAAGTGCTTTTGAGGTACCTTTCTCCAGGCACGGAAGTTTCGTGCTAATAAGATTACCACAGGAAAGCTGTACTTAAGCAAGATGGATCTTACAGTCCTTTTTAAGCTCGATATGTGAAAACAATTACTTAGCTGCCCCAAAAGCTGGTGCTTTGTTGCCAAATTATACAGATCAGATCAGAGTCCAGGTGAGAGGAGCAGGCCTGTTTTATCCTGCACGTCCACTTATCTGGTACCTCGTGTTCAGTCCCGAGGGCTGTTAAAGGGGCACAGAAAACGGAGAATGCAGAAGACATGTGCCTGAGTCCAGCACAGAAGCCCAATCAATGTTTGTGGAAATGACTGGAAAAGGCCCAGAGTGGCTGGAGACCGGGCGATCCGATCATCTAAGAGTTGGAGAAACTGCGGTGCTGGGCTTGTAGTATAAAGGGGGGACGTGAAGACACCCCGGTGGGCACTCACCCCTCCCCAGGTGCCTACAATTCCCACTCACTGCTTCCTCCACCTCCCTCTTTGAAAAAGCTAGTGCTTCTCTTGATGGAGACATTACACCTCCGTCCTGGGCTCCTCTAACAATTGCTTTGTTCTGAAAAAGATAGTGGGATAACTTTGAAATCATCACATACTTTCTACACCACTTGCATAAACAGAGAAGGAACAAGTCAATGACAGCTTGCTGCGTGATCAGAGAATAGGACCCAGGAGCTACCAGTGTGGCCCCAAGGTCAACAGCGTGCGAGTCAGACACAGGAGGTCAGGATGTCAGGGGAGAGGCCATTCGTCCTTGCTACTCATACACTCCCTTTGCTGTGCCTTCTAATTGTCACACGCCTTCCCCGTTGTTTCTTTGAGAGGGCTGCACATGGAACCTGGCCTGGCTCTCAGTTCTGCCTGAGGATGGCCATCAGTCCTTCTTGTCCCTACCATACCAGTCACCACTGTTTTTCCCTTTTCTTCCTTGTTAGCATCTACCAGACAGAGCCATCCTCTAGTTTCACCCCAGCATGGAAGGCCTGGCACACACTTTTAGTGGGCTGGTGCGATGGGAATTAGGGTTCACAGGAGGAGCAAGAGGGAGAGAACCCCAGGCTGCTGGGGCCACTCTGGATGCAGGGCCACCTGAGGGCTCTGGGGTGGGTTTGGGAAAGTTTTACCAGCAATGGCGTGGTTGTGGGGACCTCCCTGGAGGCCTGGAAACACGGCAGAGTTGATGAGCGACTCCAGGTTGTACAGACTCTCCTTGCCGGTCTTGGGATCCACACTGCGCACTCCTGGATGAAGACAAATCTCAGAATGGGAACGTCGGATAGGCTGTCCCCCGTCTTCTCCCTGCTTGGACTCAAACCCAGACGGGCTCTGGAGGCGCCAAGCACAAGCCTGGCTGCTACTCCTGGAGGTGAGACCAGGTCCAAAATGCTGCAGAGCAGAGAGGGCGCTTGCTTCCCGAGAGGGGCAGCCCCCCTTCACAGATGAAATGGAAAAACAAGAATTTCCCTCCCCTGAGACTGTAACAAAGAACATGCCTTGGGCACATTTCCTCAAAGAAGTGTTCAAGAGAGCAGCCTTCCAAGATGACCACCTTGGAGAAAAGACTCATTTGGCTAGATACAGGGAATAAGGTTTCTTTCTGATAAAAAGTTAATCATCAGGAATAGTAACTACTAATGTCTAACAGAGAGCTTCTTGTGAGCCAGAACTGCTCTAAGCACCTGACCTAAATTCATTTAATTCTCACAGCAGCAGTCCAAAGAGACAGGTACTATTATTATGATCCTTACTCTGGAGGTGAGGAAATAAGACACAGAGAGGCTGTACAACTAATCCAAGATCACACAGCACATGCATGGCAGGGCTATCTGGCTGGCTGGGTCAAACAAATCACACCAACAGACAGTGGGAGAAACAAACATCTCCCAGGCAGTTGGGAATGGCTGCCTGCCTCAGAAACCTCAACTCGACTCAAGAAGGACCTCTAAGGAGCTTGGAGGCAACAGGGCACTGAGCACCCATGAGTGTGTCCAGCCCTGGCCAGGGGCTGGGAGAGGAGACCTCGCCTTGGAGGTAAAGAGAAATCCAGTCACCAGAGGGCTGGTTTCTCTGCTGATGCGAGGTCAGTGCATCGGGTCTCACCACGGGCTGAATGATGATCTGCTCGCTAATCTGGCTTTCTCAGGTATGGGAATCCCAAAATAAGGGGAGCACCTACATGTGGACTGTAAACATTCCATTACTGGAAAGACATCCCTCACTAAAATGACTAAACTGGTACTATGGTTTATACATCAGTGTCTCATGGTTTGATTACTGTGAGTCTTTCTCTGGGAGATACATGCTAGACTACAGTAAGTTCACCAAAATAATGCTGCACCGTGAGGCCTTCTGGTAGCCCCCACCAGCCACGCACATCTTCCTTTCACGCCAACATCTGCCTCTCTGGGGAGGGTCAGTTGAGCCAAGGGACACTGGCGCCCGGCACAATACCCTTCTTCCTTTCCCGGGACCCGGACTGCTGTGTTCAGGGCCTCCTTCTAGATCCCTTCCATAAAGCCTATCGTTGCCCCCTCCTAAGCAGCTCTTTAAAGGATCCTAAAATATTCAAGGGCTCCCAGGTCAGAGTCTTCCCCAGCTCCCTAAACCAAACGTGAAGCCCCAAAGGAGAAAGGCAGACCCCACGCGCAGGAGCGCACCTCTCCTGTAGAAGATCATGCCGGCCCGGCAGCCCCGCAGAGTTTTGTGGGTGGTGGTGGACACCACGTGGCAGTGTTCGAAGGGGGAGGGCACCACACCAGCCGCCACCAGCCCGCTGATGTGTGCCATGTCGGCCATGAGATACGCCCCATTGTCGTCTGCAATCTTCCGCAATCGAGCGTAGTCCAGGTTTCGGGAGTAGCAGCTGGTTCCTAAGATGGCCAAGGTGACACCACGGGGTCAGAGATGCCCACAGCTAGCTGAGAGTAGTCGCAGTGCACATCTGCAAAGTGGCCTCTGGGGATGCATGTTTGAAAGCTTGGAGATTTCTCTCTCTAAAATCTCTGGGAAAAGAAATAAGAATGCCCTCGAAAAACATCTTTGTGCCGAAGGCAACCACTCCGATCTCTGCCTCTTCGATGTCATGGTGGTTGAGAGCCCCCAACTATTATTACCACCCCCAATTAGTCAGGGATTAACGTTTCTAGATGATTCTCTGAGAACAGCCTTGGATCTTACTCCATCTAGTACTAATGGTGACAGACACGGACATTTGCCCTAAAAGAAAAGAATACACTTGGACCCAAGAAGCCTAGCTATCCAAGGCAGAAACGGGCAGTGAGGAAGGACAGTGGGGTACATCTTCACATCTTCCTTTTGCATGAGGCACGGATCTGCTGACAAAAACAGTTGCTCTCCGCCCAGCTCATCACCTGCGATAATCAGCTTCGGGTGGAAGAGGCGGGCGTTTTCCTCCAGCTGGTCATAGTTGATGTAGCCAGTGTCTGGGTGTACCTGTGGAACGTCACGGAGACAGCAGGCTCGGGCCGCTTCCTCCAGCCACGCAGTGCCTGCCCCCCACCTGAACTCCTGCCAGCTGTCAAGGGTAAGAGGACGTCCTGCACCTGCCAAAAGCTGTTCGCGCCACTCTGCCATGAACGTGGGACGGACGTCCCGGACCAGGGCTGGAGGGCGAGACGGAGTGCCAGTGTATTTGGCCTGCACAAGTGGTGTGCACAGCCAGGATCCCTCATGGGCCCAGAATGCACTGAGGGGTGCCGGGGGCAGGGGCTCCACCCCTCGACCAAAAAGAAGGAACCAAAAAGCCGCTGCAGAACGAAACAGGAATGACAGCCGTGCAGCACACAGTGCAGGTGCTAGGACAGCCACCTACAGGAGTGAGACAGATGCCTGCCAGCACCACTTCCAGTCCAAGTACCATGAGGCAAGAGAAAAAAATTAAAAGCACGAGGATGAGAAGATGTAAACTGACATGACACACAACACCGTGACTGTGCACCTGGAAAACCCAAGACTCCACAGGCAGGCTATTAGACTTAGTAAGTGAATTTGGCAAGGTCACTGCATACGAGGTCGAAAAACAAAAACCAATTATATTCATATATATAAGCAACAACAGAAAATGAAATTTTAATGATATCATTAGTGTCAAAAACCATAAAATACCTAATGAAAGACGTACGAGGCCTCTACATAAAACACTATTGGGAGAAATTGGAAAACACTCAGGAAGCTACAGTAACTAAGGCGGCGTGTGCTTGTGGAAGAGGAGCCCATCTGATGGGCGGGACGGAGAGCCCAGCACAACCCTCCTGATGGACGGTCACGGCTGGGTGACGACCGCGGTGTGGCAGGGAAAGGAGGGCTGTCCAGTCAACACACCAGCCCAGCTGGACATGCACACGGAAGACGACCTATCTGGACACCTGCCTCACCTCACACAGAAAGCAATTCCAGATAGATGTGGATCCATCTACATGTGAAATGGAAAACAACGTTTTCTTCTTTTCTGACAACACATTTCTTAGTAAGTTCAGTTTCTTAAAGTTGTATTAAAGCGTAAGTGCCAAAGGGAAGTAAAAATGATCAAGGGGGCTTACTGTAGGAAAAACTGTAGGGGTGTGGGGCACAGGAGCCCTCTGGGAAGGGGTGGTGAGAGGAGTTTCAGGCTCTGAAGCCCCTGCCCCCTGCAGGGGAGGGTTTCAGGTTTGGTGGTTTCCCCTTCCAAGTAAAAAAAGCACTTAGAATTCAACACAATCACGAAGCTTGTGTGTAAGGATACAGAAGCCAAGACACCATCTGGAAAGCAGGCTGAACGACCATTTGTGGTTTGGTTTTGTGAGTTTTGTTTCAGGAGTGTGAGCCGTTCTTTCTCAGTCACTGGAACTGGACAAAGAAACTGTTATCTTAATGAAAAATCAACAGCTGACCCACAAGAAAAAAATGGACATAATTCTAAAAATTTTTTAAAAGACAACTACCAAAAACATCTGTTGCTATTCTCTCCTTTCACATCTTGCTTTTTAAACTTGTGGGACTTCTTAAAAGATTTTTCTTTTTTTATTTTAATCTTGGAAATTCAACAATAAACCAACTCCCGGAAAAATTCACAGGCATTTGTAACAAACTGCAGAGGGGCCAGAGCAGTGCGGGGGCAGCAGCCAGCAAGGGAGCCCCCTCAGCTGCTTCGACCAGCGGGGATGGGGGAGCGTTAGTCACAGAGGAGGGGGGGAGGCGACAGAAGGTTTGTGTTGCTGTTTCTCCAGAGAGATGAAATGCCTGGCCCTCGGGGGTGTTGCCTGGAGGGTGAAAGCCAGTCCCATGGTGGGGGCAGGGGCCCAGGGAAGGGCGGGGCAGGGAGGCAACCTGGTGGGCAGAGGAAGAGCCCTGCGGCTACTGCTGGAGGCCAATGAGGCCAGTGTCCTCCTCCTTGCCCACCAAGGCCGGTGCCCCTCCAGCAGGTGAGCTGTGCCTCCTGCTGCCCAGGGTCACAGGCCCCACTGCTCCACATCCCCCACTGCACCCACTGGGCTGCAGCCTGACAGGAGCGGCTGCCCAGGACTGGGGTCAGCCCTGAGCCTGCTAATGCCCAGAAGAGACTCTTCAGTAACAGAGGACATGAGGCTGCCCAAGGCCTCATCTAAGGTCCAAAAACAAGTCAGTGATTACTCTCTGCCACCATTCTTTCCATAGTGAAAGAAACTGTAGAAATTGGCTTTTGTGTTCTACATGCAAAGACAGAGCATTGTTACTGTTGTCACGTTTCAAAATCCCTCTTCAAGGGCAGCATTGGCCAATGCGGACACCTGTGACTGGAAACACCTAGGCTTTTCATGAAAAGAAGTGAACCGTCACCTGTACACAAAAAGCACATGTGCAATTACTAGAACTGAGACAGAGGCTAATAAACAATGAGCAATCGAGGGTATGCAACAAAGACCACAGATGCCAAGATAGAACACCGGCTTGATTTTCTTAAATGAATAAAATTATGTGTCTGATATCCTGCCAAGCGTAATGATGCACTGCTACCTTTGCTCATGGTGGGACACATGAAACTAACCAGGAACAGCCCGTCTGACAATCAACACCACAAGGGGATGCTTCCTGGACATGAGGAAGGGTCATGTGCACCATAAACAAGTATGCAAGTTACCTCTTTTCTACGCATCACTCGAATCATCTTTACAGATAGTCACTATGCCTCGCATGAGCCCATGAATCTTACATGCATTTTTTGAACAAATTGTTTATGACAAAGGCCTTCACATAAATACATGCCGGTCCCACACTGGGCATATGGCTTGTACTGGCTGTAGCTGGCTGAGGACAAGTCTGTGCGGGAAGGTGGCAGGGGTACAGGGGCAGGTTGTTCCCATAATAGCCATACCATAGGCAGGGGGTGGGCACACAGCCCTGGCTCCAGCCTCCCAGCTGCAGGGGCTGGCTCTGGGCTGTGGAGGGCTGTGTTGATGGGGCTGCTGGCATAAGTGCTAGACCCAGGGCTGCAGCTGCTGGCCTGCAGGGGTTCCAAGCAGGGCTGTCACTAGGGGCCCGGCTGTAGCTGACCTGGTGGCTGGGAGCTGTCACCCTAGCTGTCATTGCCCCTAGTTGCAGCAGCCAGCAACCCTGCTGCAGCCAAAACCTCCTCGGTGGTCACCCCCGCACCCGTCTCCCTGTGCCTTGGCTCAGCCCCTTGCTCTCTGTCCCAGCTGCCCCCAGTGAGCCCTGAATGCTTGAGGAGTCCCCAGGGCAGGGAAATGACAAACGGTGAGAGATGGGGGCTTCTGTAGTGCCAAGTGAACAAAACTACTTCTTCCTACAGGCACAGCCAAATGCTGGAGGCTGTGTGAGGAAACAGACCACCGAGCTATGAAGAGAGATGCACTCCTACCTTATAGGGCATAGATTCAAAAAAGATGGATGTAGCAGAGATTTTCTTCTTGTCTGTCATGAACCCATGGGTCAGGTGGCCCCCATCGGGCAGGTCCAGGCCCATGATGCGCCCATGGGGTTCCACCAGGGCGGTGTATACTGCGAAGTTTGCAGGGGAGCCTGGAAGGGCAGACCAGAGGAGGCAGGATTACTTCTGCCGAGGTGGCATCAAGAAGTGCCTGGAGCTTGGCCACCAGGCCATCAACCAGCAATGGCCAGAACAGGCCTGGCTGCCATTATGCATTCCCCAAGCCCCTTGGAGGTTCCCCTTCAACAGTGCCTTTGATTGTAGGTGGAGGGGGACGTTCAGCGACAGGACATGGCCTGGGAAGCACAAGTACAGCCGGGAGCCAAGGGCAACGGAGAAAGACGCAAAGACCAGGAGGGGCTTAGCTTGTTTTTCACTTTCGTTTATGGGCAGTCCTCCTTAGAACCCCTCCTGTGAACATCAGCCCTGGGAGACCAGGCAGGCCGGGGGCTGCTCAGGCCTGTCTGGACGTGGCAATTACCTGAGTAGGGCTGAACGTTGACCCCCCAGCACTGGGGGTCCAGATCATAGAGCTGCAGCGCTCGCTTCTGACAGAGGAGCTCCAGCTCATCGATAAACTCAGTCCCGCCGTAATACCTGTGGTGGGGGGAAAGCAGGAGACTTGGGCCCCCTCTGGCCCCGAACCTGTGTGCTCAGTGCAGAGGCCAAAGCCTGGGGTGGGACAGAAGAACACGAGCGGAGAACTGGTTAGGACCTGCATTCTGAGCCCAACACAGCTCATGTTCCACCAGTGCCTCTGGGCTTGAGGGTCAGGAGACTGAGCCAGCTGTGACTTGAGCAAGCATCTCCTCATCTGCAAAGAGCGGGCGGTTTCCAGCTTTAAGAAGAAATAAAGGGGCCGGCCCGGTGGCGCAGTGGTTAAGTGCGCGCGCTCCGCTTTGGCGGCCAGAGGGGTCGGTCGCAGGTTTGGATCCCGGGCGTGCGCCGACACACCGCTTGTCAAGCCATGCTGTGGCGGCGTCCCATATAAAGTAGAGGAAGATGGGCACGGATATTAGCCCAGGGCCAGTCTTCCTCAGCAAAAAGAGGAGGATTGGCATGGATGTTAGCTCAGAGCTGATCTTCCTCACACACACAAAAAAAAAAAAAAAAAAAATTAAAAAAAAAAAAAAAAAGAAATAAAATTCCGACACATGCTATGTGAATGAACCGTGAGGGCATTATCATTCTGCTAAGTGAAATAAGCAGTTACTACAGTCTGACTCCCCTATATAAGGTACCAAGAGTCGTCAAATTCATAGAGACAGAAAGCAGAATGGTGGTTGCCAGGGCCTGGGGTGGGGACTTACTGGCGTTTTTGTGCATTTCTAATAAAATTTTATTTTCATTTGACAATTACATATAAAAATCTATCATGTATTTAGGTTTTTGATTATCTGTATACCATTAATAATCATAATCACTCACTCCAGAAGAAATTTTTTTTTTTGGGAAACAGTCGCTCTGAGCTAACACCTGTTGCCAATCTTTCTCTCTCTCTTTTTTTTTCCTCCCCAAAGCCCCAGTACATAGTTCTATATTCTAGTTGTAAGTCCTACTAGTTCTTCTATATGAGTCACCAGCACAGCATGGCTAGTGACAGACAAGTGGTGTGGTTCTACGCCCGGGAACCAAACCTGGGCTGCCAAAGTAGAGTGTGTTGAACTTTAACCACTAGGCCATCAGGGCTGGCTAAGAAGAAATTTTTAATACTTAGGCCTTGTGGTCACAAATAGCTTTAAAATTTTTAAGTGAAACATATATACATTTTTTATTAGAGTAAAAAACATATAACACTGGGGCTGGCCTGGTGGCGTAGTGGTTAAGTTCGCATGCTCCACTTTGGCGGCCTAGGGTTCGCAGGTTCGGATCCTGGGCACAGACCTACGCACTGGTCATCAAGCCATGCTGTGGCGGCATCCCATATACAAAATAGAGGAAGATGGGCATGTATGTTAGCTCAGGGCTAATCTTCCTCAGCAAAAAGAGGAAGATTGGCAATGGATGTTAGCTCAGGGCCGATCTTCCTCACCAAAAAAAACCCCACAAACAAACATATAACATAAAACTTACCATCTTAGCCATTTTTAAGCATACAGTTTAGTAGCGTTTGGTTAACTATATTCACATTGTTGTGCAACAGATCTCTAGAACTTTTTCCTCTTGTAAAACTGAAACTCTACACTCACCAAACAACTCTCCACTTCTCCCTCCCCCAGCCCCCAGTAACCATCACTCTACTTTCTGTTTCTATGAATTTGACTACTTTGCATACCTCACATAAGTGGAATCACACAGTATTTGTCTTTTTGTGACTGGCTTATTTCATTCAGCATAATGTCCTTAAGCTTGATCCTTGTTGTAGCATGTGACAAGATTTCCTTCTTCTCTAAGACTGAAGGACATTCTAGTGGATGGATAGACCACATTTTCCTTATCCATTCATTCATCAATGGACACCTGGGTTGCTCCCACCTCTTGGCTATTGTGAATAATGTTGCAATAAGCATGGGTGTGTAAATATCTCAACACCCTGCTTTGAATTCTATTGGATATATACCCAGAAGTAGGATAGCTGGATCATGTGGTAATTCTATTTAATTTTTTGAGGAACCCTCATATTGTTTTCCACAGTGGTTGCACCATTTACATTCCTACCAGCAATACCCAAGGGCTCCAATTTTTCCACATCCTTGCCAACATTTGCTATTTTCTGTTTTTTCAATAGTAGCCATCCTAATGGGTGTGAGGTGCTATCTCATCGTGGTTTTTTTTTTAAACATTTTATTTATTTATTTATTTCCCCCCCAAAGCCCCAGTAGATAGTTGTATGTCATAGCTGCACATCCTTCTAGTTGCTGTATGTGGGACATGGCCTCAGCACGGCCGGAGAAGCAGTGCATCGGTGCGCACCCGGGATCTGAACCCGGGCCGCCAGCAGTGGAGCGCACGCACTTAACCGCTAAGCCACGGGGCCGGCCCTCATCGTGGTTTTGATTTGTATTTCCCTGATGACTAGAGATGTTGAGCATCTTTCCATGTGTTTCTTGGCCGGGAGCTATTGTGTCATGAGTACAGAGCTTTGTTTCTGCAAGAGGAAAAAGTTCTAGAGATGGATGATGGTGATGGCTGCACAACAATGTGAATGTACTTAATGCCACTGAACTGTACACTTAAAAATGGTAAATTTTATGTTATGCATATTTTACCACAATAAAGAAAAGAGGAGGAATGAGAAGTTTTTACTCACACCACTTCTGATGCCAAATGTGTAGGTTTTTTTTTCACATCAACCAATTCTCACACCAACTGGGGTCCTACAATTCCAGTCAATTCCGACCTAACTACCTGGAGTTATCACAGACCCCACAGGTTAAGGACTTAGTCCTACAGGATGCTCTCACTTCAGAGGCCAGTCACAAGTATTGGGTCCCCAAGTTACCCACACTTCTGTCTGACAAACTTGGGGATTCCCATGACACCCCTCAGGTTCGATAACTCATTAGAATGACACAGAACTCAGACAAGCACTTTCCTTACTATTATTCATTTATTATAAAGGATGCAACTCAGGAGCAGCCAAATGGAAGAGATGCACAGGGCAAGGTGTGGGGAAGGCTCGGAGCCTCCACGCCCTCTCCAGGAGTCACGCCCTCCCAGCACCCCAATGTGTCCACCCACCGGGAAGCTCTCCAAACCTCCCTGTTCAGAGGTGTTGTGGACGTTTCATTATGAGGTGTGACTGATGAAATCATTGGCCATTGGTGATGAACTCAGTCTCCAGCCTCCAATGTGTTGGTCTTTCTGGCCACCAGCCCCCATCCTAAAGCTATCTAGAGGCCCACCAAGAGTCATTGCCTTCACATAAACTCAGGTTTGGTCTCGAAAGGCCTTATTACGAACAACAAAAGACATTCAAGGGGACTTGGAAGCTGTGTAAGGAACGGGACAAAGACCAAATATCTCTCTGTGATACCACAGGGCGTTTCCATTCAATTGTATACTTTACTTGGGTGAACTGTATGGCGTGTACATTACATCTCAATAAAACTGTTATAAAAAAATTAAAAACCAGAACTTTGTTTTTAGATTTGTACCAAGCAAAGTCATCAATGCTAGATTTTGAAAACAATGCTGTTTTCAAATGTTTACTTTGATCACTAATGTTCCAAAAGATAAACTGACCTTATTAATGGGGCCGGCCCCGTGGCTTAGCGGTTGGGTGTGCACACTCCGCTACCGGATGCCCGGGTTCGGATCCTGGGCACGCACCGCTGCACCACTTCTCCGGCCATGCTGAGGCCGCGTCCCACATACAGCAGCTATGGAGGATGTGCAGCTATGACATACAACTATCTACTGGGGCCTTGGGGAGAAAAACGGAAAAAAAGGAGGAGGATTGGCAATAGATGTTAGCTCAGGGCTGGTCTTCCTCAGCAAAAAGAGGAGGATTAGCATGGATGTTAGCTCAGGGCCAGTCTTCCTCACACACACACAAAAAAACTGACCTTATTAAGAAAATATCATGAAAATGGGTAATAATCACCTTTTAAAAGAGTCCTCTAAAATGAATAAATGATTTAATTATCTTCGATTTAAGTTTTTATAATATATATTAGTCTTATTTGGTTCAGCTAAATAATGAAAAAATCATAGAATGAGTCTTGAAACGGAAAGGGGCTTCACTGAATAACCTGGAAGGTCCCTTCCAGCCTCATATTCTCTGCTCTGTGACCAAAGAAGGGCGTGGTGTCCCCAAGCCTGAAGGAGAGCAGCCCCATGCCTGGGACCGTCAGGGATGTCAGGGCTACAGGGGCCTTAGCAATTAACCGTTTTCCAGGGGAGCAAACACGGTACAGCAATTCACAGTCCTGGTGAGGCCCCGAGCCCCTGCCTGCCTTGGCTCAAACAGACAAGCGGCAGCAGGGGCCTGCAGAAAGTGTGTGCTGTGCAGACAGGGCCCGGTCAGAATCCAGTTCTGCTCTTCACCAGCCGTGTGACTTGGAGCGCCTCCTGCGCCAGCCTGAGCCTAATTCCTTATCTTAAAAGGGGGCTGAGAGGGCTGCCTCTGCAGTCAGGCTGTAGAATACAGAAAAATGGGGGGGCCTGTGATCGCACTCAGCCCAACGCCTAGCACACAGCACTGCTGTGTTTCCTCAGTTTAAGACACCCTCAATTTCAAGACGACCATTATCTTATTAATCACCGAGAAAGAAAAAAGCATTTTCAATTATATTATGACTTGCCATCAGTCAGATTCATCCCAATTTCAGAAACGTTAAAGTGTGAAGAAATGAGAGCTGAGTGCTGATGAGGATCAGCCAAGCACTCGGTGACCGTCAGCGCAGCCCTGCCGCTGCCTCCACCTGTGGGCGAGCTCAGTTCTGTGCAAGGATTCAGAAGCCTGACTGTGGCCTGCTCTGCAAACCAACCTCACCTAATACTAATACTCTTCGTTTGTGTCCATTCTCATTTGGAACAAAACTCACGAGGAGAAATGCTACCAGTGATTAAGGGGTGCCCTCAAACCACAGCAGTAAACACAGCAAAACTCTGAACACCTCATGGGGGCCAGAATCCACCTGTCTCCGCTCTCCACAGACACAGGAACCCCTGTGCTCACTGCGTGGGGACAAAAAGCCCAGGAGCCATCACAGTATTCTCTACAAGAGCACCTAGAAATGCTGAACCTTCCGGGCCAGCCTGGGATTTGGAGCGCGTGCGGTTTTTCCAACACCAACAACCAGTCTCGGACACCAACTGGGTGTCCAACAGTTCCATTCAATTCTGACACTAACCACCTGAGCTGGCTCAGACCCCACAGGTTAAGGGTGCAGTTCCACAAGCCTGGCCCCACTTCAGATGCCAGCCACAAGTCCCAGGTCCCCAGGCTACCCCCACTTCTGTCCAACTTGGCTAAAAATTCGGGGGTCCCAACAACCACCCCTCAGGTTTGCTAATTCACCAGAACAACTCACAGGGCTCAGGAAAAAGCTTTACTTATGACTACTGGTCTATTATAAAGGATTCAACTCAGGAACAGACAAATGGAAGAGATGCACAGAGCAAGGCATGGGGGGCATGCTACCCTCCAGCACCTCAAGTTGTACAAGCACCTACTCCAGCCTCCCCACCGCTCCCTGGAGGTCAGGAGTAGGGACTCAAAGTTCTAACCCTCGAACCACGTGTTTGATCTTTCTGTGACCAGCCTCCATCTAGGGGCCCCACTCTGAGTCACATATTAGCATAAACTCAGTGTGGTCAAAAAGGGCTCATTATGAATAACAGAAGACACTCCTATCACCATGGAATTCCAAGTGCCAGGAACCAGGGACAAAGTCCAGATATTTATTTACCTATTGATTATTATTTTGTGTGTGTGAGGAAGAGTAGTCCTGAGCTAACATCTGTTGCCAATCCTCCTCTTTTTGCTGAGGAAGATTGGCCCTGGGCTGACATCCGTGCCCATCTTCCTCTACTTTATATGTGGGACACCTGCCACAGCATGGCTTGATAAGCAGTGTGTAGCTCTGCACCCAGGATCCGAACCTGCGAACCCTGGGCCGCTGAAACAGAGTGCGAGAAATTAACCACTACGCCACTGGGCCAGCCCCCTGATATTTATTTTTTATCCTACCACAGTGTGAAAACATCTGGATTCGAGTCCTAGCTCCGCTACCTGTGTGCACACTTGAGAAGTCCCTGAATTTTGGTCTCAGCTTCCCCATCTTTAAAATGTGGAACACAGCACCGCTTGCCCTACGGGGCTGCCGTGAGGTATCAGTTGTGAAAACACCCAGTGAACTCTTCAAGGCACAGTGCAAGAATTAGTTATTCACAGCAGGAGAAAGACAGGGCCCTCAACTTGGGTCTCAGTCCTTGTACAGAGAGCTTCAGGGGTGCCTCAGGATAGAATGCCACTTCAGCTCCAAGGGGGACCTTTCTTTTTCCGTGTCCTTTGGGATACAAAGGTACACATTTGCAAAAACCATGTTAAATCCTGTAATCATCATCTTTGCCTGATTATGATGACTGTAAAAAACGAGTATACTTCTCGTGGTTCTCAGGGTGAAAGAGCTGACCAAAATCACTGCATATGTAAATCCAACATTTATAATGCAGAAATGGTTTCCAGCACGACAGATTCAGTTTTCACTTTCAGGTCACTCCTGATACAGATTCCATTACCCACATGGCAAGAGAACCTTCCATGGCATCACTCAGAGTACTGACCCTTTTCTAGAGGCTTGACAACAGTCCAGCAGCTCCATACTCCTTATAGACTGGCCTGTTATTCTAGAAAGCCCCCCAAGGGACCGTTAAAGTGACCCTGACCTCTTTTGAATTATGTCAGAGAGCAGGAGTGGAAAGGAAATCACCACAGTTGAAAACTTTGTTGTTTTCTGAAATTTCCAAATTGCTTGGGTTCTATACTGATTCAGTAACTCACGTCACACTGTCAGAAGCAGGCCTTTGACGACATCACGTACCTCTGGCCTGGATACCCCTCAGAGTACTTGTTGTTTAAGCAAGACCCTAGGGCCTCCAAAACTGCTCGGCTGGCGAAATTCTCTGAGGCGATCAGCTCCAATCCGACCCTCTGCCGGTTACTCTCCTTCTTAATGATGTTGTAAACCTGATGAGAAGAAAATAGATGCTAAACATTTGGACATTTGGTTTAACATTTTGCTGTGATCAAAGCAATAACCTAATAAAGAGAAGAGCCACTATTATAGATTCATATTTTGCCCTCAGAAGCTGACCATAACCCAAATAATCAAACTCTTCCTCAAAGATTTTAGCAGCTGGGAAGGAATTAATAGAAGACAATGAATTAAGAAAACAAAATGATTGAAGAGAAAATGATCTTTAAAATAAATATCCCATCTAATTTTTAATTCTACACCATCTTGTTAATTTTCATCCCTACATTTTACCAACTTTCTCCTTCCCTGAACCTTATTCCTTGCTCCTCTTCCTTAAAAGATGCTTAGGTAAATCCAGAGACAGAAAGTAGACTAGTGGTTGCCCAGGGTTGGGGAGTTTGGTGGGGCCTAGGGGTGACTGGGTTCGAGGTTTCTTTTCGAGGAGATGAAAATATTCTAGAATTGATTGTGAATATACTAAAAACCACTGAATTTGGGGCCAGCCAGGTGGCATAATGGTTAAGTGCGTGCGCTCTGCTGTAGCAGCCCAAGGGTTCGTAGGTTCGGGTCCTGGGCGGGCACTGACGCACCACTTGTCAAGCCATGCTGTGGCAGTGTCCCATATAAAGTAGAGGAAGATGGGCACGGATGTTAGCCCAGGGCCAATCTTCCTCGGCCAAAAGAGGAGGATTAGCATCGCATGTTATCTCGGGCAAGAAATAATAAAAAAATAAAAAATAACCACTGAATTGTATACTTTAAATGGGTGACTTGTATGGTAAATGAATAATATCTCATATACAAAACTGTTATAAAAATACATACACAAGGGCCGGCCCAGTGGCGTAGTGGTTAAGTTTACCGGCTCTGCTTCTGCAGCCCGGGGTTCACGGGTTCGGATCCCAGGTGTGGAGCTACGCACCGCCTATCAAGCCATGCTGTGGCGGCGTCCCGTGTACAAAATAGAGGGAGATGGGCATGGACGTTAGCTCAGGGCCAATGTTCCCTACACACACAAAAATACATAAATAAAAGATGCTTCTCGCTGTCTAGATAAGCTCCTCTGAACTGTAAGGAAAGGGTCAAACCTCAATGACCCCTGCCCACTGCCCCGCTTTCTCCAGAGCACCCAGCACATTGCTCTGCACTCTGTAGAAACTCAGAAATATTTCAAAGGGCTTTTAGCCCCTTTGTCAGCCACTGCCTCTAAATCCGACACTCTTATACTAAGTGCAAGGCTGTCCCGAATAAAGTCCATTTATGACTAAAACCAGAGATGCAAACAAGAGCCTCTGAGGTAAGAACGTCCGTGAAAACCCCAAAGCCTCACCTCAACGTCGCTGTCTTTCAGGGGCTGCACCAGCATTTTCTCATGTGAGGACCACAGGTCAGCATCCTCATGGGCCCCGTTGACTGGAGTCGCCATTGCACTGGTTCAAAGTTGCCTAAAAATGGAAAAACTTTCAACATTAAATTTAGTCAAAGCTCCTGTTAGTTCTCCCAAGTTGCTAAAGTGCTGACACGCTTTTTCAGCCCTTCCCTCAGAGCTGCTTGGTAAACAGGAAGACATTCTATTGCCATACCATGGTGTGGACCTTCTGGCTCGTTTATGAACTGTGGCTGTCAGCTTGTTATCTCCCTCGTAATGAGAACTGCCCTTCCTCCCTCCGAGGCCCGACCCGGCACCGCCTCTCTCCACTAAACCTTACCTGGTTATGGCTTATCCTCCCAACTGAACTGACTCCTCTGAAGGCAAAGGACTGAGTGTTACTTTTTTTTTAATTCTCCCACAGCACCCAGCACGCCATACCTGAAGTAATATTTGCCAAATGACTGAACAAATGAACTGCTGATGTAAGTATTTTTCCATTTTTCAAGTAGTGAAAATGAGGCTCAGAAAAGTCAAGTGTCTTAGCGCAGGGCTGCACAGCAAGCCGGCCACGAAGATTAGACTCCAACTCCACAACACATGCTCCAAGTACCCCCGAGTTCCCGCAGGAGCTGAGTGTAAGCACCCCTCGCCTGGACACAGACCCTCCTGTGAGAATGACAGGTCAGATCTGCACGTCTATATTTCTCATCAGAAAACTACATCCCATTAAAATACAGCTGCCTGGAAAATGTATGTGCCTTAACGCATGTTTCTACAAAGAATGAGAATTCGTGATCAGTGGAATTTCCACTAGTGTGAAAGTTTAAATATTTACAGGAACTAATGTCCCTTAATCAACAGTTCAGTACTTTTCCATTAATTTTGTAAGTTTTCATGTGAAGGTTATCTTTTTGACAACTATTTATTGAGAACCTTCCCCGTCCAGCCAGCGTCAGTACTGGGAACACACCGTGAACAAAACAGACGGGAGCCCTGCCTTCGTGGGGTTTCCCTTGCGGGGAAGACAGCAGAAAACAAAACAGGTGCCTAAACGCAGCGGGATAACACAAGGAGAGCGCCACGGAGGATGAGCCCCAGGTGCTGGGTGGGCAGGGCTCACTGGACACCTGGGTTGGGGCCTATTGGAGGCGATGCCATCTAGACTGAGAAAGAGCCAATCACGAGGGGAGTGCTCACTTCCCAAGAGCACTGTGAAATAATACGGTCTCTGCTCCTAAAACCGTTGTGATTTCCTAAGTGATAAGAGTCCTCGGAGCATCTTTTGCTCTAATGTAGTGATTCTAGGTGGCTCCCGGTTAGGGGCTGGTCACCAGAAAGACCAAGCCATGATTAGAGGCCTGGAATTTCCAGCCCCATCCCCCATTCTCTAGGGAGGGGAGAGGAGCTGGAAATGGAGCTAATGGTAGATCATGCCATGTGATGAAGCCTCCATAAAAATCCTAAAAGTATGAGGTTTGGAGAGCTTCCAGGTTAGTGAACACATCTACGTACCAGAAGGGTGATGCACCCCAACTCCATGGGGACAGATGCTCCGTGCTCAGGACCCTTCCAGACCTTGCCCTATATACCTCTTCACCTGGCTGTTCATCTGGACTCTTTGTGATATCCTTTATTACATAATAAATTGGTAAACACGTTTCCCTGAGTTCTGTGAGCTGTTCTAGCAAATGATCGAATCAAAGGAGGGGGGTCATGGGAACCTCAGATTTGTAGCCAGGTTGGACAGAAGTTGTGGGGACCTGGGGACCTACTACTTGTGATTGGCATCCAAAGTGGGGGCAGTCTTGTAGGACTGAGCCCTTAGCCTGTGGGGTCTGCACTAACTCAGGTTAGTGTCAGAATCAAACTGAATTGTAGGACACCCAGCTGGTGTCACAGAATTGCTGATGTGTGGAAAACCCCCACATCTGGTATCAGAATTGTTGCAAGTGTGGTAGTAGTGTGAGAGTAAAGGAGACACACAGCAGGAAGAGTGTAGTTTTTCCTATACAAGTACACACACAGTATAATTTGCTAGACAAATACACCCATTAAACAAAATAGCCTGAGTCCCAAATCACGGTGATCCTCCTTAATCTCTGGCAGAGCTACTAAAAAGAAACTATCAATAATCTTTAACCAGGAAATTCCTAAGTAGGAATTTTCAAAGCAGCCATTATTTTAATACGAGCACAGCATGATTAGAAACACAGCCATGGATGCAAAATGCAAAGCCACAGTAGAAGCACTTGGACTCAAATGCAATGGACACCTCTGCGGCAACAGCGGTACCACCTCGCTGAAGGCGGCAGCCCCCAGTGTGTCCACATGTCCACATTCCCGTCAGAGGGGGAGAGAGAGACGTGTACATGGTTTGGGCGCTGTGCCTACGCTTCTCCGCGCTGACCTCTGCACTGGAGAATGGCCAGTGCAACCCAACGACCTCTGCATGGGCCCCACGCGTGCGCTTGGCATGTGGTAAACCCACAAAAAAAGCACAGGAGCCAAAATAGGCCCCCTGGTCCTAGAATCCTGGAGAAAAGGGTCTATTAAATATTAGCTACTCAAGGTTAAAAAGGGCTCAACGGTGGCAAGCAACACACTGAAGATATTTCTCAACCACCAAGTCAGTCAAGTCCATTTGGGACCCTCCTCCTCCAAGGACAGTCAGCTCTGCAGTCACTCCGTGAAAGGCATTCAGTTCCACTCTGCTCAGGGAAGACAGCCTCCACCTTCATCGGGGTCTCCCCCACTTCATGTCAGCCTAACAACCTGCTGCCCTTCACCCTCGCTGCACACCTTCTTCTTGTCCAACATGCTACTTCTGAGTCAGTTACCTCTCACCCCTCCTCAGGCCTGCAGTGCCATCCTGCTGTCACCGCCCACCCACCTGGAGGAGTTTTCTACCCTGTATCCTATTACGATTTAGGATCAAGTCATCCTCCAAATGGAGTACTTAATCCATACCCTTATTAAATCCCAACTTGAGTCCAAATTACACATTTTTTTAACCATGAAAAAGTCTGAATTCTTTATTCAAACAAAGAGCTCAAGGGGCTGGCCCGGTGGCGCAAGCAGTTAAGTGCACGCGCTCTGCTGCGGTGGCCCGGGGTTCGTTGGTTCAGATCCCGGGCGTGCACCGACGCACTGCTTGGCAAGCCATGCTGTGGTGGCGTCCCATATAAAGTGGAGGAACATGGGCATGGATGTTAGCCCAGGGCCAGTCTTCCTCAGCAAAAAAACAGGAGGATTGGCAGTTGTTAGCACAGGGCTGATCTCCTCACACACACACACAAAAAAACACGTAGAGCTCAAGAGTCTTTGCCTTGTTTCAATTAAATCAAGTAATCTATTATAGATATAATCTTGTATATCTACTAAGTCAATTAAATCTTTTATATCCTGGGGCATTCTGAACTACAGTAAGAAAGACAAAGATCCTGAGACTGTAACTCTTTTTTTTTTTGGTGAGGAAGATTAGCCCTGAGCTAACATCTGTTGCCACTCCTCCTCTTTCTGCTGAGGAAGATTGGCCCTGGGCTAACATCTGTGCCCATCTTCCTCTACTTTATATGTAGGACGCCTGCCACCACTTGGCTTGATAAGCAGTGCATAGGTCTCTGCCCGGGATACGAACCTGCCAACCCCGGGCTGCCAAAGCGGAGCACGAGAACTCAACCACTATGCCACTGGGCCGGCCCGCCTGAGACTGTAATTTTTATGATGCAGAGGGAAGATTATCATTTTTAGCTAATCCTATCTTTAGGGAAGACATACTTAGTATCTTTTCTTGAGGTCTGAAGGTTGGCTGAAAAACAATATACCTTGAACTTCTCTCTCACATTTTTTTGAACTGTGATAAAATATACATTACATAAAATTTACCATTTTAACCACTTTTAAGTGCACAATTCAGTTGTGCAACCATTACCACCATCCATCGCCAGAATTTTTCATCTTCCCAAACTGATACTCTGTCCCCATTAAACAACTCTCCATTCCCTTCTCCCCCCAGCCCATGGTAGCAACTATTCTACTTTCTGTGTCCGTGAATTTGACTATTTCAGGTATTTGTCCTTTTGTGTTTGGCTTATTTCACTTAACAAGATGTCTTCAAAGTTCATCCACATTGTAGCATCTGTCAGAATTTCCTTCCTTTTTAAGGCTGAATAATATTCCATTGTATGCACACACCGCATTGTTTATTCATTCATCTGTCAATGGACACTTGGTTTGCTTCTACCTTTTGGCTATTGTTAATAATGCTGCTATGAACGTGGGTGTACAAATATCAAGTTCCTGTTTTCACTTCTTTTGGGAATATACCCAGAAGTGGAATCACTGGATCATCTAGTAATTCTATGTTTAATTCAAAATAAGCTTTTGATATTTAAGAGCTCTACTCCACTACTATTAGCCCACAACAAACTCACCCATTTCTTGAACAAATATCTATTGAGCAACTCCTATGTCCCAGGCACTGAACTAGGAACTAAGACTACCAGGGCCGCCAAGACAGAGGCCCTGCTCTCATGAGAAACAGATATAAACAAGGAGACAAGAAATACACAAGGTCATTTCAGGCAGTAGTGACTGCTACAAGAACAACGAATGTGCGGGGGCTTTTGGGGCCTGGAAGGTGCCTGAGCCAAGAGCTGACAGCGGAAAGGAGCCAAGCATATGAGATCTGGGGTAACAGGGAGCAAACACTAAGTGCAAAGGCCCTAACGCGGGAAGAAGTTTGAATTGTCAAGGGTCAGAAATCAGGCCCATGTGGCTGAAGCCTGGGGAACAAAGCAGAGACAGGGGAGATGAGATTCAAAGGCCCAAGGGTACGAGCAGGGACGGGAAAACAGATTTTCACCGTAACAGTACATATTTTAGAAGTTTCAAACTGTTTTCTAGAAACTTTGGTTTCGGGCTATTTCTCAATCCATCTGTGAAATCTGAAACTAACAACTAGAGAAACCCAACTAGAGAAGATCAAGGGTCTTTACGTAAAAGAGCACGTGGACATCTCACAAGCTGGACGCCTCGCTTCTCCCACTTCCCAACAGCGAAGGCCACCTCCAAGGAAACGGCGCTGAAGCTCACCACAGAGCCAGGCTGCTGGGTTCAAATCCCACTCTCCACCTCCTAACGTGTAACCCAGTCACCGACACCTCTGTGTCTTGGTCCCCTCAGTATAGCACAGGGATGATGACAGTTCTGAAGCTGGTTCTGAGAATTAAATGAGGTATCAGATAGAGTGCTCGGAACAGTGCCAGGCACAGAGTAAGTACTACTCCAAAATTATCAGCTACTACCGTTGTTAAAGAAACCTTGGGATCTTAGGGCCATCTTCATTGCCACTCAGTAACCCCTGCTGGGCACCGCAGGGGGACACAGCTCACTACAGCTGTTACTGTCATTACAGTGTTACATATTTCTGTTGGGGAAATGTCACTCATGTGTGCCATGATCCTCACCTCAACCCCAGGGAAACAGACCTAATAAGTGAAATCACTTGCCCAGGTCACCAGCCTCCCTATGCCTCCAAATCTTCCCTGGGCCTTTGTCACATAAGTGGAACCAGCCAGGAGTCTGCTGAGGGAACTACCCTGTTGAATGCCATCTGTCTGTCTCATACACAGATTTTGTGATCTCTAAGAAGAGGAAACTGAGATTCAATGAGCGGTCTCAGGTCATATAATAATGAGTCAGCATCTGAACTCTAGTTTACTTCTAGTTCCAAAGCCCTTTTCCACGACAGTGCACTAGATAAAAGCACAATTACCCACCTCTGCTGCATGTTCCCTCAAGTAAGAAATTAAAAATATGACTCCATAAGAACCTAAACTGGTGTTTCCGGTCGGCCAACTGCCTGATAGATGGCAGATGTCTGTGCTGGTCTCAGCTGACCAAGGGTCGCTTAACTTCCAGGACCTGAAGCACAGGGCACCGGGCCAAGAACTCTGCTGTGCAACGTTTGTTTCCTAGAAGAAGGGGTGACAGATTGCAGAGAACGGGCGCAGACCTTGCCCCGCAGGGATCCGGTCGCACAACGGCGGGCGGACCAGACATGCAGTGGTTGAGGGCACACGCTGCAGCCATTTTGCTAGCTGCAGGGTGGCGCCTAAGTCGGCTCTTCTCTTCTAGCCTCACCCTCCTCATCTGTAAGGTGGGCTACGTGATAGCGCCGGACTTGCAGCTCTGTTGTGAGGATACTGTAGCGAGATGAAGGGCTGCACTTAAATTTACAAGCTCAACGAGAGAGGTGCTCAGTAGAGCGCGGCTACCTGTATCAGCAGCAAGCCTTCGTATCTGTGTCCCAGCCCGGGGCCAGCACCAGTCTGTGACCAGGGCCCGGGCGCTCTGGCTCGGCCGTCCGAGCCCTCACCCCAGGGGCTAACAAGCGCTCCTCACATTTCCGGCTTCGCAGCGGGGGAAGCGCGGCCGGAAGGCGCGAACACCAAGACGCCCCGCGAGCGCCGGGGACGCCGGGGCCCTGGCACCTGAAGCCGCGTACCTACCGGAACGGGGTCTCGTACACCTGCCCCACGACACCGAGGCTTCACGCTGCTGCCCGCGCGACAGAGTCCGGGGTCAACTGACCTGCTCCCGGCCGCGAGCTCGCCACGTGACCCGCCGCGCGAGTCTAGAACCCCGAGCTTGGCGCGCGGCGCTTTTCGCACCGCCCCGGGCCCCGCCCGGCCCTGAGGCGCCCAATCAGAGTGCGCAGCCAGGCAGAGCGCCGCCCCCCCAGAGCGCCGGCGCTATTGGCTGCAGCGGGGCGGTGGGCGGGGCTGCACCCCCCACCCCCAAGCCCGGGACAAGCCGCGTCGTGCAGCTGTTCGCCTAGGCCTGGTGGCGGTTGGGGCTGTGCCGCTGGCTACAGGTCAGAGGGGCGGGGATTTCCGGAAAGAGCGGAGGGCATGCCCCAGATAACTCGGGTAGGCGGGGGAATTAAGGGTGAATTTTTGTTGCTTGTGGTTGACTTTCCCAATGTCCTACTTCAACTTGAGCACAGTGGTCCTTTAAATAGGACAAACGTGGGCTCGAACTCCGACAGTCTGTACATACGGAATCCTAGACCAGTCACTTCCCTTTTTGAGTTTCGCATTTCTCGTCTTTGAATTGGAGATCAATGTATCTGCCTGGCTGGGCTGTCGGGAGGATTAATAGCATATCTAAAACACCTAACATTGTGCCTGACACATAATGAGGGCTCAATAAATATCAGACATTGTTAAGAATAATAAAAACCGAGGGGCTGCACGATATAGGGGAAAGCACTGACAAAGATTCTGCTATTGATTGAACTCTACCCAGGCTCCCCTGAACTCTTTTTCAACTAAGCCTGACTTTTGGACTTCTCGTGTTTGTCTCTGCATTGTCCAATTTTAGCAAGAATCCTGTTAAGTCAGTTTAACCAGAACCCCCCACCCTCCATATCTGATTGGATTCCTCATCCTCCACCATCCTGGTGATGTGTGATCACTCTGGCCTGGTCTGTTAGCTAGAATCCCTCTCACCCCTGATGTTTCCTCTTAGTAATGTTCCATCCGCTGATTCCCACTCTGCTCTTGGCTATAAAACCCCACTTGCCCATGCTGTGTTCAGAGCTGAACCCAATCTCTCTCCCCCACTGCAAGATTCCATCACAGTGGTCCCTATACCTATCGAAATAGTCCCTCCTCAAATAAAGTCTTCCTTACCATGTCTTGGACTAATTTTTGTGTGTGTGTGTGTGAGGAAGATTGGCCCTAAGCTAGCATCCGTTGCCAATCCTCCTCTCTTTGCTGAGGAAGATTGGCCCTGAGCTAACATCTGTTCCCATCTTCCTCTATTTTGTATATGGGATGCCACCACACCACAGCTTGATGAGCGGTGTGTAGGTCCCAGCTGGAAACCTGAACCCGTGAACTCGAGGAGCTGAAGCGGAGCACGCGAACTTAATCACTACGCCAGTGGCAGGCCCTTAAATAATTTTTTCTTTAACAGTTCCTAATCTTTCAGTCCTCAGTGTATGTACAACACTTCACCTCTTACAAAGTCAAGCGATTTCCAAAATGTTGTGACAAATGTGGCTAATGTGACAGTTAATAAATGGATTCACAACTGATTCAGAAAAGTCCAGGGAAAGACAATGAGAGAGTAAGGATCTATAAGTCAAAGAGGAAGCACTGTTATTTCTAGGAGAGTCATGTACTACAATACATATACTTAGAATGATTTTGTCAAATAGCTCTTTTGCCTAGTAACTCCCTTCCTTCCCCAGCTCCCCCAGCCCCCCCACCCCCGTGGATTTTTGGAATTTAGAGCATCAAGCAGAAGGTAGATTGTAAAGACAAATACAAATTAAAAATAAAAGCCTTTGGGGCCGGCCAGGTGGCGTAGCAGTTAAGTTCACACGCTCTGCTTCGGTGGCCTGAGGTTCGCGGGTTCTGATCCCGGCGTGGACGTACGCACCGCTTGTCAGAGCAAGCCATGCTCTGGCGGCTTGGCTTGGCGTATGTGGGCGGCGTCCTACGTAAAGTAGAGGAAGATGGGCACAGATGTTAGCCCAGGGCCAATCTTCCTCAGTAAAAAGAGGAGGATTGGCAACAGATGTTGGCTCAGGGCTGATCTTCCTCACCGATGCCCCCACGAGCATTTACTTTAGAAGACTTGTAAGTACTTCTCTTTCTCTTCGAAGTGTATATGAATCCTTCTGAAGACTAGGTAGACCTTTTGTCAACTTTATGACCTAGGAATGTCTTTCTCAAGGACTGCGCCATCTCTTCGGAATGTAAACATGAAGGGAGCTAGCCCTACGCTTCTGTGGGATGGTAGGAGCCTCAGAGGCACCTACTTCTAAGTTGCAAAACTACCTCCTGTCATAAAGATAGGAGAATTTTGTTACTCCTCTGGATAAAGCCAAGTAGCTAACATGGATAGTCTCCCGGATTACCAGGTAAAGTTAGGATGAACTGTGTGTGACAAATGGCACCATCCAGTCCTCCTACTGGAGGACTAGTTCTCTTTTATCTTGAGAACACGTGTGTAATGGGGTGCACCGCCCCGCTGTAGAAGGGGGAGGGATTGCTTTCCGTCTTTGCAAGCTCTTAGGGGATTGGATTGCCTGTGATGCATATCATATTCTAGTTTAATGCCCACTCATAATAAAAGTGTTTTCTTTTTCTACGACCTTTGTGGTGATTTCTGAGCTGGCAGAAGATTTTGGTTTCAGTTCTATTTCCCCAACAAGATATATCATTAACTTCATTTACATATGAGGAAATTGAGACTCAGACAACCCACAATGACATAGCTACTGTGATGGAGACCTGATTCAAATTTAGGTCTCTGTTTCTGAAGCCGGGGCTGTGTCCATGGTGCTTTGTGGCAAATAATGCAGCCACCCTAGAGCTTGGCACGACACATAGTAGGTGCAGAAGAAAAACAACCTGAATATTAGAGACAGGAATGTAGGGAGCACGAATCTCAAACCACAAGTGCAGGTGTACAAGAAAGGTAGCGCTAGTCCTTTTTTGATACCCAATTTAGTTTTAAGCCCTCGTTTTGCCAAGTGTCTTGAGCTTGCTCTCAGTCAATCACAGTCTCCCCTACTATTCTTCATGTTGCATCTAAGTTCCAAGGGTTATGTAGTGCCAAGGCGTGGACTGTGGTGAGGCGCCTCTGTGTGGACTTCTATGTACATTAGCATCCGCGGTGCATTCTTGGCCTTGGTCCCTGTGTGTTCAGGCATCGTCTACTACTGTGTACTCTCCCACCACCAATCCTCTTTGGCTTTGTAACAGCCCCTGTCTCCTTTGTGCCCGACACGAGTGTTGGGGAATTCTGTGCCCACCGCCTGAGTGCAGGCTAGGGGGTGAGAAGACCACTGCTGTGCTGGCTATGTCAGGCTGCATGACTGTCTCTGCTCTGGACACAGAGAAGCCTGGGTTCTGCCCTTTCCCTGAGCACAGGTCCTCTCCACTCCCAGGTTGTCCAAACCCACTTGGGGTCTCTATTTACCCACCCCACACACCTGCTAGTCCTGCAGCACAGCAGGAAGCAGACTCCTTCCCAGGGGCATGGCCCTGCATCTCTGACTGTTCCCCTCCAGACTGCTTCTTTCTCCAGTCTGGAGAAACTTCTCTCGTTATAGAGGCTTAGGTGCGATGGGCAATCATCTCGGACTCACCAGATAGTCTCTCTACCCTTGTTATGAGAGGTTTGGGGATTTGATCGGAGACGTAAAAGACACTTTCCACTCCAAACAAATGGACTGAAGGTATATTTTATTATATAGAGGATAGTAAAGGTGACAGTCTGCAAACAGATTCAAATAGGTCAAATATTAAGAGGGAAAAAACATCAGCCCGACTGGAAAGGGAAAACACCCAC